TGTAAATATTTGAAAATATATGGTATGTATCAGAATTTCTGACGATATAAAACATATTGTGGTTTATAATTAAGTTCTTAATAGTGATCCTATCCTGCATCATAATTTACATAATATCTACTTCTGTTTTGTGTATTAAAATGACTACTTTTTATATTAATTTCTTTCTGTAAATGATGATGATGATGATAAAGTTCAGTAAATGTAAGTAAGAACATAAGAATGAAGGTAACTGCAAAAGACTTATTGGCCCATACGAGGCAGCTCCTCGTATGGAGCTGCCTTTGATAAGTAATTACCAAAGAAGGCACCAAGCCGGGAAGGCTGTGTAGCACAATCAAATAAGTCAACTGCTCCTGAAGAGGACGGTATTACTTACAGTTTACTGAGATTAGTCTCACAAGTACCAGGTAATCCACTTTTAGTGTTGTACAGAATGAGTTTAAGTGAAGGAGTATTACCTGATGATTGGACAGTGTCATTGTTCCCATCCCCAAAGCACACTCAGATAATTATAGACCCATATCTCTAACATAATTTTGTCTATTAGCACAGTTTTCGGCGTGAATGCATTTTGGTTCTACAAGGTAGCCAACTCCATCAAAATATTAAATATGTACCCAACTCAATTAACGATTAATCAACCAATTACTCCATGGGATAACTTGGATCTAGCAGTTGATTTTGTAAATGCACCCAAGAAAGATAATGTACACTCTACATTATTAAAACAGTTAACACTGTGAAGCATCACTGAAAGTACTCAGAATATGGGTAACGATGTGTATCAGTGGTATACCGACGGTTCTGTAGAAGAAGGTGGACGATGTACCGGATGTGCATGTAATATATTTGAACAATCTTCTCTCTTACATACATGAATGAAGCGCTATGCTAAACTGTGTAATTACTATTTGAGTACTGGAACACTTGATGATATATTGAACTTGTACCCTAGATTGACGATGTAACGTATCAATTATACAATGAATGTATGTGATGTAACTCTATAACCTGAGCTTGTGAAAGCACCTTAATCACCTTCAGTGATTAAGTGCTTAATTGCACACTAGTTTCTCTATCAGTTATCTCACCTTGTCAGAGTAAAAGAGACAAATATATGTGTATGTATGTGTTCAGAATTCAATTTCACCTTTGTAAATGCACGTTAATGACACTATGTAAAAGACACATCGAACACTTTATGTAGGGCATACGTAAATCTGTGTATTTATGTATTTACGTATGTAGCTTAGCCTAGCATTTTAAAAACACTACAATCACCTTATGTGGTTGATTGTTCAATAAATCCCTGAACTATATGTTTAACAAATCTCTAACCCTATCAATGGAGTTAGTTTAGTTCTTATATTATGCACCCTATACCCATCTTGTGGGCGGTAGTGGAAAGGGTTAGAGTCCATGGCGGACTGAAGAAAATGTATATATGATGGTTAGCATTGTTAATGTGTGGCCACGTCTGTGGTAGAAAATAATACAAAAAAATCAAATAAAGGTATTATTGAAACTTTATACGAAAACATTAAATCCTAAATATATCTTTAATATTATACTTGAAATATGGTATACTTTGCTCTCTCCATCGTACTTCTGCACCTGCTGGCAAGTGGTTCGGTGCAGTGTGCAGGTGATGTTCATTACTGGGTGAGCTGGCAAGTGGTGCTCACCTGCCAGCTCACCCAACGAAAATTTGGTTTTTAATACACTTACACATTTATTGGGTCTTTCCTTCACCTTCATTCAAGCACTAGGGTATTACAGTAAGTGTTTTAATTATAATATTTATTAACGTTATTATTTTTAATTTTTATTATTATTAGTATTATTATTAACAGGAGAGGATCGAGTGTGTGTGTGTGGGGGGGGGGGGGGGGGGGGGAAATGGTACACATGTCCACATCCCAATGCCCGCCCTTCCAGGACTGGGGGTGCGGGGGTGTACAATAAACTATACCCACATCCGGCGGCAGCTTGTCGAAGGCGGAAGTGTAGCCTAGAGAATTTGTCATGATAATTAGTGATGACTCTTATTTTGATTATGGGTCTGTAATCCAGTTAAGCTTTTATTCTTAATTTATATTACAATGCTGGTAAAATACACTTCTTGATGATGAGTATGGAGTACAAATGAACTCATTGTGTACCCAAGTTCAAGTTCAAGTATGTTTATTGAGATAAGCAATAAATAAATCTCAAAGGGATAGAGTAGCTTAGGCTATTTCAACCCCCCTCTAATTCAAGTCCCTCAAGGGGCGCACAAATACTGTGACTACAAATAGACAAATAACATTACAAGAATCCAAACAAGAATTGTGAACCCTATACTCACAGGATGAATATAGGGTACACAATAAACTACCACTCACATCATGGGTATGGGTTGCACAAGAAACTATCGCGCAGAGGATGAATATGGAGAGCAAAGTAAACAAAGATTCACACGATGAGAAAGGGTTTCGCAATGTCCTATGACTCACAGAATGAGTATTAGCTGCACAATAAACTACAGGTCACAGGATAAGTATGGGTTGCACAATAAATTACAGGTCACAGGATGGGTATGGGCTGCACAAACTACCGGTAACAGGATGAGTATGGGATGCACAATAAATTACGGGTCACAGGATGAGTATGGGTTGCACAAACTACTGGTAACAAGATGAGTATGGGATGCACAATAAATTACCGCACAGAGGATGAGTATAGGGTGCACAAACTGGTTGGGTAAATGGAAATGGTTGGGTACATTTCCTTTCACCTAATGCGACTATTCATGTGTCCGGACACCGGCGATTGTGTGGTATTGGCTATTTATTTAACCATAACTTTGCATTCATTTAATAATTATATTAAGATATGTTTTCCTTGAAATGTAGTTACATTATCGTCTACATGGCTTTATTCTGACATAAAGACCTATGGCGTTACTTTGCATATATGCAAAGTAATTATAAAATTGATTGGCTTGTGTGGAGGCCTTCACACTCCCTGAGCGAGCCATCAAGTAACTATAAAAAGGCATATATCTTAACTTTCAATTCAGTTATATTTATGCCAAAGTATTAACATGCAGCTTATATTTATGTCTTTATGATGACATAGAAAACTTCGTTTATTACAATATCTAGATTAAATTAACATTGATCTTCGGAAGGTCATAGTTCCCATATCGGTAAGGAGAGCGTCGGCCATGAAGCCTTGTTTAAAGTATGAATATTTTTCCTCTCTAATAAGGTATAATCTCTGTGATGGATTCACAAAAACTATTTTATATCTGCCTTTCTGATAACATATACAAATATAATCTTTATTTGTGAATATTTGTTAATTAAGCAATATATCAGAGGGCGTGTAGGGTTCGGTGTTCAATGAACGAAAAGGACTGGATCACTGTGTACAGGAGGCTGATATGGCAGCAAACACTCTCCTGGCGACCATATTTCTTGGATAAGTCGCTCCACACAATTGTCGCTTGGACCGTCGACTTCCTATGGCGTCACCTCTCACATATTTACGTCTCATTTCGTTATGAAATTAGATTATTTCAGAGAAAAAATAGGTTTGATCATGTTCTACGTGTAGCACCAACATTATAGTAAGTAAATATACCATATTTCTTCATTACTTACGTAATGCTAATACGTTTTGGGTAGTTTTGGCCTGATTTGGGATGATTGGGGTAATTCTATGGACCCATATTTCTATCTTTCTTGAGACATATAAAACATATGTGTTTATTAACGAATTTACGTGAAATAAGCATTGTTCTGAGAGAGAGTTGCTCTGTCGATCAGTCTGTGCGGGGTCGGAGCTCGGCGATTATTAAAACACATGTATCTTCATTAGAACTTTATATATATCTATGGTAAAGTATTTAAAATGAAGCTTATATTTCTATCTTTCTCAACACATATAAAAACATTTGCGTTTATTAACTAATTTACGTGAAATAAGCATTGTTCTGAGAGAGAGTTACTCCGTTGCTCGATCTGTGCGGGATCGGAGCTCGCCGATTAGAAAAATACACGTATCTTCGCTTTAAATACAAATATGCCCATGGTAAGGTATTTAAAATGAAGATTATGTTTCTATCTTTCTTGAGACGTATAAAAATCTTACGTTTATTAACGATTCTGCGTGAAATAAGCATTGTTCTGAGATGAATATTGCGGATTTCCGGCTCTACGACGGATGAAAAATGCAACTTTTATACAACTACAAATATCTTTAGTTTTACTTTAAATTTTGTCCTGAGAGTTTTCATATATAGATCCAGTTTCTGCCGTTCTTCTGACATAAAAAGACCTTTGGTTTAATAAGTTATTAAGATGTTTTCAACAATATTACTAGGGCGTTCACCGATTCTAACATGGGCGACCCTTTTGGAAACGCAACACATGGGTTGACCTGATTGATATATGGGTCAGATTCCATTAAGGTTCGGAACAATAGTATGATAATAGATGGAATTACTGGTGTCGATTTCACTTTGCCTCAGATCTACAAGATCTTGTTGAAGTTCTCGGTGTACTGCTGCTCTCAGATTGCTCATTGACAATCCAAGGTTACACTCAACGTCTCCTTTAAAGGCAGATTCTTTGGCTAACTTATCAGCTCTATCATGCATTCAGAGCCAATATGAGATGGAGACGTGTAGGCCTACTGTATTTATATTTAGCCTTGTTAATATAATCATTACAACCTAATATACATTTAAACTCAAACATTATCTAATGTATATATTTTACAAATACAAATTATTTGTATTACTATATCAAATCCCCAAAATGATTTTCAAATGACATCACAATAATAAACAATGCTGATATAAAATACATATAAATATCAGTCTCAATTACGGATAGAATCACTTGCACCAGTTGAGGTTAATAGAAAGGTAGCATTATAATCGATATAAAATTAGTTTGTGGTTACATTATAGTATTCTAGTATTATAATGTAGGTGGGAAGGTGATCCGTGACGGGAGTTAGTGAGGTTAGTGAAGGGAAGATGACGCTAGTGATTGATGCTGACATGGCCGCGGTGGCCAGTTGTTGTGGTATTGTGAGGCTGTCTCCTACACTACGCCCGTGCTGGTCTTGCCTGTGTGGCGTCCTGCCTTCAGTCTTGTGGCTGTAACTCTCACGCCTGCCACTATGCCTGCTCTACAGTTTACTGAAGTGTTGACCTTCTCCAGTGAAGACCCGGTATGTTGTGGTGCCCCCCGACCTCTTAACACATGGTGGAGACTGGCGCAGCGGCCCACGGAGGCTCTCGTTCCCTGATACTCGTCCCTGGCACTTATCCCTAACGCTTATCCCTAACACTTATCCCTAACACTTATCCCTAACACTTATCCCTAACACTTATCCCTAACACTTATCCCTAACACTTATCCCTAACACTTATCCCTAACACTTATCCCTAACACTTATCCCTAACACTTATCCCTAACACTTATCCCTAACACTTATCCCTAACACTTATCCCTAACACTTATCCCTAACACTTATCCCTAACACTTATCCCTAACACTTATCCCTGGCACTCGCCCCAGACACTCGCCACTGGCACTCGCCCCCTGACACTCGCCACTGGCCCCCTGACACTCGCCGCTGGCCCCCTGACACTCGCCACTGGCCCCCTGACACTCGCCACTGGCCCCCTGACACTCGCCACTGGCCCCTGACACTCGCCACTGGCCCCCTGACACTCGCCACTGGCCCCTGACACTCGCCACTGGCCCCCTGACACTCGCCACTGGCCCCTGACACTCGCCACTGGCCCCCTGACACTCGCCACTGGCACTCGCCCCCTGACACTTAATCCTGGTATTTATCCTTGGCATTCGCCCCCTTACACTTAATCCTGGTACTGTATTTATCCTTGACACTTGTCCCCTGACACTTAGCCCTGGTATTTATCCTTGGCACTCGCCCCCTGACACTCGCCCCCTGACACTCGCCCCCTGACACTTGCCCCCCGATGCTTGCCCCTGGCAGTCACTCCTGGCATTTACCTGTGGCACTCGCGGTGTTAAGATAGCATTGTGTGGGAGAGCAAGGCTAGCTGTGGTCCCTGGTCAAGTGCGAGGGATGTCACCTTGCTCACCCATCCAGTACGAGCCATAACTTGACCTATTGACAGGCCCGTCATTCGCTGATCCTCGACACATCCTTAGTTTGTGGCGATTCCAGCTCTCAACTTGCAGTATTTTATATCATCATAGAGGGCAAGCAATTACTTTTATCATAGACCTAAAAACCTACATAACTCCTAACTTAAGGATTGTAAGTATGGTGAATACAGGGTGCTGGAGAACTGTTATTTGACCTACAAATATGATGCATATTCTATAATAACTTTTTACTGGACCTACTTTTGTAAATAAGGTAGAGCGACGGTCTCGCTTCATGCAAGTCGGCGTTCAATCCCCGACCGTCCACGTACAAAACTCAGGCAAATCATAACATAGAACGAAAAGGCAATGTAAAGGATCTGGGTGTACTCATGTCGGAAGACCTTACCTTTAAAGAACACAATAAAGTAGCCGTCACAACTGCAAGAAAAATGACAGGTTGGATAACAAGAACTTTTCACACTAGAGATGCTATACCGATGATGATACTTTTCAAAACGCTTGTGCTCTCTAGAGCACGGGCACATTGTACTGCTGCACAATGACAGCCCCTTTCAAAGCTGGAGAAATTGCTGACCTGGAGAGCGTGCAGAGATCCTTTACTGCTAGAATCCACTCAGTAAAACATCTAAATTACTGGGACCGACTAAAGAGCCTAAATCTATTACTCCCTTGAGCACAGGTGGGAGAGATACATAATAATTTACACGTGGAAAATAATTGAGGGGCTGGTCCCAAACTTGCGCACAGAAATAACATCACATGAGACCAGGAGGCATGGCAGGATGTGCAGAATACCTCCGTTGAAAAGCAGAGGTGCAACAGGTACTCTGAGAGAGAACTCTATCAACATCAAAGGCCCGAGACTGTTCAATACGCTTCCACTACAAATAAGGGGCATAACTGGCCGACCCCTCACAGTGTTCAAGAGAGAACTGGATAAGCACCTCCAAAGGATACCTGATCAACCAGGCTGTGACTCATACGTCAGGCTGCGAGCAGCCGCGTCTAACAGCCTGGTTGATCAGTCCAGCAACCAGGAGGCCTGGTCGATCAGTCCAGCAACCAGGAGGCCTGGTCGATGACCGGGCCGCGGGGACACTAAGCCCCGGAAGCACCTCAAGGTAACCTCAAGGTAAGGTAAGGTAGGTCCAAGTGGTTGGGCACCATTCCTCCCCCCCCCCGATCCGTCCCAAATCCTTATCCTGACCCCTTCCAAGTGCTATAAAGTCGTAATGGCTTGGCACTTTCCCCCTGATAATTAAAAAAAAATGTAAATAAGGTTTCAAGAAGAAATTTGTTGAGCTTTTACAGCATGTGATGCACAAGATTCATCTGTGTGTGCATCTTATTAACTAGGCCTACAATCGTTCTGTAGTTGTCTGCCTAGCGATTAAATAATGGCCAGGTTTTCATTCCTTCCTACAAACTATTATCAATAAAGTCTTCCACTGGGCAATAGAAAATAAAATGATTTTTAACAGTGATAAGATATCAGATACTGTTCTTACATATGGTAAAAATTTAGGAACTTACACTGAGTTCATTGAGTTCCTAAAAATTGAGTAAGTTCCTAAAAATTTAGGAACTTACACTGAATATAAAATAAGATGCAATCAGATCTCCTCATAGAAGGAAAACTACATGTATGTTGGATGACCTAATGTTTAGTGAACATAACAAAACAAACATAGCATCAGTCAGGTCAGGAAAATAATAATACAGATTAAGAGAAACTTTAAATCCAAGATTTCCACCACAGTACTCCTTCTTTTTAACTCACTTGGGCTTTCCCACCTTGAGTACTGCTCGATACTCACTATCCCTTTCAAAAAGAGAGATTTCTGAAATGAAGGGGCTAAATCTCCTTCATTTCAGAAATCTCTCCTTCAGAACATATACAACACGCATAGACACTGAATAGTGTGTAAATTATTGGGACTTTTTCAAAAGCACCCTAAATATACTCTCAAAAGCACTCGCTGGAAACGAGTCAATAAAGATATTGCATAATATAAACTTTCTTTTTTTAGATATACAGTATACAAGAGTTGTTACATTCTTGTACAGCCACTAGTATGCGTAGCGTTTCGGGCAGGTCCCTGGAATACGACCCCCACGAAAAATCGTTGTTACAACCAAGTACCCATATTACTGTTGAGTTAAACAGGCTACAGTTAAGGATTTGCACCTAGTAAATCCTCCCCGGCCAGGATACGAACCTGAAAGATAGTTGATGGCCAGCTCTCAAATACAGTATGCACAACAAAACAACTTAATGGAGTAAAAGATTTGGTGGTAAATACAAAATAGACCCTGTGAAGAATAGAGATACTATAGGCACAACCTCTTCCCTTCCTCCCTCTCATGTATAAAATGTATTGCTGGAACACAAATGAACACCTCTGTGAAGAGCAGAGGTGCCATAGGCACAATCAGAGAACACTGTATAAACATCAGAGGTCCGCGGTTGTTCAACGTCCTCCCAGCAAGCATAAGAAATATTGCCGGAACAACCGTGGACATTTTCAAGAGGAAACTAGATTTATTCCTCCAAGGAGTGCCGGACCAACCGGGCTGTGGTGGGTATGTGGGCCTGCGGGCCGCTCCAAGCAACAGCCTGGTGGACCAAACTCTCACAAGTCGAGCCTGGCCTCGGGCCGGGCTTGGGGAGTAGAAGAACTCCCAGAACCCCATCAACCAGGTATCAACCAGGAGGTTTTTAAGATAAGTTCCTGCGGGGAAGTTCCGAGCTAGACTGGCTGTAATGAATATGTGGGCCTGCAGGTCACTGCAAGCGACCTGTCTTAGAGTTTTGTATTACAAAACAGGGAGTAGAACTCTTTGAACCAACTACAGGTAAAATGCAGGTTTCCTTTTAAAACTTCTCTTTTGTCTATGTTGTAACTTCCTTTATCTGCTGGTGGTATCAAGACTTGAATCATTTTGATGTATAATATCAGCTACAATAACTTAGCATTGCCCATTTACCCAGGCAGAAAAATTATATTGTCATTACTGTACTAGGATAAAGTTTCTGGATAATTATCCAGTCTCTGGATAATTAAATTTATTACCACTCCCAGTGGAATTAAAGAAAATATTACATTAGGCTTTTTTTTTTTCTTAAAAACTTATGATATGAAGTGAAAGAGGAAACTTTTAATGCAATAACACTAGGATGAAGTTAACGACCGAAAAAAACAAGGGGGGTGGCATCCCAAATTTTGTAAATGTAATGAATATTGCAGATGTCAACAGAAATAGTGTACTGTATAGTAAATTATTTAACATCTTGTAATATCCATCTAAACTGTCCCAGTAATCTAGAGTCTGATCACCTGTTCTTTATGTCACAATCCTGGTCAACAAGATGATGTAAAAAACAATAAGTGTAAGCGACCGGGAGCCGGTCGGCCGAGTGGACAGCACGCTGGACTTGTGATCCTGGGTTCAATCCCAGGCGCCGGCGAGAAACAATGGGCAGAGTTTCTTTCACCCTATGCCCCCTGTTATCTAGCAGTAAATAGGTACCTGGGTGTTAGTCAGCTGTCACGGGCTGCTTCCTGGCGGTGGAGGCCTGGTCGAGGACTGGGCCGCGGAGACACTAAAAATCCCCCAAATCATCTCAAGATAACCTCAAGATAAGATACTCAACAGTCTGTCAAAAGATTGTGTCGGATGTTATAATGTAATGTTTTAATTATTTTTACCAGCATTAACATGTTTATGATATTGTTTATTATTATACATTATTAACATGTTTATTATATAGTGACACTCATGCAATGTAATAAACTATCTTTAAACCAATTTTGATATTCATCTGCTATAATCTGAGTATGGTGCAGATAAGCCTGTGTGTTTCTAGGCATCCTTTTACATTATTGGCAGATGAGAATGTGCTTGTGAGTGGTAAAGAAATTGAACTTGAATGAATTTCTGTATGAGTGAGTGCCTGCAGATGAATAAATGAAAGTGTATTCACTTAGTTGTATTCACCTAGTTGTGCCTGGGGGGGGGGTTGAGCTCTGCTCTATTACTAACTACCTGTCCTAACTAACTAATTATTTATTTATCCACCCCCCCTCCCCCTCCGACACACACACCTCCAGGAAGCAGCCCGTAACAGCTGTCTAACTCCCGGGTACCTATTTACTGCTAGGTAACAGGGGTGTCAGGGGTGAAAGAAACTGCCCATTTTGTTTCTCACTGGCACCGGGAATCGAACCCTGGACCACAGGATTATGTGTTCAGTGTGCTGTCCACTCAGCCAGCAGCGCCTTAAGTGTTCATTAAGTGTTTAGATTAATGAAAGATGTGAGAAAAAACTGCTAAAAGTGAATGTAGATACTTTAAAAATAAAATAATGCTTGTGGAAAGAGAAAAAAAACTTCATATAGGAAATAGGGAATAACAAAAGTTAGGAGTACAGTAAATCAGGCAAGAAAAGTGGCTGATATATTGTCCTGCTTAGGAAAAGAATGACAGGAAGAAATCTAGCTAGAGTGATGCATGAGGGAGTGGTAGTCGCTACCTTTGTGAACAAATTGGATGTGTGGTGTTAGGAAAATACTGAAGATAGTGTAAGAAATGAAAATATCATGAAAACGTGCAGTGCAAAAGTGGGTAAAACATAAGATAGATTATTTAGTTAGTTTGGTCTTATTGAACGAGTGAATGATGATCAAGTTTAAAAAAGAAAATACCATACAGAATTTAAATGAATTTGAATGTAGGAGGGAGAGAGGATTGGTAAGAAGATGAACAGACATGAGTGAATTAGTATACTGAATGAGGAAACGGGGATTAAGTCTGAACTCGGCATAATAATTAAAAGGGAATTAGAATGGATAGAATCAGTTTATTTGGTAAAGAATTAGTTTTTAGTTACCTTCCAGGAAGCACATCATATCTAGTTGTATGATATAATAGGGTGTGCTGCGAGTATTTTATTGGAGTGTGATAATACTGGTGCTGCATTATGTAGTGTGGAAGATATGGAAGTGGATTTCTTTTTAAGCATCTTAATCTTCTCTTCTTATCTTGCTAATGATGGTAATGACTGTGTACTATGCACATAATATATAGTACAGTATGTGCTTTATCTTAAAGTTTGTTTTTCTTTAGAATCATCCAGCGGAAAATCTCTTGCGTCCTGATACATTCCGAAAGTGGAAGTGTGCATCTGGAACAACAGAAAAGCAATCTTCAGTTACATTGAAGTTGGAAAAGTTAAGCTCCATTCACTCGATAGACATTGGCAATGAAGGTTCAGCATTTGTGGAGGTGTTGGCAGGAAGGGAAGGAGTTGCAGCTTTTCAGGTACGTAGAATACTGAATACAGAATTTTGCATTAGGTCTTTCTGATTTTGTAGAGCTATAAATTAAAAGAATGGAAAATTTTGATAGATGATATTCAAGTTTACACAACTTTAATTTAATACTTAAGTTGAATCACTGCTACTGGAATTACTCTAGGTGTCTGCATCAAGCTATCTTGTCTTTCTTTCCCTAGTGCTAGTGTGGTGTGTAGATTGCATCCCAGCAGTTCATTGTCTAAGCACAGGAGGGGTTACATGTTCTCCTTCCTATTGTGGTACTGTATGCACTTTGAGAATAGCTTTGCTTCTTGGTTCTCTGGGTTCAGTCCTTGATGCAGTCCATATTTTCATGGTCTTGAACATTCCTGTTGATGGTCTCTCCCACTTGCATTATATCTAGAGAAAGTGGGAGTGGGAGGTGGAAAGTCACTTGGGGAACTCCAAAATGTATTGTAATGCTTAGAAAAATTATTTTAATTTTCACTTATTCTTTTCTCTCATTGCAGGTGCTGCTTGTTGCCTCATCCTTCATGTCTCCCATCGAGTCGAGAAATTCTAGCGACATGAATCGTGTCCGAATGTTTGGCCCTGACAGACTCAATAAAAATGTTGCAGGACAAAAATGGGATCGGTTAAAAATTATTTGCACACAGCCATTTAACAAGCAGTTACAGTATGGTTTATCCTTCATAACAGTTAGATCTCCAGGTTCTGTAAGTATAAATATATATATTAGATTATCACACTATAGCATGTTATTTGTGTTCATACAGTAATTGAATTTATTTATGAACAAATTAATACTTAATTAACTTCAGTGGTAGCTTTGTGATACATTGTAATTATTTGTCTGTTATTTATAGCTCTGACATGTTTGGTTCTGCAGTACTTAGTATATTGAATTCTTATGATTTTTATTCCTAAATACATTTATAGTTATACTTAATTTGAAACACTGTTACTAGAATTACTCTAGATGTAATTTTCAAATATACTTATAATCATTTATTCCATTAATTTTTTGTGCATTATGTACAATAGAGCTATTAGAATAGGCTTGTCATAGTTGTCACGGGCACAAGGAAAATATTATTTCTGGGAGAGCTCTCTCAGTACCTGCCCAGCTATCCACCTGGAAGTCTCCAAACATTAGGTACCACATCAGGCACTTAAACTCATGAACTCCTACCAGAGACCAGAATCTGGCTCCCCTCAATAGAGGCAAAGGAAAGACTTGATATACCTAACCACAGTACAAAAAGATAATCCATCAGAACAGAAGAGTACTGCAAAACAAGCAACTTCATTGACAACATTTGCAACCTGTTACGACCCTGGGTTCTCCAGTGGAAACCAGAGGTCAAAATTGAGCTATTAAACTTCCTAAGTAGTACAGTTGGCGCATTTCGAATGGAAATTGTTTGTATCTTCCCTGCCAGACGTAAGACTATTATTGTTTCTCAAAGAGCATTTAAAGACTGAGCTGGGGGTTGATTATTAAATAATAACATAGGCACCAACTTTGCGTACTAATACTTTCTAATCATTCATAAAGTAACAATACGTTGCATAGGGGAAGATCTTTAATGTGCTTAGCTGCACGATCAATTAGGCCCCTTCCGGCACCACGACATGAGGGAGGCCAGGTGGTCGCGAGGAGCGCGGTCTTCTCTTGGCTGGTGGCGTGAGGTTAAGACCTACTCTGTGGCTGTATCCCTACTCTCCTTCCTTCTCCTCTTACTTATTTCCCTTACCTGAAGTTCCTGTACCCTTAAGTTAAGTATTATATGGTGTAAGTGTGCCTACTCTGGTAGTAACGATTGGGGAGACCTGGGGATAGTATTTTGCCAGTGTTTGGGTACCCCTAAGTGTTGTGTTTTGTATTAGGGTCCCACGTGGTTTCACTACCCTAAGCTGCATCCAGCTTCAGTGCTTATCCAGTAGTACTTTACCCTAGCTTGTTATTAGTGTAAACCTTGTATCCTGCCTACGTGGACCAAGGCTTTTAACGTAAGATAGTGTGGTAAAGTTATTATTATTATTGTTATTGGTGTGAGTGTATATGGGGGGTTGTTAACGGGTTAATAAATAAGTACATGAATTACAGAGTATCTCTTCTTCCAAGGTGGGAGCGCAGTGATCAACCCTTAGACGAACATATTTGGTCTTGTAGCAAGTTATTACTACTGTGGATAGTTTATTTTGGGGGCCGGGCCTTTTAGCTCTCCCATATTTGATACTCCTGTCTTCTAACTACCTATACCCCTTAATAGTACCAGTACCCCATAGAAGCCCCACTCATATCATTTGTAACAAGTGGTTGGCCAGTCCGGGAGGAACATTATAAGTGTAAAAAATTAGATTCTTGAGTGCCAAAATTAAAATTTTGTATTTCCGCAGAACGGTTGTGTGCTAGCCTAGGGTCCAGCTCATCTAGCAAAGGACATTCTTGCACTGACTGGACACCCAGCTGGATCCCTTCACGATTAAGGTTAGTGTGGCCTTGTGTTAGGGGCCGTGCAAATTTTTGTTTTTTTTTCCAATTTTTATTTTTTAATTTTTTCTTTGGCTGGGAGCTAAAATTATTAGTGATGTCTTCTGAAATGCAGAAACTGGCAAGGGAGCCTTCAGTGGTAGAGATAAAGAAACTTAAAAAGTCTAATTTAGTATTGTTAGGCCAGGAATTTGGCCTAGAATTAAATGTCGCAGATAAAAAGTGGACTTTGGTAAATGAAATATTAGAACATTGTATTGATGAACAACTATTGGCAAGTGATACACCTTTATGCCAGCCTAGCCAAGCAGAAAGTGCAACTCATAGGGAAAGTGAATTAGCTTTAGAGTTAGCAAAAATAAAATTAGAGGAGCAAAAACTCAAAACCGAGGAGGCTAGAATTAGAGCGAATGCCACTGGAACTCCACCTGCCGGGGATTCAAACCCCAGGCATTATGAGAAAAAGCATAATTTGCCTGAATTTTCCGAGTCTGACCCTGAAAGGTTTTTCAACCATTTTCAGAGAGTGGCCACGTCCATGAACTGGCCAAAGGAAGAGTGGGTGAAAATCCTACAGGGAAGACTTAGGGGTAAAGCACAAGATATTTTTATAAACATGCCTGACGACGAGTGTTTCGAATATGATAAAGTCAGGGAAGGTATTTTGCGGGCATATGAAATTACTCCTGAAGCTCACCGCCAAGTTTATCGTAACCTTAGGCCTACTCACAACCAACCGCTCACTGAATTTGTGAATGATCAAATTCGATTATTTGATAGATGGATTCGCTCGGCGAAAGCCGAAACATACGAGGCTCTCAGGAACTTAATTTTAATGGAGCATTTTATAGATGTTATGCCAGAGAACGTATCACAATACATTAAAGGAAGGATAGAGTTAAATTCTAAAATAGGGGATTTGGCCAAGTTGGCAGAAAACTACCAATTGGCGGGCAAAAGGCCCAATAAAAATAATTATACCCCACAGAGTAGCAAACCTTATACCCACAGCCAGTCCAGACCAGCTCATTCTAACCCTTTACCTAATGCACCTTCTGTTTCAGACATAACTAACCCTGTTAAAGTGTCTAGCCCAACGGCACCTAAAGGTGAACCGAAGGGTAATTCTGTTAGTAATGTCTCTTCTCCCCGACGTTTTTGTGGTCACTGTAATCGTTCAAACCACAATATTAGCCGTTGTTGGCAACTGTACCCAGAAAAAAGACCCAATGCTCTAGTTGTGACACAGGGCTTGAGGCCTTCGGAAGGGTTAGGGAGTAAGACCTCCAACCCACAGTGGTTGGACTTGCTTACCCCATTCTTATCGAAAGGGAGACTACTTTTGTCTGAGGGTTCTTCCTGGAAGGACGTGGTGATCTTCCGAGACACCGGTGCCATCCAGACTTTAATTTTAGAGAGTGCATTGCAAGGTGCCAACACTCTCGACACTGGAGAGGTGGTACTGGTCGAGGGTGTCACTAGTGATACTCGGGCAGTACCCCTCCATAAGGTTACCCTGGAATCTGATTTCCACAAGGGTGTTTGTACAGTCGGAGTCACTTCATACCTACCTTTCCCTAATGTTGATGTAATAGTTGGTAATGATTTAGCAGGGGATAAGGTAGGGGACTCCAGACTGCCTATTATGTTGCCTACCCCTAAGGTTTGCCTGGATCCACCCGCCGCAGAGGATAATGTTGTGTACCCTGCGTGCGCGGTGACCAGGTCTATGGGACTTAAATGTAAGGGCAGCCCTGTGCTTGCCAAGGTGGTAAATCCCGAGGTCACGAGGAGCTTTCCGAGTGGTGAAAACCAAGTGGACCTCGCGGACACATTCATGGCCCGACTCGATGACGTGGCCGAGGACATTGTGGAGAGCCTGCCACCGCCATCTACTGAGAGTAGTGGGGAGGTGGAGAACACTGTTGAGCCTCGGCCAATGGCATCTGACCAAGGCCTAGATGCCTCCTTGAGTGAGTTACAGAAAGCTGACCCCACTCTTGCAGATTGTCATGAAACAGCCGTCTCTATGGAGGAAATTGTAGACGCAGCAACTGGGTACTACTACAATGATCGGATTTTGATGAGAAAATGGAGACCACAGAGTGCTCCCTTGTCAAATGAGTGGGAGGTAGTCCACCAGGTTATGTTGCCGACCTGCTATAGAGAAAGAGTTTTGGCAGCTGCTCATGATGATCCTATGGGGGGACATCAAGGTATTAATATTACGTATCACAAAATTTTAAAGTATTTTTTCTGGCCCAAGCTGAAAAGCGATGTGGCAAAATTTTGTAAGGCGTGTATTGTTTGTCAACTGGTTGGGAAACCAAACCAGACTCCACCTAAAGCTCCTCTAAGGCCTATTGTCGTGCCAGAGGAACCATTTTCTCATGTGGTAATGGACTGTGTTGGACCATTACCTAGAACTAAGTCTGGTAATATTTACCTAATCACGATGATGTGTATCACTACTCGTTACCCAGAGGCTTTTGCTGTAAGGAACATCCGAGCAAAAACTGTTGTTGCTCGTATGTTGCAATTTTTTTCCACTTTTGGACTGCCTCGGGTCGTGCAAACTGACAATGGTACTAATTTTAAGTCTGATGTTTTCGAGCAATTTTGTAAGGAACATGGAATAACTCATAAGGTTTCCAGCCCATACCATCCACAGAGTCAGGGGGTAATTGAACGTTTCCATCTAACTCTGAAGCAGATGTTGAAGACATCGTGCGAGAGTTCCCACACCTTCTGGGATGAGAATTTACCGTATGTTTTGTTTGCGGCTAGAGAGGGATTACAAAGTTCACTGGGCTGTTCTCCTTTTGAGTTAGTCTTTGGCCATAAAGTTCGTGGACCCTTGCAAACGTTACAGGAGAATCTGTTAGGGAACGTAACGTTAACCGAAGGTTCGGCTTTCTTTGCGCAACACCACCAGAGACTCAAGGACTGCAAGGCGGCTGCATTAAAGTATCTTGGCAAGGCCCAAGAAAAGATGAAAGAACGTAACGATGCTAAATCTAAGTTACGGGTATTTCAGCCTGGCGACCCTGTCCTGGTGTTAAAGCCTCGACTAGGGAACACTATGTCCCACAAGTACGAAGGCCCCTACATTGTGACAGAAAAGACTGGGGACCTCACGTACAAAGTGAGGCACTCTGACAAACGTAACCAGGTAATGCTCATACATGTAAATCGACTGAAGAAGTTCCAGGGCCCCAGGCCCATTGCACTAACCAATGTTTCCATTTCCAGTGAGAGAGGGGATGATTGTTCTGGGGACCCAACTAATCTCATTTTCAATAATTCTAGTTCTGTGAATGCTGTGGAGGGACTGTCCCATTTGCAGATGGCCCAACGTGAAGAGGTGCAGTCGTTGGTTGATGAATTCTCCAGTCTGTTCGGGGAGGTCCCGACCCAGACTGATGCCATTTGCCATGATGTCGAGTTGACGGACTACACTCCCATTCGCCTTCAACCCTATCGGATGAGTCCAGAAAAGAAGGCCATCGTACGGAAGGAGGTCGACTTCTTGCTCCAGCACGGCCTCATCCGGCCGAGCCAGGGCTCTTGGTGCTCGCCCTGCCTTTTGGTCCCCAAACCAGACGGCTCCTGGCGATTATGCACCGACTATCGGCAGCTCAACAAGGTGACCATTGTGGATGCCTATCCGCTGCCCCTCCTCGAGGACTGCATTGACGAGTTGGGAAATGCCAAGTACGTTTCGAAATTCGACCTCTCGAGGGGGTATTATCAAATCCCACTCACTGAACGTGCTAAACAGCTCACTGCGTTCGTGACACCCGAGGGTGTTTTTGAGTATCAAGTGTTACCGTTCGGCTTGCGTAATGCTCCGGCCACGTTCCAGAGACTCATGAACTCTCTACTCGCTAAGGTGCCAAATTGTCGGGCGTATTTAGATGATATCGTGCTGTTTGACAGTAATTGGGCTGACCACATAGCTAGGTTACGCCAGTTGTTTGCCATCTTGAAAAGGGCAAATCTTACCTTAAATGCTAAAAAGTGTCATTTTGGCCAAGGCACAGTGACGTACCTCGGTTATGAAGTGGGCCAAGGAAAAGTGTTACCTCGGCAAGATAAAATCAATGCCATTCTGGAGTATCCAGTACTAAAGTCTAAAAAGGACGTTCAAAGATTTATCGGTATGTGTGCGTACTATCGACGTTTTTGTCAGAACTTTTCCAGTGTTGCCACTCCTCTCACAGACTTGTTGCGGAAAGCCGTTAAATTTAAGTGGTCATCAGACTGTGCAGAGGCATTTAAAAATTTGAAATTGATCTTAGCTTCCGCCCCAGTGCTTGCTAGTCCAAGGTTCGACCGACCGTTTAAAATTCATGTTGACGCGTCTGACTCGGGTGCTGGTGCAGTGTTGTTGCAAACTGGGGATGATCAGGTGGAACACCCAGTATATTATTACTCTGTGAAATTCGACAAGGCGCAACGCAATTATTCAGTGGTAGAAAAAGAGGCGTTGGCGCTAGTGTTAACATGTAAAAAGTTCGAAGTTTACCTCACAGGTAATATAGTGGAAGTGTACACGGACCATAACCCACTAGTCTTCCTGACTCAGATGAAGGGTAAGAATAAACGCATCCTCAGGTGGGCGTTGTACCTACAGGACTTCAATCTTTCCATTACCCACCTACCGGGCAGACTCAACGTGATAGCCGACGCTCTGTCCCGGTTGCCTGAATAACATTCATCTGAGCCACAGAAAGCCATTTACCAACTGTCATGCTTTAGTTATTTTTTTTTAGGTTCTCCTGTGACATTAAATATTCCGTGTCCAATTTATTTACTTCCCTGTTCTTTTATTTTTTTTGTGTATGTTTTTTTTTTTTTCTTTCAGAGAACTCCTTTGTATTTTTTTTTTTGCAGAGAAATTGCTTTTGATTTATTTTTTGTTTTTGTCATATGTTTTTCTTTTTGTTCTCTGTATACTCTTACAAAAAATATGACTACTATTCTAGTAGTCACATTTTTTTTTCTCTGAAGGGGGGAGGAGTGTTACGACCCTGGGTTCTCCAGTGGAAACCAGAGGTCAAAATTGAGCTATTAAACTTCCTAAGTAGTACAGTTGGCGCATTTCGAATGGAAATTGTTTGTATCTTCCCTGCCAGACGTAAGACTATTATTGTTTCTCAAAGAGCATTTAAAGACTGAGCTGGGGGTTGATTATTAAATAATAACATAGGCACCAACTTTGCGTACTAATACTTTCTAATCATTCATAAAGTAACAATACGTTGCATAGGGGAAGATCTTTAATGTGCTTAGCTGCACGATCAATTAGGCCCCTTCCGGCACCACGACATGAGGGAGGCCAGGTGGTCGCGAGGAGCGCGGTCTTCTCTTGGCTGGTGGCGTGAGGTTAAGACCTACTCTGTGGCTGTATCCCTACTCTCCTTCCTTCTCCTCTTACTTATTTCCCTTACCTGAAGTTCCTGTACCCTTAAGTTAAGTATTATATGGTGTAAGTGTGCCTACTCTGGTAGTAACGATTGGGGAGACCTGGGGATAGTATTTTGCCAGTGTTTGGGTACCCCTAAGTGTTGTGTTTTGTATTAGGGTCCCACGTGGTTTCACTACCCTAAGCTGCATCCAGCTTCAGTGCTTATCCAGTAGTACTTTACCCTAGCTTGTTATTAGTGTAAACCTTGTATCCTGCCTACGTGGACCAAGGCTTTTAACGTAAGATAGTGTGGTAAAGTTATTATTATTATTGTTATTGGTGTGAGTGTATATGGGGGGTTGTTAACGGGTTAATAAATAAGTACATGAATTACAGAGTATCTCTTCTTCCAAGGTGGGAGCGCAGTGATCAACCCTTAGACGAACATATTTGGTCTTGTAGCAAGTTATTACTACTGTGGATAGTTTATTTTGGGGGCCGGGCCTTTTAGCTCTCCCATATTTGATACTCCTGTCTTCTAACTACCTATACCCCTTAATAGTACCAGTACCCCATAGAAGCCCCACTCATATCATTTGTAACACAACCCCTCACCAGAAATACATGAACGCTTGTTAGCTAAGATGACCTGTTAGTTGGCAACGTACTTGTTCTACCAGATGGCAACCCAGTTATCAAGGGACCCCTGACAGCAACCCAGCAACACATGCTCAATGCATAACCTTCAAACACTATGTGAAGATGGGCCAGGATGAGAATGGAGAACTAGTGAAGGACTCGCCAGAAAGAGGTGGTTCATTACAGTCAACACTGAATTTCTGGAGAGACCCCGCCCCCTTGGGGAAGTACAGTACTTCCCCAAGCTAATTCACTAATATCTTTAGTTATCAGCTGTTTTTCTTGCTTTTTGGTGAGATAGTTTGAGAAACTATTGAGGGTTCCCACCTAGAAATCCAGCATTCAATGTGCCAGCCTCTTTCTGGTAGATTGCTGAGTAGCCCCTCATTTCCACACAGGCCCTTCTGCCCATGGTGTTCAAAGGTGAACATAGAGCAGTGAATGAATGACTAGGTTGGCTGAAAGGGGCTGCCATCGGCGTGATACGCTTACCAACTAGCATCTTGGCTAGAGAGTCTTTTTACATACCTCTAGGGTTAGGGTTGATAATATTAGGTTTGATGGTAGGGATAACATTTGCTTATTTTGGAGTGCTCTTTCTTTCTGATAGTTTTTCTTCTGTACTGTGGTTATCAGAGATACCAGGCTTCCCTTACCTCTACTTGGGGGCTAGATATTGGTCTTGGTTCCTGGTAGGCACTCGGGCATAAGAGTCTGATGTAAGGTTTGAAAGCTTCTGAAAGACTTGCTAAACGGAGACATTTCATTATACTGTATATTTGAATGTTATGAGTCTATTATTATATATTTACTAGGTGTCTTTTGGGATCTAACTTTTTATGTAAAATTTCAGGATTCATCATCATCATCACCACCAGCTAAGATTACTAAGCTTGGAAGTTTCACTCTCAGAGAGGATGGTGACAATGACCCTATTTCAATTGGGTCAGCATTTGCTAGAAGGAAAGATAAGGAACCTTCATCCCCCATATCAGGTTAGTTTTTAATTGCAGTGACTTAGCACTGTATAAAAGCCTACAATGTATTATGTACCCTATTTTGCATGTAAATATATTTCTGGTGCAGCTCAAAGGAAAAATCTTGTAACCCCGCTTTTACTGCTATTGTGCCTGGTAATGATATCTAGAAATAGATTCCGACACTGGTGGCAAACCTCAAATTGTGAACGACAATAATTGCCTTGCTGGTGGTACAAGATAACCTCTTGTAGTAAGTCATTAAAAAACATTGCATATTTTTTTCATGGGTCTAAATTAACTCCATTATATCCATATAGATGACCTATAACTATATGTAATTTGCATAAAAACCAGGTTGTGAAAACTAAAACCAAGCTGTGATGATAACTGCATTACCACTTTGAAGTCTCTTGCTTTTGTACGTCTGGCTTCAGGCTTTTTGGGGTTACAGTTGTGTGGCAGCCCCTACGTCCATCTTTGTAGATGGTCACTGATACATCCAATTTGGGTTGGCAGTTAGTCTCCAACTTTCATCTGACAGAACCAGGGGCATTAGTCTCCGCAGTTGAGGGGCACACACATTAATGTAAGAGAAATAAGGGTGGTGAAGATGACTCTCCAGTGTCTTTGGTCTTGGGAGGCATGCTATGATTCAGCTACATTTTGATACTTTGCCTGTGGTTCACTGTCTCAGTCAAGGAAATTATTTTCAGTAGGTACTAGCTTCCTGCTCGTCGGCAAAAGTGTACTAGTTGGAAATTCTGCGTCTGTATAAGAATCTGAGAGATCATTTATCTCACTGCCTGCATTGTTAAAATTTAGAGAAGTTTGTGGGTAGGATCCTGTTCGTAGTTTAATGGTGGCCGATTCATCCTTAGTTCCTTGATCTCCTCTCATGTTGCCCTCATCTAGATAATCTGCCCAGGGATTAGCTGTTGAACATAGGTGGAATTTTCTATCCTCTCTGTTGCCCTTCACTTTTGGAGTTTTTAGAGCAGTTATATTGCCATAATATAGAAGGCTGATAGAGATTTGTTGATCATTTATTTGTTCCCCCTTCATTTTGTGTCACTGATTCCAGCACTGTGTATGCTTTTGTGGTGGCTTCTTTGGCTTGCTGTGGGTTCCCTGGGGTCTCCTGCTTCTACAATTACATTCCAATAAATTTCTGTGGTATGTTATTTAGAAGTTGTTACTCTGTGGAGAGCTGGCTTGGGAACCGACCGAGGGTGCCTTACTATAAATTAAATCCCCATTTCTGAATGGCCCATCAGTTGCTCCCTGTCGCTATATAGTCCTAATGGCTTGGCACTTTCTACTGAGAATTCCCTTCTCCTCCCTCTCATCTTGCCAGTTTTGACTGGAAGTATACCAGTATGCAACAAGTGTGGCTTGTCGGTGTCTTCAACCTAGACGGGGGGTGAATGTGTTCCTATCTGGTGGTGGGTAGTGTTGCTGGGAAACAAGCTTTATATAGTGTGCAGATACAGTATTTAACTGGTTCCTTGAGTTTTAGTTACTTATTGAAGAAATGGTTGAATTTGTTTGTACTTTTTTTATGATAGCAAGCCATCTCTGGTGGATAGCAATACTGTAGCAATGATAGCAAGCCATCTTGATGGTGGATAAAAATTTTGTCAGCACTTTTTCTCCAGTTGAGGGGGCAAGACAATTGAAAAGGTACTTGAACCTTCTGTGATTATCAGTGACTCAAGTAGGCATGGGTATGTGGCTTGGGAAGCATCTGAGGAACTGCTCAGAGAAATGGGGTTTCATAAACTTGATCCCAAATTTTGTATTTCTTTAATTTTATTTATTTATATTATTTTATTTTCCATTGTACAGGTGCAGCAGCTATCAGAGCAGCATCATCAGCAGCAGCAGCCTCGGGATCATCACCAGGCATACAAAAGAGGAAAGCTGAGGATCCACCACCAGATGTGGGATTCTATCAGCTCAAGAAAAAAGCAGTTCCAGGTAGAATTAGATGGTGTTAAAATATTGTGTACATCATGTATTGGTTCAGTATTTGAATACATTGTAAGCATTTATATTTAATGAAAACCTGAATTATTTTTAGTAGATAAATTGATTCACATACACAAATTAATGTCTTGTATCTTGTCTTTTCTTGTATAAATTATTCTGATTTACATACTGTACACAAATTTACTTCTTATATGAGAAAAGTCGTAGGAGCTGTGATGAGGATTCGAAGCTGTGCGGTGGGTGTCCTCGTGCACATGCCCTAGTCAACTAGGCCGCAACATGGTCAAAAGGATTGCAACCTGGAGTTCTACTGAACTCATGAAGGTTTCCTGAGGTTTCCACTGAAGCCAGACCAGGATTTTCACACAATCCCCAGCCCATGCATCCATTCACGGCTCCTACGGATTTTCTCATTGATACGTCACGTTAGTGTGATTGCTCTCTGTTTACTTCTTGTATGTTATCTTGTCTCATAAGCTAGCCTGCCCATTTCTTATAATGCTGAACTCTTGGGCATGGGTGTCTGCCTGCTCCAGAGGTTTGTTGTGTACCCTGTACTATTGATAGGTCACTTCTGGTTTTTGTTACAATGCCTTCCTCACCGTGTTCTGCCCCAGCTTCTCATGTGTAACAGGTTTTTGTTCCATGGGCCATTCCTGTTCCCTGGCAGTTACCTTGTTAGGGTTCAGCCTTCCTGACTGTAGGTTAAGCAGATACAGTATTTGCCACACATACAGTTTTCAAACTTTTGGATGTCCAGCAGGGATTTACCCTTTGGTTTTTCCTTATTGTCAGTTTGTACCACACTTTCTGGTTTTAGCCTACCAATTGTGTATTGAATGGTCCTTTTTACTTGGGAAGATCCGACTTTCCCATCCATTTATCTATCCACTTTTCCTTTCGTGGAACTCCTCGAGTCTATGGGTGATTGTTCTTGGATGTCAGCCCACAGGGGTAGCTTGTTGCTAGTGGGCATCCAGCATTCTGGTAGTGCCCTTTTTTCCTGTTGCTTGTCATTTTCTGGGATGTTCTGCTAAGGGTTTTATTTCAGTGTCCGCTTTATTGATGCCCTCCCCTGTACTTCTTGGGTACCTGGGTCCTTTTCACAAGTGGGTATGTGATATGTGGGAGATCTTGGTCCTTTTAGTTGGCCCTGCCATCCTCTTGGTCATTAGCATGCCAAGCAGCAGTTCATTTTCTGGCAAATGTCTGGTACTTTCAGTTGTAGTATGCTGTGGGAGGGTTTATTTTGTTGGCCTTGGAACAGGTCTGTGCCTACATTTTTTATACTCATTCAGGTATATATATTCAGGTATGTTTATACTCATACTCATTGAGGGGCCTCGTAGCCTGGTGGATAGCGCGCAGGACTCTTAATTCTGTGGCGCGGGTTCGATTCCCGCACGAGGCAGAAACAAATGGGCAAAGTTTCTTTCATCCTGAATGCCCCTGTTACCTAGCAGTAAAATAGGTACCTGGGTGTTAGTCAACTGTCACGGGCTGCTTCCTGGGGGTGGAGGCCTGGTCGAGGACTGGGCCGCGGGGACACTAAAAGCCCCGAAATCATGTCAAGATATCATGTCAAGAAGGTTCCCAGCTTCAGTACTGACTTTGGCATTCAGGTGTTCCAGGTTCATGGCCCTCCTGTCACTTGTACTGCTTGAGACTGATACAGTGGCTTTGGGACCTGGTCCTGTGGCTAAAGCGCAGGCCACGTACCAGGTTATCCTGCCCGTTTATTAGTTTGGGTGAGCCAACCAGTTTACATGCTTCTTAAAGGTGTTCTCCCATGTTCCTCTGTGTGTTGGGTCATCAGCTGCAACCAGGTGGCAGCCCAGATCACCCAGCTGCCCACCCACTTGGGCTGGACGCTAGAGCGACGGTCTCGCTTCTTGCAGGTCGGTGTTTATTTCCCAACCATCCAAGTGGTTGGGCACCATTCCTTTCCTCCATCCCATACCAAATCCCCACCCTGATTCCTTAACTTGAGAGCTATATAGTCATGGTGGCTTGGCACTTTCTCCTGATAGTTTCCTTCTTGCTGCAAGACTGAATATGTAGTTAAACTGGACCCAGGTTCTTTTGAGTTTGAGTCCACTGCCACTACTGGGCTGATGAATGAGGTCTTGATTTCATCCTGGGAAGGAAGAGTCCCATGTTTTTACATGAGAATTGGTGACTTTTGATGTTCCCTGGCTTTTGAGTGGAGTTATGTCTCCTTGGTCTTTTTGGGGGATCCTCCTTTGACGGTACTAGGTTACCAACAGCTTTAGTCTTTGTGGATCACTCGGCCAACTTTACCCTAAAAATGCCATACATTCTAACTGACAGCAAAATGAGGGCAGTAATCAGAGGCAATGTATCGGACTGGAGAAATGTCACGAGTGGAGTCCCACAGGGTTCATTTCTGGCACTGGTAATGTTCATTTTCTACATAAACAACCTGCCATAAGAAATACAGAATTATATGAACATACTTGCTGATGATGCTAAGATACTAGGGAAGATAAGAAACTTAGAAGATTGTCATGCCCTTCAAGAAGACCTGAACAAAATAAGTGTATGAAGCACCACTTGTTATGGAATGTGAAATAGCAGAAAGTAGACCACACACAACTTGCAAATTATGTGAAAAAGCTTTAAAAAAATTCTGATAAAGAAAGAGATCTAAGGGTGGTTTTCTATTGCCTGAGAACCATGTAAATGTGGTTCTCAGGTGATACCTGAGAACCACATAGGCTCCTCAGAACATTGTGTTAGGAACCTATGCTATGCTTTCCAATTTCAGAATTGCTTTTACATACATACATGGATGGTGAAATACTAAAGAAATTGTTCATGACCTTTGTGAGACCAAAGCTGGAATATGCAGCAGTTGTATGGTGTCCATATCTTAAGAAACACATCAACAAACTGGAAAAGGTGCAAAGACATGCAAATAAATAGCTCCCAGAACTGAATGACAAGAGCTACAAAGAGAGGTTAGAGGCATTAAATATGCCAAAACTAGAAGATGGAAGAAAAAAAAGCGATATGATCACTACATACAAAATAGTAACTGGAATCGACAAAATTGATAGGGAAGAATTCCTGACACCTGGTACTTAAAATACAAGAGGTCATAGATTTAAACTAACAAAACAAAGCTGCTGAAGAAATATAAGAAAATTCACTTTCACAAACAGTTGTAGATGGTTAGAACAAGTTAGGTGAGAAGGTGGTGGAGGCCAAGACCGTCAGTAGTTTGAAAGCATTATATGACAGAGTGCTGGGAAGATGGGACACTACGAGTATAGCTCTCATCCTGTAACTACACGTGGGTAATTACACCCATAAATCCTTTTACCACCCTCTGTTAATTATACTACATTCTTGTTTATATCCTGAGATATGATTGTCTGTCTAGCGACTCTATCCCAACCACTTGGGGTGGACAACACAGTGATGGTCTTGCATCATGCAGGTCGGCATTCAGTTCCCAACCATCCAAATAGTTGAGCACTATTCTTTTCTCCCCGTCCCATCCCACATCTTTATCCTGATCCATTCCAAGTGCTCTATAGCCGTAATGGCTTGACTCTTTCTGCTGATAAATACCTTCCCTTTCTGAATTAATTAAATCATATCTAGTTTTATTATTGTTCGCAGATCAAGATCCAGTGAAGACCCCAACTGGATCCAAACCAGCTCATCCTCCCTCAGTTTCTAGCTCCCACAAGAAAGATCAGATTAATGTCAGAGATAAAGACAGACATGAATCGGATAAGCGTAAAAACGGCAAAAAGGAAGTGAAACATAGGTCATTTGAAACTGTTGAGAAAGAGGTAAAAGAAAATAGAAACAAAAATGCAAATAACAAGACAGACACGAAGAATGGTAAAGCATCTTCATCCAAACCTTCTGCATCTGCCTCATCTGCTGTCAATAGGAAATCTAAGCCTTTTTCTTCACTCATGGATGATGTCATATTTGTTATGAGTGGCTATCAGAACCCCCAACGATCTCAGCTACGAGACATGATGATAGATATGGGAGCCAAGTACAAAGGTGACTGGGAACCAAAGTGCACCCACTTAATGTGAGTTTCATTTCCATTTTGTCTCCCGTACACAAAACTTTCCAGATACAGTAACTCAATATGTTTAAATATCCAGCACTGACAGTGTGAGTTTTCTTTGCTATTTACATTTTGTGCTCTAAAAGTAAGATCTACAGAGTCCTTTAGGCAAGGATCACGTCAGTCTGATTGGTGATCATTTTTGCATTATTGCCACAAGGAACTATTTAAACATCTCCTGTATGGTAATAAAAGATGCTTATGGTCACTGGAGATGAGCTTAATTCAGCCCAGAATGACTGACATAAGGTCCATTCCATATAAATTCAAAATACTAGTATGTGTACTGTAACGTAGTGGTATACGCCATTGGCTCATAACCAAGGGTCCTAGATTTAATTCCCAGGAAGGACAGAAACAGTTGGGTACATTTCTTGTGAACAGGGGCACCTGATGGTTCTGTTCACCTAGCAGTAAATACGTACAGTACACTGGAAGGGAAGGGGATTATCAGGAGAATGCTACAAACTAATATAACTATATTTCACATGGAAAGGATCAGGATAGGTACATTGGAGTTAGAAAATGTTTATAGGTTATCTTTTAGTGAAGGTCAGTAGTTAGTCATGGGGGACCATATTCTTGGGATAAATGAGGCCTCCGAAGCCTACTCAGCAACCTAGTACCCATAACCACCAAGAGATGGCAGTGTCTCATCCAAGACTTGGTCCTTGAGCCTCAACAACACCTGCCTTATTCCATAGTATTTGGTTACAAGTTTGATAGGCTGGAACAAAAGAAAAGTAGACTTGTTTATACACTGAATTACTGTTCATTCATTCATGTGGCCTATGCTGTTCTTGTGTATTCTGTAAATTGTCACCCACACTACTGTAAATATTGAACATTTCGTTCACCTGGGCACCAAGAGACTCGAACCACTGACTCCACAAGCAAGAGGCTAAACTTGTTTCCACTATACTTATGGACAGTTTTAATATGGAAGGATTCCAGAAACAGCTAACCTCTGCCCAGGTGGAGTTTTAAGCCTTTCTTGGCTTCCACTATAAGAGGTGATATGATCACTACATACAAAATAGTAACAGGAATTGATAAAATCGATAGGGAAGATTTCCTGAGACCTGGAACATTAAGAACAAGAGGTCATAGATATAAACTAGCTAAACACAGATGCCGAAGAAATATAAGAAAATTCACTTTCGCAAACAGAGTGGTAGACGGTTGGAACAAGTTAGGTGAGAAGGTGGTGGAGGCCAAGACCGTCAGTAGTTTCAAAGCGTTATATGACAAAGAGTGCTGGGAAGACGGGACACCACGAGCGTAGCTCTCATCCTGTAACTACACTTAGGTAATTACTAAGACACAGAGGAAATTAGTGATTCACACCCACCTCATAAAATTTCCATAAAATTTTATTAAACTTCCAGCTGGGCAGTGGCTAGTTGCTTCAAGAATCCTTCCTTATTAAGGCTATCCATAGTATAGTGGATAGAGCTTCTGTCTCCTGCACGTGGGGTCGGTGGTTCGAGTCTCTTAGTGCCCAGGTAAATGTTATGTATTATATGTATAGTGTATATGGTTTTACACATTTATGAATAATTCTTGTGTCCTTGTACAGTAATTTTGTACTAGATTCTTTGTTAATGTTGCACAGCAGTGGTTGAGCTCCTGCAGGTGTTTGTACACCTTTGCCATGGTTCTCTTGTGGTCCTCTGGCAGCAGGTTACTCTCCAGTATCACCTCAAGTCTCTACTTGGCGACTTCTGTAACATCTTCCATATGGTGAAGATGTTACACCCTTCCTTAGGGTGAATGTTGTGTGGCCTGGCTTTTCTCACTCCAATATTTACATTTATCTACATTCAATTCCATTTGCCATGTATTGTTTCATTGGAAATGGAATTTAATCGGGATAAATGCCATGTAAAGGAATGCAGGAAAAGTGAAACCAGATTATGTTCAACTTATGAATTATAGGGAAAGATGTTACATAATGCAGGCCAAGGAAAGAGATTAAGCAGTCCCTGTGGCGTAGTGGTAAGATGCTCGCCTGGGGTCTCACGAGCGTTTTGTCCTGGGTTCGTATCCTGGCCAGGGAGAATTTACTGGGCGCCAATCCTTAACTGTAGCCTCTGTTTAACCCAACAGTAAAATAGGTACAGTACCTGGTTATTAAACGATTTGGCGAGTCGTATTCCGGGGAACATAAGATCAAGGACTTGCCCAAAATGCTATGCATGCTAGTGGCTGTACAAGAATGTAAGAACTCTTGTAGATATAAAAAAAAATATATATATATATTTGGGGGATGCTGAATAGTAAGCTTCTGCCACAGGACAACATTAAGAACATCAAGAACCTGTAATAAATTGACCAATTTCAGAAATACCTTCACTTGGACAAATTACCAGTTGTCTGTCCATCCATTGTTTGCTGTTTTTTTTAGGGGGTATAATTGATATAAACTAGTTTTATTAGTGTAAACAAGAGAACATATATTTTTGCATATTTTGATTCAAAATCATATACAAAAATCAGATTTGTGCAGTGTATTAAAACATTTATCTTTGTTGGAGATTTTGTTACATTTACAGTGGAACCTTGATTTGGCGAATCTCCACTTGGAACATACCTTCTTTGATCCACGGAATGGGCACTTTCCATTCCAGATTTACTTGATTGATTCTCTATGAAACATGGAATGTGTGGATTTGCTGAGGATGTTAGGACCGAGTTCACAGATGGAGGCAACATTACAACATGCTGCCTGAAAGGCAACGTTGGGGCCTTGGTAAACCCTCTTGAGTATATTTAAAACCAAATTCTATGGTTCTATTTTATTTCCAATTGCAGAGGTTTTTGTTCAGTAAAATATGGGCCCTTTTTGCTTTGAAAATGGGATTTCGAGGTTTGGGTGTGGGAAATTTGCTAGATATGGTCAAGTCTCTTTACAGACAGGTTCTCTTGGTTGTTGCCCTTTATATGACAGGTTGAAATTATAATTTTGTTCATTAAAATCGGCCCATAGAGCATGGGAAATATCAAGTACAAATGGTAATTCTCTTAATACGGTTCCAATCACATTTTTGAGGATTTTTATAGATGTTCTCAACATTATTAGAAAAGCTATTGAGGATCTTTAAAACCAAATTCTATGGTTGTTTTCATTATGAGCTTGCAAGGTTTTTGTTCACTCCAGCATAGCCCTGCTATGTTTTGTTCACTCCAGCATAGCCCTGCTATGTTTTGTTCACTCCAGCATAGCCCTGCTATTTTTGTTCACTCCAGCATAGCCCTGCTATGTTTTGAAAATCAGTTTTGTGGCTGTGGACATGAGAAATAAACTGGATGTGGTTACATTTTTTCAGACATGTTCATTTGATAGTTGTCTACTATAGGTTGAAATGAAAATTTTATCAAGTGAAATTGACCCATAAGTGTGGGAAATGCATCCTGGAGGCATCGCTGGTTGCATGAAATCCCTCGCTGCAACAAATCAAGGTTGCACTGTATTAACATTACAAATAATAATTCTCCAGATTATCTCATTTATTAGGACACGTAATCCAGTGCATCTAACACTAGTCAGATGTTCTTCTTTAGAGTGCCTTTAGTTTTCCACAGGACTGCGATTGTGTTCAAGTGCAGTACAACTTCCACAGTGTTGTTATGATGATATATTGTCAGTAGTTTAAATATTTAATGCACTATTTCTTACCACCCTGCAGTTGTGCCTTTATAAATACTCCAAAATACCAGCAAGTGAAAGGTCGAGGGAGAATTGTCAGTGCCAAATGGATCAGTGACTGCCACAAGAACAAGATCAGATATCCTTGTAAAAGGTAACTGTATTTGTCATGGTTTTGTCTTGCTGCTTTAGTGACTTCCCTACTGTTTGATTTGAATGTTTATTAACTATATGTGTCTATGATATATTTTGTACTATATACTTATCTTTAAGACTATACCAACAGCTAGTTAAATACTTGAATTACCAAATGGTGTCTTCTATATACTGTAAATAGATATGCACTGGAAAAGGGACATGACCAGACTGAGAGTGAAGATGAGATTTGGGCATTAGAGTTACTTCCCAAAGATTCCAAACCAGCAACTGACCCACCTGCATCAGCCTCTGTCTCAGGTTTATATCATTATTATTGTCCTATAATTTTCAACATGAGCTGTTATACATAAGGGTGGTAGGTTAAAAAAAAAAACAAGAAGAACCTTTTTGCATCTCCACACACCTACTGAACTTCTCTTTCCAGCAGTCTTTTGATGTACTAGTTATTTCTCCTCAGGGTAAAGCTGCCCATCTCTGGACATTGGTGTCAGTAAAAACCTTATGTAACAAAACTAAAAAAAGTGGAATAAGCTCTTTAAATATAGTCCTGTACTATACTCCAAAAACTTTCAAGTAAAAAAGGTATCTAATTGAAACCTGATAGAATAGGTATTATAGTTAAATTTTCCATGATTCAGTGCAAGGGGCCAGATTCACGAAAGCACTTACGCAAGCACTTACGAACGTGTACATCTTTCCTCAAAATTTGACAGCTTTGGTTACATTTATTAAACAGTTTACAAGCCTGAAAACTTTCCATTCAACTGTTGTTATTGTTATAAACAGCCTCCTGGTGCTTCAGAGCCCATTAACTGTTTAATAGTTGTAAACAAAGCCGCCAAAGATTGAGTAAAGATGTACAGGTTCGTAAGTGTTTGCGTAAGTGCTTTTGTGAATCTGGCCCAAGGTTATTTAAAAAAAACATTATTTGTTTTTTATTGTCAGATTTAAAGGGTTATGTGTTAATTTTTTGTTTCAGGTGAATATAGCCTCCTTAATTGTAGGATGCTATAGGGGTAGACACCTAGAAAGATGCATCATGGGTAATAAATAGTGTTTGGAAAAACCTGACAACCAACTGGGTTGAGATGAAAAAGATAGATTTATGATTAATGAAGAGAGAAACCTGATGATCAGGAAGTCTAGCCTCATCTGGCTTTACCAGATGAAGGGAAAACTAATGGGGGTAAGGCTTAACATGAACTATAGGAAAGAAAACCTCTACATCTGCTAAAAGTAGTTGGAAGTTGTGTAAAAAAAAAAATGTTGTGTATTTTAATTTTCAAGTTTATAATTTTTTCATATTGAAATTTCAGTACAGGATGAAAATGACTACAATGACGACATCGACACAAGTGACAATGAAGATACCGATGATGAGATTGAAAGGCAAGTCACAAATTTGTTTGCAGCTACTTAATTGAGGTTAAAATATTACTTAAGATTCTGAGGATGGTATGGGACCCAATGGGTTGCCATAGTACCACACCTGGGACACCCTGTAGTGTAGAGGTTAGCACACCTACCGCAAGTCAGACAACCTACGATTACAATAGTAATTTGTTTGTTTTTTAAATGTAGAAGATATGTTTACAGTGATTACTTAGTAGTACAGTATTTTTATTTTTTGTGTGAAGCCACTAATTATGTGGAGCACTGAGCAGTATTTGGGATCTTAATATAAAATGACTTGTAGATCATATTCTGAGAAGACATGTATTGTGGAGAATAAGCTAACTGGCTGCAGTACCTGGGTTGTGTGTACCTGGTGTCTTCCTAGGGGGTATGTCTGGCAGAGCCATACTCTCCGTGGGGCTTTCCACTTCCTACCACAATTGGGTTGGGTGAGGTAAGGTCATTATCAGGAGAAAGCACGAAGCCATTATAGCACCTTTGTGGAACATTAGGAAAAGGATTTGGGATAGGACAGAGGAGTGTTTGTTCATCCCTCACTGGGAGGAATGAATATCTCTGCATCTCTGGTGTTGAAGTCATTGACCCCCCAAGCAGTCTACCCGTCGTGTGCTGGGTCTGGGGATCAGTTTGCTCTGTGTAAGGCTCAGTAGCTGGTCCTCCCTCCTGCATAATTTCATAAACTTAGGTCTTATAGGTTTTGAGAGAATATTATCCTGGCAACATGTTACATTTGTTGAAGTTAAATCTGTAACTTCAGATTTTGTAAGCAATGTAGATAAACTAGATAATCATGCTATTATATTTAATAGAGTTCTTGCAAGACAGAAAAAAACTGAAGATGAGCTGACTAGCAGGAAGACCAACTCCTCAAACAGTACAAGATCTGATACTGATGCAAAAGTGAAAGAAAAAAATAATAAATCGACTCCAAAATTAAATGAAAGGAAAGACAAAGAAGTTCCTCTGAGCCAGGCAAAGAAATCTAAGATAGTTAAAGTAGATGAAAATGCAACAAAATCAAATGGCACAGCAGTGAGCAGTGATGATGAGGTGTATGATGATGACACGGATGTGGACGAAGAAAACATCAAATATCTGGTAAGTATTGGAAGCGGCAGTCAATTTTGAACTTTCCCTTGTAGCATTTTGGACATAATATATTTGCTCTGTGTGTTCAGTGGAAAAAAATTAATACCATTGAATAAGCCTGCATCATATACATATTCAATTACATGTTGTTTATTTAGATAGTCCAGCAGCTCAACTCTCATAACTAACCATAGAATTTCCCAGTTTGGTCTGCCTTCACTCCCAATAAAGCATTGGTTAAAGTTTATTCTGTGAGAAATGAATAGAAAATAAAATACAACCAGTTCTCCCATGAGAATCAGTCAGCAAATAATGGAAAGGGTAAGGAAAGTTACATTGAAAGAGGATACCAATGTAAATACAAGACCTGTGTATTGTTACATTGGTGAAGCATGGTTTGGATCATGGTTACTTGTCCACTACTGGCAGTTATCACCATTGGTTCAACATTAATGTGAATGTGGCATATTGTAATCAATTTTATTATCTAGAACTTTACTGGGGAGCAATACATGGGTATATGAGGTACATATTTTTATACTCTTAGAACAGAATGGAATATGTGTCAACTCTGCTTTTGTGAAATCCCCTCCTCCTCCCCAAGCAGAAATATTAAATTTAGCTAGACATTTGTTAAAGTATGGAGTATGTATATTAATGTGAGTGATGGATGCCTACTACCACTACTTACATTAGAGTTCTACACTTTGCATATATTGAGGTTTCAGTATTATCCTTTAATGCTTCAGATTGACCTAAGCAGTTCTACTCATAAAAATAGCAGTAGTGGGGCCTCTAGCATCTCGATGTGTTTCTAATGCCAATTTTGAATACAGAACATATACTTGTATAGAATTTGCTGATGCAATATATTCCCATCTCAAGGTACTGAGCTATGAAAAAAAATATGTATCCGTTAGGCACCCCAACAAAATATTCAGTAAAGTTATTTAGAAAACTTAAGCATATTTTGATGTTATAAATTTATAGAAAAATAAGGAAATTATGTAAAATATTTTAGTTGTAATAATTCTGGTGTCAGGAGAAGGGAAAAGTTGCTCGCCCTCAGTGGTCTCCAATGTTATCAGTTTTCTTGTCTTATAGTATACTATTTTCTTGTCTTTTAGTATACTATTCACATACTGTATCTTAAGGCAGTGAAGCCCAGTTGTAGTCAATAATATCCGAATGATCACAAGTTTCATCCAAAATCATGGCGAGACACGTTTTTGTGATCTAAGCTCGACGGACATGCACTTGCTATCATGGCTATGTGAAAAACTATTCATGGTCACTAGAGTGCCAGAGACCTTTATCGATCAAGTGCAACAACCATGCATCAGCCGACTTGTGTTTACTTAACCCATACGTGAAAGCATCAATTGACGTTAGTCGCTGCATAACTTTATCAAATGCATGACATCAATTGATGTTGCATCTTAAAGGGTTAAGTATTACATCTACATACAAGATTGTGTTATAGATAAATCTTTTAATTCATATCGGAGGATTTTCAAGAAGTTAATAATCGTAGCTTTTATTCCATTTTAGATTCCAACAATTTTGTTTTCAATGGCAATGGACTAGTGACTTTACAGCATGTACTTAGTATAAGCAGGATGTAAAATATAGCCTTGTGGTAATATAATAGTATATAATTATTTCCATTATGCATCAGATCTCTTAATACAGTATTTCTCTCCTCTGGCTAGAAACCACCTGACACCTCTGCTCTACCACTACCCACCATCGGGGAGTACCTCAAGGGCAAGTGTCTTTTTGTACATGGAAAGATGGCAGAAGAAAAGAAGAAATTGCTGCAACGTTATATTATAGCATTCAATGGGTAAGATTCCTACAACACAAACGTTTTCGTTGTTTCCTTAATAACATCGACAGTATTTAAGACTGAGAGAAGTAGTTACTGTATTGGGCCTAATTGTATTTCTGCTAGGTATACTTGGTGGTTTCCCTAAGCTAAGGTACTAATACTAAGGGCAGAAGTTAGTTAATAAGGCCTCTGATGACATTTGTAGGCCTACCACAAATACAGGTCCAGAATCTGGTATTTTAACATAAGCATAGCGATCAAATATTACTATGCTTCCTTGTAACACTAAAGCAAACTGTAGAGCAAGTCATCACCAAACAGACAAAAGATCATATGTGGAAACATGGTAAGTGATAATTGGCCAGCAGTAACATCCCTTGTTCAACTTTCCCCATCACCAGGTGGTGTTCAACCTTCCCCATCACCAGGTGGTGTTCAACCTTCCCCATCACCAGGTGGTGTTCAACCTTCCCCATCACCAGGTGGTGTTCAACCTTCCCATCACCAGGTGGTGTTCAACCTTCCCCATCACCAGGTGGTGTTCAACCTTCCCATCACCAGGTGGTGTTCAACCTTCCCATCACCAGGTGGTGGTCCAGGTCACCGTCTGTCACCAGCCCAGCTTTCACTTGTGTACCAGATTCATTGATGACCAAGCTGGAGACTTCACTTGTGTACCACATTCATTGATGACCAAGCTGGAGACTTCACTTGTGTACCACATTCATTGATGACCAAGCTGGAGACTTCATTTGTGTACCACATTCATTGATGACCAAGCTGGAGACTTCACTTGTGTACCACATTTATTGATGACCAAGCTGGAGACCTTTGTGGGCCGTGTTGTTCTTCACGCACCATTTTGGCTGGTGCAAAATGGTTCATGAACTTGTTTCCTCATGTTTGTGCTTGATTGTTAATATTCTGCACCTTGCATCATTCTGCAGCCTCACCATCTGCACCTTACACCATCAACTTCACTCCCTACAGTTAGGGGGGTAACTGAATGAATACTCAAGAGATGCCTTTTGTATGCTCAATGCTTGATTTAAGGAATAAGACAACCCATCCTCCTGTTTAGAAAATACCTATTGTGATGATTATCAATAGTCAGAATGTGTACGTTCTTAGTTTTTACATAGTAGTATACTGACTAATAAGGAATTCTCTTAAATAAATGAAGCTAAAACCCAAACATAAATATTCCTAGGCCTAGTATAGCACACATATGTACTATATTAGACCTCAGAAGATATTGTGTATTAGGCCTATGGAGTTGGTTAGGATAGGTTAGTTTAGTTTGTCAGAGCAACATAAGTAAAAAAATAGTTTTCAGGTTTATCCAACTCAGTAGTTCAGATTTCTATATTCTGATTTCTTTGTAGGTCAGTATATATATATATATATATACTCATCGTCATCATCGTTACTATAATACTACCAAAACCGGAGGATGGGCTGGAATAAGAATATAGGGAAAATAAGATATACTGACTTTAATTTGTTGATTTAATCATTGCATGATTTAAGGAAATAGAGATTCTATGATTATGGTTGATGTTAAAAGTTTACAAAAAAGTAAAATAGATCAGGGAAGCTGATACCCGAATCCTATTAAAGATATTCTTGACTCATTTCATTTAGATTTTGAGCTAAAGCAAACATACACTTTATACATGTAAACAATATTTTTAGCCCATTAGCTTCTTTATATACAGTATTAATAAGTAAAATATTGATGCACTTGTTCCTGAATTAGCTGATTATAATTTCATTATATCATTGTGTATTTTCCATTTCAGAGACCTGGCAGATTACATGAGTGATAAAGTACAGTTTGTCATTACTGAGGACACCTGGGATGAAAATTTTGATGAGGTATGTGTTAGAAAAGTTGTGCAGACTGCATCAGAGCAGACCCCTGCCACCTGTTATGTATGTCATGAAGGCACTGCACCCCTTAGGGCAGGGGTGCTAAACTTCAGGGAGGATGGAACCACCCCAGTTGTGAAGCATCATTGATGGGAAAAATCTGAAATAAGCTGCGAACACAGGGTTCAACATGCAAAAGACCTGGGGCCAGATTCACGAAGCAGTTACGCAAGCACTTACGAACCTGTTCATCTTTTCTCAATCTTTGGCGGCTTTTTTTACAATTATTAAACAGTTAACGAGCTCCGAAGCACCAGGAGGCTGTTTATAACAATAACAGTTGATTGGGAAGTTTTCATGCTGTAAACTATTTAATAAATGTAACCAAAGCCATCAAAGATTGAGGAAAGATCTACACGTTCGTAAGTACTTGCATAACTGCTTCGTGAATCTGGCCCCTGGGTCCTAATAACAAATTACCTACATGGTTACGAAAACTGATGCCAGAGCTGACTACCTGCATACATCATATACACAAAATAACTTGCTGTTTTGTCTGTTTTAGATTTTTTGGGAGAAGCCTCATAGCGTCAGGGAACCACCATCCCACTGAGATGATTCCCCCTCCTAAGTCAATCACCCATAGCACTCATGTATGGCCTACTTGGAACCAGTGCCAGAACCTGGTCTCTGTAACAATTACCCTGTGTGCCTTTGCAATCACTCTCACTGAGAAAACATCCAGAATGTAAGCGGAGCAATACGGACAACTGCAAGATTCATAGAAAACAAAGCACTGAAACAGCCAATGACCCTACAAACAGTTCACTCAAACTAGCTTGAACCTCCCTAGTTATGCCTGACCACCAACAGGTGGCAGGACCACTAGAAGCTCTCGGCCTTTGCCCCATTTTGAGTCATTCCTGTCGCTGAGGTCTGAAGCATACCAGGAGGGGGTTTCGAGAGTTCTTCTACTCCCTGAGTCTGTCTGGTCTGGGGCCAAGCTCGACTTGTGATAATTTGATCCAATAGGCTGTTGCTTGGAGCGGCCCGCAGGCCCACATATCCACCACAGCCTGGTTGGTCTGACACTTCTTGCAAGAACCTGTCAAAGTGCCTCTTGAATATACATCCACCTTTGTTCCGGCAATATTTCTAATGCTTGCTGGGAGGGTGTTGAACAGCTGTGGACCTCTGATGCTTAGACAGTGCTCTCTGGCTGTGCCTATGGCACCTCTACTCCTCACTGGTTTTATTCTGCATTTCCTTCTATACCTTTTGCTCCAGTATGTTGTTATTCTACTGTGCAAATTTGGGACCTGGCTTTCAAGTACCTTCCATGTATATATTATTTGATACTTTTCTTGTTTCCTTTCCACAGAGTACATTTCAAGAGCTTTGAGACAGTCCCAGTAATTTAGATGCTTTATCTATTCTATGTGTGTCGTATATGTTCTCTGTATTCCCTCTTAATTCAGAGAGGTTTGTGAATACAGACCTCCTTGTGTCGCTGGCTGAAGTGAGTCCCGCTTCTTTTCAAGTGTGGGCCATCCTTTGGACACTCTTCGTAGCCAAGTTTATTCTGTAGGCTGTATTTGGTGTTGGTTCTTTCAGTTAGCCTCCCTAATGCCTGTGTGTCCTGCTTGATTACATTTCTTCAAGCCCTGGTAACTTCCTTGCGGGTTTGTGGCATAGCTTGTCGTGGGTCAAATTTCTGAGCCCCCACTTGCTATTTGTGAGTTTGAAAGATGGTTTGGTACTCTAATTGGATGCCCCTAGGATGTTTAAGGACACAGATGGAGGGTCTGGTGTATTCCACTTGTTCTAAGTTTGCTCCTCATCCTCCTTCCCTGCTGGTGTGGTTCATCCTGTGTTTGGTCTCCCCCCTTCCCCTGTCCTGCTTCGAGCTGTGAAGCATTTCTTTGGGGATTTGTATCATGGCTTATCTTGATGATTGGCTGGTTTGGGCTTCCAGGCAGTCTGTAATTCAGGATCTGGTTGGACCCGATTTGAAATTTTTGGTCAACATCTCTTCTTACCTTTTGCAGCTCTACTCTGCCTGCAGCAGCAGCATCACTGTCTGGTATCGAATTGGCCCCAGGTGACTCTGTGATTGGTCAAGTGGTTGTACAGGAGCCTGAACTTTGTCTGCATAGTGTTCCCCTGGGCATGGTTTGTCTCTGGGTGTTGAACTTGTTCCTCCAGTTCTACCATTGCCAAAACCATTGGCTTGGGGTCCTCTTGCCCTTCGTCAGCTCTTGCTTCACAAGCTTCCTCTATGAGTTTTTGGGAGTTCGATTCTGTGGTGCCATCCTCCCCAGTTGCTCGATATGTTTTTAGACACTTCAGCTCTGGGTTGGAGTTTTGTGACCAGTGCTCACCAAGCCTCTAAGTTGTTGATCAGGTCCACTCCTTTGGGCACACAGTACTTGAGTTTGCAGCAGGTCCTTTGGGGGGTTCACCTTCCTCTGGGCTCTGTTTTCCAGCTCCATTCCATCTGCTTCCCAATGATTAATTCACTGAACCACGGAAGGTCACTTTGGTCTTTTCCCCACTTGGAGCTGGACTCTTGTAGCCCGGCTTTTGCCTTCTCAGGATTTAATTCTCTATGCAGTTCATGTGTGGGGTGTGTCCAATATTCATACAGAAGATTTATCTCGCTTGTCCTATTCCACAGAGCAGACCAGCGATGACTTGTCCTCCCGTTGGCTGTGCGAGACAGTCAGCCGTCTGCAAGGTGGACCTCTTTGCAACTGTATGGAACTGGCAGTTTCTTTCTAATATGACTCAGTTTCCCAATCATGAGTATCTGGAAGTGTATGCCTTACAGCTAGACTGGTCAAGGTGGGCATTCCTGGATTTATTCCCCTCAGTTCAGTAGATGTACTCAGACAAGGTGATTCTTCTGGCTCCTTGGTGGCTGGCTCGGCTTTGAATTCCGGCTCTTCTGACCCAGTGTCTGAACCCAGGAATTTTTCAGCAGCTCCACTTCTTTCAACAGATTGGCAAGGTGACATATCTTTCTGGTTTGATGTTCTCTGCAATTTTGTCTCTAAAGTTTTTAACAGAGCTACGACCATTTGTATAATGCCCAGGTGGCTGAATTTTTGGTGTCCCACCTGTGTCTTGTCATGGCGACAGTGTAAAGTTTCCTGGCGCTCTTTTTGCCTCCGTCTCCCTGTCATAGTTCTTCTGTTCCTGTTCCAGTGGTTTTGTTGTGTTTGTTGATTGGCATCTTATGCCTATTACTGTTGCCTCTTATCATTTAGCTTTCGCAGTTACTCCTGTTGGCATGTGCTGTCGGTGTCTCTTTGGGGCTGCTTCACAAGTTGTCTCATGCTTCATTTCCCTCTGGCCAGCTCATGCTGCTCTTTGACCATTGTGGTATCTTGATAGTGTTGGTGTTTCTGTCCACCAATCAGTTCTCTGTTGACCCTTCAGTCTGGGATATATTCCTTAAGGCTCGTTTTTTGTTGGCCCTCACTCTCGGTTGTTGGAGCTTCTTGCTCTCTCTTGGAGGCATGAATTCTGTTCTTTCAGCCTTGATGGGCAGTTTCTTAGTTTGCAGCCCTCTCCTTTTCTGGCAAAGAATGTGATGGCTTACTGAGAGTTCCTTCAATGAATGCTGCTTGGTTTGTCCGGTTGGGATGCATCATCTGTTTGGTTGCTGCAATTCATCGCTACCTGCACACCACCTGCTCTGCTTCGGTGGATGCACTCCTTATTGATTCGGTTTCCTTGGTTCTCTGTTCCAAGGTTCATTTATCCCAAGTTGTCGGCAGTATCATTAAATCTAGTCTGCTTGCAATCTACCTTCTGGTCTATATGTCACAAGTTCATGAATTTAGCGGCTGTGTTTGCTGCCATGTCATAGGTTTTGAGGGCGTGTGTGTATCATTGGCGTTTCTCCTCCTCCCTGGTAAGTCCATGATTTCCTTCTCTGTTAGCTTCAGAACCACCATGGGGCTCCTACAAAAAACCTGTCTTGAATGTAATGAAATACTGCTTTCTGGCTCCCTGATGACTCACCACACCCTCGAACTATGTGCACTGACATTGGTTCTTGGTCTGTCAGCTCCAGACTAACATTGGTGCAATGGCCGTAAGTTGCAGGGTTATGCTGCTACCTGTTGGTGGCCATTCATAACTAGTGAGGTTGATGTTTTCTCAGTGAGGGTGATAACCTGATATGGTCCCTGTACCTGTGGCTCTGGTCCCAGGTAAGCTATACAGAATTCCTGTGGCTGATGTGACTCAGTAGGGGAAAGGTGTTTCAGTGAGATAGCTTTAGGGAGTCACAGAGGCTCTACCAGAAAGAGGTAATTCATTACATTAAATCGTATTTTTTTTCCCTCACCTTAATTGTCTTTCATCCTGTTGTGCTATGTTGACTGTCGAGTCCTCCTTGATCTACAGGTCTCTCCACTAAGGTTTCCTTATCCAAGCTTGGCTCAATGCCAAAGAAATATTTTTCAAGTGATGTAGTTGGGAGATAGCCTTGGTTCTTTCTTAATGTCGCGTGCATTTTTGGTCCTTTTAAGTGCTGCCTTATACAGCTTTGTAAAGTTCAGTCATTGTTTACCAATTTTCTGCAGGATTGCAATTCAGTTCAGGATTTCAAAATTAATCGAGCTTGCTCTGGCTCAATTTTCCTGGCAGCCCAAGTTGTTATTGGATTGGTGCTTTGGGTTGAGCATGCAGCTTTAGCTGACTTTTCAGTGTGCCAGCCAGTGTTGTGTGTGCTTCACTTTCTGTTGTGCTGTTTTATCATCATAGGTTTCCTGCCTTAAACCTTGTTGTGAGGCAGGGTTTTTATAAAACCCATGTCACCGCTCGCTAATGGTCTGTACAGTAGTCAGAAATGCATCCAGCCCAGGGTTTTTATAAAATCCTGCCTAGGGTTTTCCCCCTGGTATCCTACTTAGTGTTGCAAGAGGCTATCCTCCACTCAAATCCAGAATTTGCAGCTTACAGAAGCTGTCCAAATTTCAGTTTGAGATGAGGTTTGCTTCAGGGCAGGTCTGATGTCTGGATTTCCTCCTTAAACCTGGCTCACTGCTTGCACTGTTTGTTTGTTGGGTGGGTTTTGCCCTGAATCTCTGCTGTGAGCTGGCACTCACCCCTCCTACCTATCCTAACATGTGCAGGTTTTGAGCATACTTTTCTTTCCTGGTCAGTCACTATGCAAGTCTTGCCTCTTCCTGGATGTTTTGTCATTTTTGCTTCCTCTCTGTTCTGGCCTGGTGGGGGGGGGCTGTTGAGTAAGGACAACACCCACTGTGAGGAGTGGGATATTGCCTAAGGCAGCACTCGAGTAACCAGCTCAGAAAGAAGCTTTTCACCTAAGGTACAGTATACCTGTACAGTATTGTACTCAATGCATTATTTATATCTGAAAAATTTATATTCCATCCTAAATATAAATATCCTAGAGCTAAAAAAAAAAAACCTTGGGATAATTAAAAAAAATCAGAATTGCAGTTATCAGAAAAAGTTCAAAATATTATCCCAAAACATGATGTTTTATGGATCAGTGATGCTTTACATTATCTAGAAAACAGAGTACAGGATGACATGGTTTGAAGCATACAAATTGATGAAAGGGTATAACAAAGCATGTATGTTTTACAAAATAACATAATACAACACGAATCAAGATATAATTGAATAAGTTTAGATTCAGGAAAAAACTGGGTAAATACTGGTTTGGAAATAGAGTTGTAGTTTTATAGAACAAATTAATGGTAAGATGATAGATGTGGCATCATTGGATTATTTAAACCAAAATGGGTTAGACCTATAAGTGAGCTGCCTCTCAGAGCAATAGGCCTTTTGTAGGTTCCTGGATTATGTTCATGCAACTTCTCAAATACTGGGTAGGTGGGATTTCATTTACAAATTATGATTAGTTTGTTCAAAAATAATTTACCAATGATGCTATAAATATTTGTTGGAGAGTAGCTAAATCTAATTATTGAGAAAGGACTTGTAGGTGCAGTAATGCAGTGAATGCAGCAAACTGGGTAACAAAAATGCATTCAACTGTAAAATGTTTAATATTAAAGTTGATGGTGGTCTTGATTTTTCAGGCTTTGAATGAGAACTCTTCTCTGCAGTTTGTCAAGCCTTTGTGGATATGGCGTTGCTGTGATAAACAGAAGCTTGTACCACACCAGCCCTATTTGATAGTGCCCACAGAGTAAGACAAACTTCATAGTGCCAAGTAATTGGGTGCAACTATCATGTGGTTATCTAATGTACAAAACTGAAAAATTTAAAGTTTTGATAAATATTTGTTACCTCATTTAACTAGGGTATTCTGAGTACTGTATACCCTTTGTATTTTCAATTAGACAATGGCTAATATTTAGTGTTTTTACCAAATGTCTTTATTATTTCCAGAAAAGCTAATACTTCAATTGTATATGCTCTAAAAGTGTACTTATTATTATGCTTTGTTCCGTGCATGTTATATTTTGTTAGTGGAACATTCAAGGTACAATATCATTTAGTTGCTAATAGAAGTGTATTTTTTCACATGCTTTCATAAAGCAGTTAAAATTGTAAATTTATTTTATAGGACTGGACTTTGTAATGGTGTTCATAAATTCCATGCAAGTTCAAAAGGATACTTTCATAAGCTTGCCATACTTCTTGTTGAATCCTAATTCGACTTTGATTTTCTAAATTATCTTAAAAAAAATACTGTCAGTTATTGGTCATTTAATAAATCATTCCAAAATATTTTTCAATAATGTACTTGCCTAGTTGTGCTTGCTGGGGTTGAGGTTCGGCTCTTTGGTTCTGCCTCATCTGGTTAATTGTGTTGCTCAAATAGAACTTGATTCAACAAGCCTTAATGCATCAACAGGATTAAATTGTTTGATGTTAAGATAATATTTAGGATAAAAGAAATGTTTGACCTGAAAGTCACTTATCTATTCTCATCCATACAAAAATTATCCCTGGTGGAATGCGGACTGTGCTCGGGCTGTCCGCTGTAAGCGTGCAGGGTGGAAGAAGTAGACGCCGGCAGACGGCTGATTTCTTTCATTTGTTTCGGAAGGCAAGTGTGGTGGCCCATTGGACCATCTGTACAGCTAAATGTGGGAGTTGGAAATCTTATGTTTCCACCATTACGTCCGATATTCCTCTGCCTCAGATCTGGAAGAAAATCCGCAAGATAATGGGCAAGTTCGTTCCAGATGTCTCACTAGTACTTCACCTCCGTGGTGCTCTTGTGGCGGACCCAGTGAAAGTCGCGACCGAACTGGGTTCACACTTTTCATCTGTTTGCTCTGGTTCTCATCTTCCTCAATCTTTCCTTCTTTGTAAGCCCGTTCTTGAATCTCAACCCTTAGATTTCCGCACTAATCTCCGCCTTCCCTGTAACGATTCTTATTCTCTCCCTCTCTCTCAACTTCAGTCTGTCCTGGCCCTCTGCGGTTCTATGGCAGCAGGCTCGGATGACATTCATTATGAGATGCTTCGCCACCTCCATCAGTTTTGTTGGGTTCCCAGCCATATTGGTGTGTCTTTAAATGAGCGTGCGGACGCTGCCGCTAAGGAAACTATCCGCACTTGTCCCATCTCCTGTAAAAGTATTCCTTATTCCAACTTACCCAGTTATTCATTCCTCCATCCTCGCCCGTTGGCAGGGTTGTTGGTCTTCTGTTACTGGTAACAAACTGCATGCTCTTAAGAGTGGTGTGACCCTGTGGCCTTCCTCCTACCACCGTAACCAGCTGTGGGAAATGGCTCTGGCAAGAATATGTATTGGCCATACACGCTTAACTCACGGACACTTAATGGAGCACCGCCCTGCTCCTTGTTGTCCCTCTAACAGTTGTGCATATCCTTGTTGAATGTATTGACTTCCAAGACGAGCGTGTGTCTTGGTTCCCAACCGTCCCCCGAGGTCTCTTGTCCCTTGATAGAATTCTTGGTGAATCGGATAAATTTGATATCGTTCGCCTTATACGTTTGTTCTCATATTGGCATCCTCAGCGATATTTAGCACCCTCTGATTGTTCCGCACATTCGATGGTGCTACATAGCCTTCCCAGCTTGGTGCCTTCTTTGGTAATTACTTACTTACAAAAATTAACCAAAATATAGTATCCTGTATTCCCATTTTCCAGGCCTATAGCGACTAAACAAAGGGATCTTCCACATCTGATTTTCAGCCCTTGGCTATGCAAGGCTTCGAGTGCTGTTTGTTTCAACACGATTGATGCTCTTTAATGCACAAGTTGATGTTAATATGATTCACTACTTGGTTTGGTTATTATTTCATTAGTATCAACCAGTGACGAGAATTTTGTCCACTGATTACATTTGTTAGAAAATGTATTTTAAATGACTCCAATTCAATAGTGTTCAAATTATTTTTCTTGGGCATTAAAACAAACATGTAATGTTATAAAGGTGATGAATATTTTTTATTCATTTATCATTTATGTATAGTGCAAGTCAAATAATTTTTCTGTAAGCAAATGAGCACTAAAATACTGTATACTTGCAGACTATACGATACAAAATTCCATAATCTTCACACATTTAATACCTTTCAATTTCAAGAAAGCATGCCTAAAACAATAATTTAATGATAGTGGAACAAATTATAATCTGAAGAGGGAAGATTTATATATTAAAGTCTGGCTAAAAAAAATTTATCCAAGTGTAAGTTCTATAATTTCTACTAAATACTTGCCATTTAGCATAGAAATGCACCCTAACTTTGTATACAAGGAACACTTCCTGCATTACACAATTTTTTAATCAGATTACTGTACTGTATAAACAAATGAAATTTACAACTTGAAGGCACAATTGTCATTTCTGAAAAACTTTTTTTATGGCAGGAAATATTTACAGCTTTTATGAACTAAACATGTACCCAAGACATACCTCATCCTGTGTACAACATTCACTCACTTGTCTGACATTTGATGTATAGATTGTCTTCATTTGCAACACAGCCCAATGTATGTAACACTTCCACTAACTTACCTCATGTTTAATAATTATAGAGCAGATACAATTGAAGCTCCATATGACAACTTTTTCTAAACCTTGGTATTTCATGAAAGCACAGACCTGGCAAGACGTCCTAGTAGGCTACCGACACACGTTTACAAGTTGTCATCCTGGCCAATTCAAACATTATGTAATAAGTACCAATATGAAAAATGTATGAAAGGGCAAAGGCAATACAACATGCAGTAACTCCACCCTCCTTCCCTCTCAAAAGATTTGGAAAGTCACATTCATAAAGTCCTGTTAGAGACTCATCTTGTACAAGGGAACCTCATTTTAACAATGAAATACAGAACACTATTTGGTGAAATTTTGTCCTACTGTGACAATAATATTAAACCCTGTTTTTGTTTTCACATTTTAATGAACAATTAATATTAAAGACTACAGTACAGTGATGTACTGTATGTACCCTTATTCTGTGGCTAACTTAGTTCAACCAGAACAAAATTTTTTTTATAACTACCTTCCTGCCAGGCCTGACCTACCATTCTTTTACCTTGTTAAAATTGTAGCAAATCAGAGTATTTTTATATTGAAATATCTAGAATCAATGAGCAGTAGTACTCGCCTAGTTGTGCTCATGTGGGTTGAGCTGCAGTGCTCTAGTACTAGTAGTGTCAGATAAACTAGGTAGGGTAAGGAGGCTAAACCAATTTGGTTTTAAATATGCTCATTGGCTTTTCCCAAGGCACCATTTTATCTCCTAATGTAGAACATGTCTACAAAAATCTTTAATATTGCTATTTGTGATTTTAAAGACGTACCATCATTCTATTTTTCTCCATGCTCTATGGGCTAATTTCAAAGTGTGCCATTTTAATTTCAACTTGGCATATGATGAATATCTACAAGGAGAACCTGATTAAAAAGATTTTGCTTTCATTGCTAGTATTTTCCCTAAACCTATTTTTGAAAGAGAGCCACAACCCCAAAAAGGTGTAAATGAACATAACCCATCAACTTTCCTCCTCACATCCAAACCTTTAAGCTCAAAACTTGTACAAAAAAATCTTGGAAACACTCTCCAATAATTAAAGATAAGGTTTGATAAGCATTTTACAAATTTCTGACACCTTCACAGAGCAAGTCAAAACTTCCACTGAACTAAGTCCGAAATGAAAACCAGCCATAGAATTTTACAAAGTGTTCATTGCCTGTTCCGTACTTCAAATTTTTTTTAAACGATTATTTCGCAAAATCTAAAAGTTTTAAGTAGATATGGGTTAATATTCACTTCACTCAAAATTAAAACTAGTCATATGATTATTTTCAAACCAGACCCAACTACTTTTTCTCTATGCTCAAGTTCACCTATGAATTATCTTGGGAACCCATTCCAATTAATTTTTTCAGACTTCAACTCTGATGTTTGAATTATAAAAAGCTCAAGTGTAGTGTGTAAAATATTGGGGAAAATGATCTACAGGAAGTTACTATACCTAATGATCACAATGTCACAGCAGCCTCCTGTGGAATCCCAAAATTTGGAGAGATCGTGGCCAAATTTAGTCCATTGTTTAGAGGGATCATTTACAGCGAGGTTCAGATTTGGAAAATGCCACTGTACAGGAAGTGCCTATGTTTCAACAAATATTAAAATGTATATGCACATGTTATAAACAGAATTTCAAAATACAGTAGTGTTATATGAAACTTATAAGTAAACTATATACTTTTATTGAAGCATTTGTATAATTTGCAATGAACAAGCTAGAAAACTGATGTAATTGAGAGTAATCGTAATATACTGTACAGTATAGGTTTCATATTTATAAAATTGTATATTATACTACAAAACACGAATGCAAAAAAGGTTAACATGATTTTACTCGCCCCTAAATGATTACCATTGTTCAAAATACAACTGATCATCTTGCTTATTAATTTTATAATTGTATTACAACTTTCATTGTAACAAGCCATATTAAAACATTCACCATTACATTGTCAAGTGTCATGATTACAGTACAAGTAAGCCTAACCGAGTCTGCCTTCAGAGGAGAGTTGTTCCCATCCTTTGCCCTCTATATTTGTGCATAATTGTTCAGGCCTGTGTGTTCAATAGATGAAAATAGGTACGTAGGTAGGGTACAAATGAATGACTGCATAGTGCTAATGAGGAAACTCTGTGGCGAGTCAAGAACAGAGGTACAGTACCTCCAGATTAGAGTGGGAAATTTCAGAGAAACAAGTGCTTGGGAATTCATGATGTGGAAAGTGCAACCGATGTGGACCAATCAGTGCCGTACAAGACTGTCATCACACAAGACGTTGGCGAGCAGACGGGTCAAAACTTTGCCACCGAGACTCAAAGGATGCACATGCACACGTCTGTCTACTGTTGCCCATTCCTTGTTGGGCAGATATCAGCCGTCAAGAGTTTTGTGGGCAGGACCGACTCAAGAATAGTCACAGCTGGTATCAGAAAATCAAAGGCCCAGGATCTGACCACCTTTTGCTAAGAACCAAACACCCAGGAAGAGTGCCGAACTGATGTACAAGAAGTGTTACCTTGGTATGAGATTCCACCTTCCGGCCATTTCAGAGAAGATGAAGTCAGATGGAAGTTTGAAGTGGAGAGACTCGCCAATTGTCAAGTGTGTGCTATGATTTGCCATCAGTGTGTGCTGCAAGAGACACTACCGGTACGGTCTATAGGTACCAAAGGTAAGGAACAATAGCATCTAAGAAACATTTGCATAAATAGTGAGGGACCAGGGTAGTATCCCAGGTGACCAGACGTTGACCCATCGAGTGAGTGAGTGATATGTCTTGCAGCAATTAGGTGTAGCGGTGAATACCCCAGGGTGGTTAGGAAGAACCAGTCCTTGCAAAGTTACTTTACATATAATGTATATAAAGTGGGAGCCAAGAGTTAGAGCCCCAGGGGATGAGTGAGGATCGGCCCAATCACTGTAGCAATTTGAGGGCCAGAGAATTGAGCCTCGGGCAACTAGTGAGGGTAGTCCCGAATGAGGTACCCAGACGAATTGTGGGATTACTGGAGAATACAAGGGGACCATGAGTGAGGTGGGGCCCTGAGCTAAAGTCCAGGGCACGAGGTGGTAAATATGCACCCCCTGGGAATGTATGAAATATATATAAAGACAGTGGTATGTGCAACTGATCAACCGGTGGAGAATTAACTGGAGGCGAGTGTGTTGCCTTCACAACTGTGAGTTATGACTGACGACAAACTGGGGAATCGCCGGACGTCTCCAGCCAGAGTTATTATAGAGGATTATAGAAGTAATATTTGAGTGTAGCAAAGATATCCTGAATTTTGGAGGGGTATACTGTACTAGATTTGAATAGAGCTTCGTTCAGCAATCCTCTGGACACCCCACAAGTCCACATCCAAATAATTACTTACTGAAATAGCAGGTACTGAATAGTCCTGGGCTGCTGCAAATGCCACGGGAATAATTTGAATCTTCCAGATATTTATCTTATACCTGTATGAATTTAGCTGTGTTCTTCTCTACAGATCAGATTAAGGAGTTTTGAATGATGCAGTAAATGCCAGTACAAATGTTTTGGCAAATATTCATTTCTATATACATGCATATGATTTATTGGTCCAGAGAGTGGATGGCTTGATTAGAGAGTAGGCTGCCAAGGTGTTATTGATACTCATGATTTCAGTCATTATTATTCAAGTGATATTACTGCAATATTGATTTGAATATTGATGCTAGGATATCAGATTATTATTCAAACACCATGTATGTGCTGGTGAACTGAAATATTGATATTAGTCTTTCAGTGATATTATTTGAGTGTTATTAGTGTGTATATCTCTGATTATAATGAAACGATATATTTATTGACCGAGCAGAGGCTTTACGGATAATTTATTGAGTCGAAGAAATTGTGAATAATCCTAGCAGGCTAGGCAATCAGAAGATCAACTGTTTGAAGACACAAGTCATAGTGAGGTTGATCTTCCAGTGCTGATATACATGCATATAATGTTTAATTTTATGACTAGAGAATAGTTGTTTAAGAAATCTTTCAGTAAATTGTACAAAACCAGATTAAAGTATTATTGCTCCCTGCCTTGACGACTTGGGTGTAGAATGGCCCGACAGATTGAGTCTGTATACTCTGACAGTACAAGATTCCAGATTGGTGTGACAGATAATCGTGGAAGAGTGAAAGGTACTTGAGAGTGGAGGCACTGACCGACTACAGGGAACAAAAAAAAAAGCAACAGGGCAAAACTGACAAATTGTGTACCTGACGCAGGCTGTTGCCAGAGAACTCCCACACCCTGATTATTGGCATTTTCCCCTGGAAGTAATTTACAGGAGAAAAGATAGCTATCTCCCACAGGAATTTGATTTTTTTTTCTTTTTCATTAATGTGAGGTGAGGACTCTCTGGGATTAAGAAGGAACCACATCGTTACGTTCAGAGGTACAGTACAGTATGTCCAGGGGATAAAAGATAACCTTTAACATTTTGGGGCGAGTTGGAGAGAGAGAGAGAGAGAAAACCATATACCTTACACTAGTTACTGAAAAAATTAATGCAAACTTTTCTGAAAATAAAAGTAAAAAATATATTGAAATGAGGAGCTAGTCAAAAATTGTATTAAATACCTGTACCTTTAAGAATCTGGTCATAATTATGCCACCATTTCTGATGTAATGTATTCACCAAAAATTATGAGTAAAGAGTTCATACACACTGGCCAACCAGGGGGGTGGGGGTGGGGGGGACTGACGAGCCATTTGTCCTACTTTCATGCATTATTACCCACCAGTTATTACTCCCAACTACACCCATTTCACACTTTTTTTTTTTTACAAGTCAAATAAAGCTAAGAATATCTCATTGAATAATATTAGAGTGCACATGTTGAGCTTCAGGTTGATCACATTATTCCATTTTTAAACCACAAATTGAATTTCTTTGAAATAAAATATAAAATTCACACCAATCAAATTATTATTGTTACCAGAGCTGCCTTTTGTGTACAATACCTATCTTAATTAGAAACCACAAGAGAAATTTCACAACCATGATTCCGCATCATAAAATGTTCACAACACTGCAAGCTTTCTCATATCAATATCCTGTGCACTGATGTACTGATGGAACATTTGGTCACGTCAGTAAATTTGGACTAGCATAAATTTACCCCGTCAACAAGCTCATACGAAGACTCTCTCAATTACAAAAATCTGCACCAACATATACTGTATAGATTTGCCATTAAAACTAATTTGATAACTTATGAAGTTAGAGAAAAATAGTAAACTTGCTTCCAAGTGTAAAACTTTATTATGCATAATTTATCCATAATACACCAAATCACCTCTAATATTTGTAAGTTTACTTAGATAACAATGCTTTTTGACATTACAGTAGTTCTTAGTCATAATAAAAAAATGCCCAACTTTACTAAATATTGCATTTAGACTGGCTGTTCTCATCGCACTTGGAAGCACTACCCTGGGCAAAATGTGTGTGCCTACCCCTTCCCACACTGATGGTTCTTTTTTTGGGGTTGTTCTCATACTCCAGCTTCACCTTCATTGTAATTTCAATAGTTTTTTGTTTTCATTTATACCTATCTTTTCGTGTTTACTATTCTACTCTCACTTATGTGCTTACTGAAGGCTGTCCTTTTCTCAAAAAGACTTGCTCTGAAAATGTATAAAAATCATCTAACAATCATAAAATTCTCCCCAAATCCACAATCTCCTATACTTTCATCACCAATCATCCTTTACCTCATTTCCCACATTCATAGGGCAGGAAGGCTCTTGGTCTCATGAGACCAGAGAAGATGGGTTCTCAGCCCAATCTCCTTCCTCATTATCACAGGGAATGCAGGCCTGCCACATACCTTCTCGCAAAAGCAGGCAATGAGGCTGCCACTTACAGATAGCAGTGGAGTCTTAATATATTAATATTCCACAACAATGGCAGATGATGGGTGCACCAAATTCCTGTACCATTACATTTTTATGTTGGAGTGCTGGGTAGTGGGGTTGTCACATCCTATGATTGCCAATATTATGCATCAAAATAACAAAGTTGCTAGCATGACTGCTGATCTGTACCACTGACCAAGCAGTGTGTGGCTTTAAAAGATATCTACTATATTCAAGATTTATCCTAGTGACACTGTCCACCTTTAAAAGACTATCGAGATCAAGTACTAACTCGACTGCCTAACAACTTAAAATGTTAAGAAGAAATGTTTCTAAAGATCAAATTTCCTCACGAGATCATAAATTTAAAGTACTGTATAGCAAAATTACGATACAAAGCATGATATATAACGAAGTACTGCAATAAGTAAAAACAGCTTGTGCAAATATATTCAAGTTGTATCGTTAAAACGTAATCATTTGCAAGTTGAATCTACACAGGGTATAATTATATTGTAATGAGGTTTCAATTAAATTTAAAAACCTAGATACTCTTCAACAATAATATTTTATAACCTGTCAGCCACATAAAATATTATAATTCATACGCGACAGAATCCAAAGTGTATAAACATTATACAGACTATATTTTGTATACATACAGAATCCTAGACCCTGCACCACACTCCAATACTAGTTTCTAAGAGCAGCAAGCCGTCTGGTGAGTTGGTCTTCATGGTCAGCGGTGCGGTCACCAGTAGTGATGGTTCCTGTTGGCACAGCCTGGGCATTCAGCTGATCCATCACCTCAAGACCTGCCTCATCTGCCACCTGCTGGATAAGGGCATCCACCGCCTCTTTTGGAGTGCTTAAAGTTGTGGCAGCACCCATGCTATCTTCCAGTACCTAATTACAATGAAAGAAAATGTCTAATTACTGTACTGTACTTTTAAATTAACATATCCATAAGGAGACATGTACATATATCCTTAAAAAATAAGAAAAAATGTATATTGATAAAGAAAACAGGTTTACAGGATATAGTAAATTCAAATGCATAACAAATTCAAATTACTCTAATTTATCTGGCACCATAATAATGATGCCATAGGTGTTTGCAAATTAACAAAGCATGAAGTCACACTCAAGATCATTTGCTATGAAAATAATATTTACTTTTGTTAAGAAATGCAATTTCTTTTCACTATAATCAAAAACTGTGGTGGTAATTTGAATTAATTTCTTACCGATGTTCTCACATCCAAGTCCTCAAACTGTGATTCAAACTTATCCATTATGGAAGAGACTTTCTGCAAGTCCATTGCATTAAGGGCTTGGTCCAAAGCCTTCACCACTGAGCCCATGTTCTTTGTAACCCCCTTCATAGCCATTGCTGACTGGATCCTAAAAAATAATTTTAAAGAACACAATAACCAAAATTCGTAAAATGAGAACCAAAAGGGATTCGGTAATTAATATGCTGGACATGAGGAAATTGACTATTTGCCTCAAATAAAGAATGTCATTATGCTTTAGCTCTTGCAAAGTATCTTACCAAGCTGAAAGACAAGATGCAAAGTCATCTGAAGCATTAAACATTTTCAGAAAATTTTTGTTGAAAACACAATAAAAGAACATGCTGACTAAAATAAACAAAAATTACACATGATTTGGAAAATGCTTCACTGAAGCCTATACAGTATTGAAATAAAACTGGGGGATCTAGGCAAGGGCTATGGTAATGTTTACATTCATCAAAATGTTCATGTTCATGTTGCCTATGTGATCTAGATGTGTGTTTCTAATACCTTGTGTAACTATGGCAAACAGGTATTAGAAACACACATCTAGCTCACATGGACAACAAAATTTTTCTAAAATTTTTATTCAAATTTCAAAATGCAAAATTCTCATAAAGATTACAATATACAAAAGTTTTTTTATATACTGGTACTTTAGTTGTGGTTTACATATTTAACAAAATTGATGTGCTGGCAATTATTAGTGTAATAAACCATGATATGGTGCAAACTGCAACACATCAAATAAGATTTCTCACCTGGACTCTACAGCATCAATCTTGGAGGCCATTCGCAAGTACGAGAGGGACTCGTTCTTTTTTCGTATCGCATTTTCTGCATAAATTTTGGCACCTTCAACATTACCTTGTTGAAGGGCTTTTTTAATCTTTCCTTCTTGAAGCTGAAGAAAATGAAAAACACCACAATTACAAAAACGAACAGAAATAGGTTAAAAGAATGTAGTGAGAGACAAGTGCAGAGAACACCATACCTGGACAAACCATTAATGTAGACAAAACTTTGCTCGGGTCAAGCTTTGTAAAGTCTAAAGTTTTTGAGGTCAAAGACAAACATTATCCAGAGCAAACCTTGTTTACAGTACAGTAAAGGCTCTTCATATGGCATCTCTCTTGGCAGTCCTCCAACAAACAAATGTCATGTATTCTGAAAACTCATTTATAACTTGGCTATTTGTAACACAAACCTTGAAACCTGACTTTTATAAGTGAATGCTATAAATTAGGGATGTGTTTCTAAACCAGTAAAAGTCACCATACTGTACAAAACAGGTATCCCATCCCTCTGCCATTTGCTGGTATCGGGCAGCCAGGGTGCATCTGATCCCTCAATCATCGTCGCCCCTCAACCAACAACACTGTACAAAACCTCAATTTTTAGTACAAATAATATAAACATTTCTTCTCATTTATCTTTAACAATAAAGTTTTCCTCCTTGTCTGATTTGATGCTTTATGAAGTGAAAAAGTTTAACCACCAGGTTTTTCCTTGATAAACAGCCGATATAATTCATTAACTATGCTCGCAATGTGGGGGACTTAGGAATTGATTCATATAAACAAATGAAGGGATCAAATGGGGACTTAAGAGGCTGCGCATAAGATCAGAAGTTCATAACCTGGGGATCCCCCTGTACATTGTCACAAGTCCCTTTTCTATTCTTAATCCAATTCATTTTCTATTTCATTTAATGAGAACCTTAATATATTTTTAAAATCATATTCAAAATTTTATTAACTAAAATTATAGGCCCCTAGTGTAGTTCTGTATACATTAAAGCACATAAATGTTCATCAATTTCAGCTTTTTAAGATGAAACCAATTCCTAGTTTGATAATTTTTATATACAAGAACCGCAGATACAATACTGTAATTACTTGCATTAACAATAATGAAAGATGCAACATTTATCAGAAAGCCGACTGCAGCAGCAGGACTCAATTTCAGCAGTACAGACTAACTATTATACTTTGCTACAACAAGCCATTCCTTTCCTCCATCCTATCCTAAATCCTTATCCTCATCCCTTCTAAGTGTTATATAGTTGTAATAGCTTAGTGCTTTCTCTGGATAATTACCTTACAACAAGAAATAACAGACTGTGTACAGCAAGTCCATATATTCCCCAGGCCAGAATTCTGAACAGAAACTTTTGAATAAAAATAAGTTCCATCCCCCTACTTAAATATTTATTGTTTTCAAATGTGATGATACAAATATGCACAATATAGCAGCACATTTTGTGAAATTTCAATAATAAAAATCTGTTGGTATTAAAAAGACCTAAGTTTGGATGCTGCAGAAGGAGTCCAGTGTGAATGTGTGAAAAAGTGCACTACTGTATATATTGTCCAATACAAAGCAGCAGCATGAAGATGAAGGGACGAGGGGAGATGAGGTGATGGGAGGGAAAAGATGAGGGCATGAGGGGGGGAACATGAGGGGGTGGGGGGAAGATGAAGGGACTGGGGGGGGAGGGAGAAGGAGGGGGGAAATGATAAGGTGAGGTATGGGGTGAACTGGGGGGAATAGGAGGGAAAGGGGAAGATGGGGTAGGACAAGGAGGGGGGAGAGATGAAGGGAAGAGTTTGGGAGAGGTGAAATGGAGGTAGAGGTAGCAGGGATAAAAGGGGGGGGGGAGGAGCAATGATAAGAGAAGGAAGGGGAAGAGATGAGTGGGGAGAGGGGAAGAGAGACCTCAGCACTGCCAGATATCCCTGTAGTATGCCAAAAAACAATTGCATGCCAAAAGTATGCCCCCCCCCCCAAAAAAAAAAAAAAAAAATTGTGCTTATGTGCATTTTTCCATAGCTTTCCACCAGATTTTCACAGGAATCCACGACTCAAAAAAAGGTTAAAGAACCATTACTCTAATTTTATGTGAAGCAGAGCTTTTGTTGGAAGACCAAGTCCTTGTCAGCAGTATGATGCTATCACATGTATCCTTGACTTTGACAAATGTTCCGATACATTATGGGCTTTTTTGATCCATTATGATCTTGTACACACAATCATAAATAATTTCAACAAAATGTTATAGTGGAAAAACACTACATTATCAGAACAAAAACGTGTGGGTCTTGGGAGGTTTATTGTGAAAGTAAGGTCCCCAGTGTTGAGCTCTCTGCCATCACATTACCCAATATACAACTGTAACTACACTCCACTGTGCTCTGCTTGAGTACAGTACAGCTATTTCTAAAGCTAGATTCATTATAAACAAAGAATGGGCAAGTATAAAATGCAAGATCAAATGGCGAGTTCCTTCATCTTCAGACCATTTACTGCAGAACAACAATTCAAGAACAACAAGAACAACAAAGGGGCCTCGTAGCCTGGTGGATAGCGCGCAGGACTCTTAATTCTGTGGCGCGGGTTCGATTCCCGCACGAGGCAGAAACAAATGGGCAAAAGTTTCTTTCACCCTATGCCCCTGTTACCTAGCAGTAAAGTAGGTACCTGGGTGTTAGTCAGCTGTCACTGGCTGCTTCCTGGGGGTGGAGGCCTGGTCAAGGACCGGGCCGCGGGGACACTAAAGCCCCGAAATCAACTCAAGATAACCTCAAGATAATTGTAAAAGCATGTCACGGGTCACTAGTGTTAAAGATAGTAAATACCTTTTGGTCCTTCTCTGCCTTTTTGGAGAGTCTCTCCATCTGTTTACCACAGAACTTCAGCTGGAACATACAGTCTGAAATGTACAGCAATTGTAAGTACATTACTTAAGCATTTAGAAACAGAATTAAAGTTTGGGAAAGCAATTTATGAATTTAAAATATAATTAACCAACTCACTATAGCTTCAAAGTTTAGATCACAGCACTCTGGCCCCAGTTGTGGTTTCTCAATAACTAGCATTTTGGGCGAATATTTATCAACTAATTTTCTCGATTTATTTAGAGCAAATGATAACCATGCTGAACCATACTGTATTCACTTAACACTTTTCTGAGAACTTCACTTGGATTTACGGGCGGTTTAGATAAGCGCTTGTCGGATCACGACGTAAATTTACAGTCCGTGTTATAGTGGGTATTTACTACTCGATCGACTTGGGGTTTGTATGAATATGTTTGCCATTAAATTTTCGTTTTCTCTAATAGGCACAGAGCCTATTTGAGAAAACGGCAATGTATTGTAACTTAGAGGAGAGACTATTGAGTTGGTGACACAACGAGGGTAATCGCCCACTCCACACACTCTTGTGTTGGCCACGATCATGATTCTACATTTATATGCATATGTCTGTGTAGAGAATTATATTCCGAACACTATACAAACAAAAAAAACGGTGTGAAACTAGTATAAACTTGAAAAACATGAGCAAAGTAAAAACTTTTTACGCTCACGGGTACAAACACGCGTAAGATTTTATTCGCTGCAAATTTATTTGACGCTCTGTTGGCCAATTCTACCCATGTTCTTATAGAACTTTCTATTGCGAACACATTGCTATAAAAATGAAATACGTAGCTCGAGAAATAATGTCAGGACAGTGAAATAAGTATAACTTTCAAAGCGCTGCATCACAACAGTGTCGTCGCTGCTGAAATCACAGCTAACGCTTCGCCCAGTTCCCACACTCGTGCGGAACATAATTAGACATTGATAGGCATATGTCTGGGTAGGGAATTTTATTGCGAGTTCAGTGATATCAAAATAAGCGCTGTAGGAAGACTGTGAGGCTGGCAACAAATGAAAGAGTATGAACATTTACTTTCTGTTTGGGTGTCACGGCGAGTCATCTTCGTGTTTATTTACTTCGTGGTGGGATAGCAAATGCTTTGGTGACATTTTATGCATATGATCTTGTAGAGAATTTTATTGCCAACGCATTGATACCAAAATGAAAAACGTAGCTCGAGAATTGATGTTAGGAGCGTGAAAAGATTATACACTTTTTTTGTGTTTACGCTTGAGTGCCCAGAACGCCGCGCGCACAAGGCGCTTTGAATCCGAGGTGCATGGCCTCGGATTCCATAATAATGGAGTTTACATAAGAGGTAATCGTGATTAACAGTATCAAAGGCCTTTCTCAGGTCAATGAAGAGTCCAATTGGAAACTCATTTTTGTCAAGGGCTGAGTAAATTATATCAAGGAGCCTAATAATTGCATCGTTGGTACTCTTTTGAGAGCAGAAGCCAAACTGACAGGGGCTAAGAATGTCGAATTTTACGAGATAGTAGAGCTGTTTGTAGATAATTTTTTCAAATATTTTTGATAGTATGGGTAGGTTCGATATTGGTCTATAGTTGTTTATGTCTGACGGATTACCTCCTTTATGAACTGGCGTTACTCTTGCTTTTTTAAGGATATCAGGGAAGGTATGACACTCAAGGGATTTGTTGAACAGCAGAGCTATAGGTGGCGCAAGGGCATGGGAGGCGCTCTTGTATACAATGGATGGAATTTCACTGATGTTCCCAGCTTTGGTTTTTAGTGAGTGTATGATGGACACAACATCTGACGGGCTGACTGGTGAGAGGAGAAGAGAGTTTGGATAGCTGCCCGAGAGATATGTGTTGATATGTGTCTGAGTCTGTGGGATTTTACTTGCAAGGTTAGTTTTACTTTATTTTATTTACTAATTTTACTTAGCAAGGTTCGGAACATTTTAAACCAATTGCTCTTAATATAGCATACCAGTATTGCCTGCTCCTGTGTCCACAGTAACAACGGTACACTGTACCCTTGAGGGCCAGGAATGACAATTATCACCTAGCCACTAAACCTCCACCTAACATGCAAAAAAAAATGCCCTAACAAACTCCAAGATCAACCCGTCACCTCCAACCTTGACATTCGTGTCAATAATAACCACCAGCCAGCCCTCCCCCCACACCAGGAGCCGCCTTACCCTGCATTTTCTTGTCCGAACTGCCACCAAACCAGGACATGTTGCCTCCACGGTGACGTCAGTGCCTCTAGTCTAGTGACTCAACAACACTATGTCCTCGTCGCCTTTCCTCACAACACTGCCTCACCCTGGGGTCCCTCGGGGGTCCCTCGGGGGTCCTCTCAACCTGCGGCAGTGGGGTCCAACTCTACTCTGTGGGGGTAAAGGGGGTGGGCTCCCAGGGAGGCCTCGCCAAGGGGATCCAACTCTCTCTCTCTCTGACGTCAACAAGGTTTCTTCTATTATTGGTACGAGCCAAGCATGGCGCCAAGTTTGAATTATCGTTATTGACAAGTTTATTGTTAATCTCTCAATTATCAGAGATTAACAATAAACATTAAAACAAAAATGCACAAAATGTATATAAATACAGGTGGTATTACCCCCCAATAATAATACAGTACAGTACTAAATATATAATGTGAACAAATAAGTAATGAATAATTATAATAATTCTAATGCAATGTTTTTTATGTATTTTTTAACCTGTATTTCTGTTTGCCACAATTTCTAGTGGATATTGGTTACTTTGGTAAGCTGCTTGTGCCCTCACTGCTCTTCAATACTTAATTGCACCTGACCCAACTGTAGAATTATATAATAGTTAAGCCTAACATCCATGCAACCCTAACTTAAGCAAAACTTACGTACTTAAGCTGATTAAATCTATATGTGGATGTTTTATAATTATTAAAATGAGAATCTGGCATTCAGCACTCTCAGTGTAGATGTTTTAAAGTACTTACTAAATACAAATTATATGCAAAATGTTTAAAGTCATGAAATGCCAGTTAGCGAAATGATTGGAACCCATCTCGGGTGGCCTTGGCAGAGAATCCTAATCTTATCAAACCCAAAACAAAACTAAGATTTTTCAGCAAACTAATCTCAGAGCTCAGATGTGTGTGTTAAAAAAAATGATTAATGCTATTAAACTTCAGATTATTGGAAGATATTAGTCAGCAGGAAACCTGACTACACATAAAATTTTCAGTGGCTTAAGGTTGATAGGTACTGTACAGCCTGTGTTTGGAATGGATCCATGTACATGAAGATATGGAGGAATATTTAGTACCCAAATAAGCCACAGAGACATAAGTACAAATTTTCTTTCTGTTAAGATTGTAATAAGCAAATGGAATGAAATAAGTGAAGTAGTGGAGACAAACTTCATACAGTTTCAAATGTAGAAATGAGAGCCTAAAAACTTAGAAATCTGTATACATGCTGATTAAAGTATGAGAGGCAGGACCAAAGAGCTGAACCTCATCCCATACAAACACAATTAGGTAAGGCTGTTCTGTGGGTTTTTCCATTTGAGTAAAATATCTCGTAGCCTTATATGGGTTGCATGAAGCTTTATGTTTTTTTTATGGAAGGAGCTTAAAATTACTGCCTCTTCTTAGCAATGTAACATTTCTGCCCAAAATGCTATACATGTTAGTGGCTTTGTAAGAATGAAAGGACACCAATGTTATGTACTCTCACAAACCCAATGTACCTGGCTGTATACAGTATAAATAAATAAATCAATAAATGTTGGACCTTTAGGAGAAGTGGTTTGGATTACCGATGACTAACTTATTCAGTGTTTTATGTCTTAATGAGATCAACTATCATATTGTTTCTAGAGTTGTCATTCCTATCATCCTGGGCATTTTATTATGAGGTTTCCATACTTGAATAAACATGTAGTTTAAGTGGAATGAATACCGAATTTGAACTGTCAAATTATTTTTTTTTTTAATTCAATTTAGTCATAGTCTTTTTCTTAGTACTGTATTGGTAGTGAGGTTTATATACTGGTATACTGAATGATCTTTTAACCAAAATGTTATCATACTATTATTGGTTAATATATACTGAGAGGGCTCATGCCTATATAATCCTATTCTTGTAATGATTGTAGCTGAAAAATATATACTGTACAGCATTACTTTAATAATGAAATTTACCTGAATTTATCTGGAAGCCACCATTCTTCTAGTAGTCTCGATAGGGACACGAAACCAGCAGCTTATCCCATTTTCCTGATGATTTTTTTCCAACTGGATTTTGAACTGCAGATGTGTGAACTGCAGTAATGCTCAGCATTTAAGACTGTTCCATTTATAAATTCAAATAATGCAGTTCTGTCTGTCTGTCTGTGCCTGTACTTATCAAAAGAAAGCACCAAGCTATGAAGGCTATGTAGCACCATGATGTGGGATACTCAAAATGCACTAAATATCACTCGGGATGCCAATGTATGAGAACAAATGGACATAAGGTTAGCAACATCAAAGGTGTCATAAGAACATAAGAACATAAGAACAAAGGTAACTGCAGAAGGCCTATTGGCCCATACGAGGCAGCTCCTATCTATAACCACCCAATCCCACTCATATACTTGTCCAACCCGCGCTTGAAACAATCGAGGGACTCCACCTCCACAACGTTACGTGGCAATTGGTTCCACAAATCAACAACCCTGTTACTGAACCAGTATTTACCCAAGTCCTTCCTAAATCTAAACTTATCCAATTTATACCCATTGTTTCGTGTTCTGTCTTGTGTTGTCGAATTCACCAAGGATTCTACTGAGAGGCAAGTGACCCACAGGAACATCTGGAAAGCAAAATGAACTATAATCATTTTGATCAATTAACCAATCATCAAAACAATCAACCATTAACAAAACGAACAAAAATGAAATTGTTTTTTCACAATCATCCTGAAAATTGTGACATTCTACGAGGAGGTGCATGACTAAGTGGGGCAATGCAGTTCAGACAAATGGGAGAAGGATGCTGTTCCATTAAGTGCCCTTAAGTTAAGTGAGCGTAACTTATATGCAAACTAGCCAGAGTTGTTTCTCATCACCCATTATGGCAATAGTAGGAAGGCCAAGGGGAAAAATTGCTTTTATGAGCATGTAGTTTGTTACTTGCAGTGCCAGCCCAACAATCCTGCCCATGGTTGTGAATTGCAAAATAAATGACTGGGAAGAATTCTGAATAAGACATCCCTTTCCATGAAATGTGGCAAGGATGAATGGCCTCCTTAGCAGTGGTGTAAGCAAGATGAATTAAGGTACTGTAGCTCCAATATGACTGAGAACCCAGCAAAATTCTACTGTTTTATATTTGCTAAGAAATTAAATTTTTTATAAGAAATGAGATAACAGTACAGTATTGGATTTTCGACCACCACAGAATACAAAGGGTTTAAGGGATGCCAGAATCATGAGGGCACTGTGAGAGTCAATGACAATGACAAAATAGCATTGACTTCGAAAAAGCAGCTGATGAAGAGTATTCAAATTTACATAATGTTCCTTTGTGAAGATGCTAGTTTCTGGGGGTAAATGGCTCACAGGTTTTATTAGAGAAAACAATGGAGTAACCAACACTGTCAACAGACTTAGACCCATCCATGAGCACAGCATTTGAGAGAAAAAATGTTATGAGGAAAAAGACTTTTACAATAGTAGGCCTTCTTGAAGATCTTGGACCTTCCTTGGGGCAAGGTAGGAACAACACAAGAAAGACATTGCTAATGTGGAATGAGAGAATCTTGAATGTCTGTATGTCTACTCTTATATGGAATCTCATTTTAGCATTTAATATACTGTAATAGCAATAATTCCCACTTCATGGCTTGCTGACTTTGTTACAAACAGCCCTCAACACACAATATTGTGTTGTATCAAAATAATAAAAGCCTTTTCCTTCCCCAATTAAGTTGTCCATATGAACTCATTTACATTTTTAAACAGTTTTAAAAGGATGCAGATATGCAGGTTCTATTTCAAAATATTTGCAAATTAAGTTATGTTTCCTATCCATGCTCACTGTAAAGCTTAACCAGTGTTAACCCAAAATCACAATTTGCCTATTCATTTATATCCATGTCCTCAATCATTGATAAAATAATTTAGTATTTTAGCAGGAAAAATAAAATAAGGAATGAATTTTGTTTAAGTATGCCCCCTCACCTGAGAATCACTCTTGAATCCATTTACTTGTCACATAAATGTGCTGGCAGCTACAAAACACTCTACATACCATATACAAGAAAAACCCAAATCATTTGAAACATCTACCAGACTCAAGAAGCTGCCAGTCTTTGATTGCAGGAAAAAAAAAGGTTATAAAAAACAAGACTTGTTATGTTGACCAAAACACACACTAGAAAGTGAAGGGACGACGATGTTTCGGGCTGTCCTGGACCATTCTCAAGTCACAATCGACTTGAGAATGGTCCAGGACAGACCGAAACGTCGTCGTCCCTTCACTTTCTAGTGCGCGGTTTGGTCAACATACTTCAGCCACGTTATTGTGACTCCTCGTCTGCATGAGAATTGTTATTTCAGCAAGCTCCAATGTGAACAGAAAAAATACTGCAATGGGAAATAACCATCAAAGGAAAAAGATGCCCTTTTTTGCCTTCCTAATGTTAAATGCTTTAATGTAATTAATTTGTCTGTTTAGCAGACCTATTAGTTATTCTGCTGCTAAAAAAATTTAATTATTTTTTTTAACTTCAGTGCATCATTGTGCAATTACGGGGGTATAGGAAATATTTAGTGTTGACTCTAAAAACATTACTGTATTTCCAGATGCATCAACATTTTTGCCCGACTAAAGAAATTCATCTGAAGTTTGAGACTGTACCTAGTTCAGATACCATTCCTTGGATATCAAAATCTTTCCACAAAAAAAAAAGTAAAAATGTAATAAAAATAATGGTATAAACAAACAGCAAGAAAATACTCAATAAATCTGAGTTTATTGTGTATGTCATATATAATCATGTGAACTTAAAAGTAGATTGCTTAACATGAGTTGCCAGATACTACAGCTAGAGGTAACTTGATAATATTAAATATATATCTGCACACACCAACAATAAATCCATACACTGGTATCATTGTTAAATATACTGTACTTTAAATGGAAACTGCAAATAATTCTTATTACTGTACTCTTAAAAATGGGTTCTCAAATTTCCCACACTTGAAGAATAATGTTAATAAATGTGAATAATTATTTATTTCTCAAATGTTATTTTTATTAAACATTATATTTTTATCAATACTGCATGAGACATGACAATACAATCAGATAAAATTACACTTGGTACAGCAGATATGCCACGAATTACCCGATTTTCCAGCTACAATGATTAAGAACACATGTATACCTTTGGTAAACTTTAACGTTTATAATGTGGAGTCAGAAGTCTGTGTGTGTGTGTGTGTGAGTAGTTACCTAAGTGTAATTGTGTGTGTGTGCTTGTTTTGGTATTGCCTATGCATATACTGTACTGTAATCTAAAAGTGTTTTATCACTCGGTATCATATCTCAGAATTGTCTTTTGAGAAAATTCTGTGAACACGGCACATAACATTAATCCATTTGACTTTATGAAACTATTCTCACAGGAACTTCCAACAAATACACTTGCCACTGTACAGTATGAGCAAATGTTCATTCCCTTCACTTGTACTTGGTAAATAAGAACTTTTGTGCAACCTTCTGATAAACAGACCAAAAAAAAACAAATTATGTACTACAATATGTATACACAAACTAATATGAAGAACTGGTAGATTATAAAACACTTAAAAAATGGCAAAATCTCATAAAATATGCAAAACTTAAACATGAGCCTTTGGACAAGCCACAATATTGAAATAAAAAACCATTTAATAATGCTCACTATAATTACTAGTAACAAATACACACAAAGTATCACCGTCTGTTGATATCGGAAGTGCAACCATATTTACATAACAAAAATGCCAGAAAATAATTGGTCCATTAACAGTGCCTGAGAACCACTTGGAAATGTGAGATTGTCCTAAAGTTTAAGCCATACCTTTCAATCTAATGCAATAAAGTTTCTTGAACTGTATTATCCAGCACTTACAAGTCAAATATGTAACTGAATTTTTAAGGTGTATATGAATTATAGATATTTTGGAACATTTACTATTTGCATGCACTTGACAAATGTGCATCATCAAGTGTACTGTACAGTAATTGTTTATCTATCACTATACAGTAATCCCAAATAACACAATGCCAGTGCCTCAATTCAACTTTCTAAATATGTCTTCAACATAAATAATGATATATTTATTGTAATATCTTTAAAGATCCCTATATCAAATCAATTATAATTAAATTAATTTTTGTTTACATTAATGCATCTGCTCTACATCATCATCATCATCTTATTATTGCATTTCCTTTCATTGCCTTCAAGGTAACTTAATTCGGACAAGTTTCAGATTGACTAACAAAACTTCTAAATATCAGCCATACAGCATTTTGCATCTGTGGTTACATTACCATGGACGGAATTCATGAACACGAATCTGCACGAACAAAATATCAGATGAATGGCTTCACTTAAAAAAAAAAAAAAAAATCTAAAACTATGAAACTACAAAACAATAATTAAGAGATGAATTACCATTTTCATCAGATAAACACACAGATGCTATCATATCTTCAAGAAAGATTTCTTACTTCAAATTCTTTCCCACCTTTTGGAATTGATGCAGTGTGAAGCTTATTTATACTTGTGCTCAAAATGAATTAAAGATATTCGTTAACTAATCTGACACCAGAAATATGTGAGCAAAAGAATTCATAAATAATTTGAGGGAGAATGAAGGAAAGTTTGGTGACCAAAAGGTTAACAAAAAGAACAATATTCCTCCTTTCTTGAAAGACTAGCTCGATCTTTCTTGAAAGATCATGTATCTCCTGATGCGAAATACTTTATACTGTATATAATAAATGAAGAACTCTGCTGGTCATTTGGCAGAATCATTTTCATCCTTATGAATGTAATCAGTAAAAGTTTCCTGACATTTGAAGTTTTTATAATAACTCTATGGCAAAGTTATCACATTCAGAAAGTAGATTACAATTTTTAAAATTGTTTTGTATTATAGATTTGATATAACAAAAGTATGGTGTGCATAATAATGTGATTACTATACTATACTATATCTCTTAGCATAGTTTTAGTAGTAATTTGCTTAACAATGATATTAATTGCACAAAACACATCAGAATAATCAATATAATAAATCTGGCTATTTAGTAGTAAAATCTACATATATGATATGATATTCAATTGGACTGTCTCAAAATATTACATGTATGCAACGAGACATAACTAAATGCAAGAATAATGAAAATATAATAATTAAATCATAATGTATTCTCAAAATATATACACAAATCACGAAAGTTGTTGGCACATATTTCTCGTTACTTTGCCTTTTCATGAGAAGTAAATGACAAAAAGATGGTCTAGTAACGAAATTAAGATATATATAAAAATATACAAACAAAAGTGTACCCAATGCACAACAATGCCAAAGCTATGGAATATTCTGGTGTCTTGTGATAATACTGTTAATTTGTAAATTTCACCTTATGAACATAAAAAACCAAAATGAGTGTTGGTAAAAAAAATATCAAAGCTAATCTTTACTAAACCTGGTGTGACTACATAAATGTACACGAATAATATCTTCATCTTGAAACATATGCTAAAAAATAACAGCCTAATCTCACATCTAAAACACTGTCGAATACAGAGATATGTTGTACTAATTCAATCTTTAGGAAAACGTGATACAGTACTAAGCTTTGCTCGTGTGATTATTCCTAAGTGCAGTTCCATTCAGTCAGGCATAGGCACCTTGGCTAAGTCACTATATATATCGATGGCCACAGTAAGTATATTGAAAGATGGCATTACAGTACTATACTGAAATATCTTGTGCTAAAGCTATCCTGTGACCATACTCATGTATTCTTACAACACTAAGCAATTACTGAATTATGACGAACAATTTCCTCATACCACTTGTTTCTAAAATGTATTTGGTCACATTATTTGATTAAAGTGCAATATTTTGTTCAAAGTATTGACACTTAAAATACTGTATATTTACATCTACAAGTTTGATCTGAGAAACTTTTGATAAATCTGCAAGTTTCAGTTATACAACACCTTTAGTCTTCAATATTAGAGACAATTTACCCTCAAACTACAATAAGAGCCAGTGCTCAAACCTACAGCTACAGTGTATACACGGCACAACTGTCCAACCTGTGCATGGTGATAACCTACCAAAACACACATTAAAGCTCCACTTAAATAAGAAATACACAAAATACAAAATATACAAAATACTTGCGAGAAATTTGTAGTTTTTAGCAACTCAAATCTTAACAATAAACATTGTGGTTAAGTGGAAACTCCCAAGATTAACAACAAACAAATGATACTACATTTTACTTTCCTTTACAGTGACAACTCCACTTAAGTGGAATCCGATAACTAATATTTAACTTATATTCAACAATTATAGTACAGTTTTTATGCGATAAAGTATACAAATTTTAGAAGGTATTAAACATTTCATATACCACACAAAATAAAAATATATGTACCATCAATACCCTGTAATTGCCCAGAAATCTAACACACGACGTGACATCCGCAAGGGTATAAGGCATGGACTATAACAATGTCAAAATGTGCTACTTTCAACACTTACGGTTTTCAGGTAATGGGATGAATGAGAATGCAATAATGCCACAACTCTTAAATACTAACTGTTAACCACAAAGATGAAAAGTTGCAACTTTCATGTGGATTCAAATGGCATTTATACAGCTTAAATTCTGGGCACACAGGTTCCACCTACCATATAATTCACCGGTTATTTTAACCAAGTAAAACACTGAGATATAGATGTATATACAGTACATATAAACATATATACACACAGTATATGCTGTATATTTATCCAAAGACATTAAAAATGTGAAGAACGAACAAACACTAATGAGCATGAAAAGCCAATTCATTTTTGGAATACAAGAGTTAAGGCATCATGAAATTCTCTGTCATCTCAGAACATCAACAATGACACTCTTTACTACCAACATATTGCTTGGTTCTTCACTGAAACAACTGGAAATGCAAATAAAAATACACATGACTAGAATATATCAAACCTTTTTATTTCATATTTTAGTGATGACTGCTATGGCATTCCCTGTGTCTATTTTATGCATATATACTGTAGTGACCTAGGCTTCACAAACTATGAAATCACTTGAAGTGATTATCACAACATTGAAAATTAAAAAATCCAATGCTAGTACTAAAAAAAGTTACTACACAAGGGCACTGTATGGCCAGCTTAATATACCGGTAGGTGATATTGATTGCAATTTAATCATCACGTTGCAATGCCATTTTTATTACTGATCACAAACATGTTCATGAAAGGTGATGTAAAGTTAATGTCATCTATAAATAACTCGTGTTTTTTACGTGTGATCATTCTTCACAATAGGCTACCTCACTTTTTTTCCTCCAAGCCTCATATGTTCATTCTAGATACAGTGCTTAATGCTGTACTTAACGAGGTAACAACTACCTTACCACATCCTCACGCTAATTACTTCAGGCAAGCCAGCAGCCCACTTTTAAGCGATGCATTTCATTTCTGCAATTAAAGGATGTGGAGCTGTTCACATGCACAATATTTGTGGAATATGGCATATAAAATATAATGTTGTAAATGTTAATAATAATAAAAATAATAAAAGTGATGATGATTGATTATGTGTTTAATACCCTTGTTACAGCCAGTCAACATATATTAAATAGTTGAAGGTCAGTGATTGAACAGCCCAGTTAATGCATTTGTTTTATAAAATGTCATACCCTATCTTACTATAAAGGGAGTATTCTCAAATCCTTTTAAATAAATGCACACACAAATAGTCCTATAACTTTTTGTATACCTGTATAACATATTTATCACATTTTTGCTCCATTCAATTTTACATATATCATGCTGACAAATGTTTCTATAGCACATATGCAAATATATTGTACGAAAAGTTTTGTATTCACAATATTGTACCTATAATAATGATTAAATTCAGTGCTTGGACAAAAGCAGCAATGTAACTCATCGTGGAAGGCACAATCAACAAACTACCAATAATCAGCAATAAATATAGAAAAGTGAAAAGCAGTGTGAAGGGAACAAGAGGCAAGAAAAAGGAGGTTGGAGTAAGACTGGCTGTATTTGCCTTTTGCCAGGAATTATTAATTATTTACTGTATTATTAAATCTTTAATTAATGTCTCAATTCATTTGTTTTTATTTACTTATTTAAAACTACAGAAACATGGTATCTGGCTACTTACACTGGTCAACAGGTATTTTTTAAGTTGTCTGCTTCCGAGAAGAATATGGCTGTTTATCACGCATTTTGATGGGCTTAATTCAAATATAATAATTAAAATTGCTGATTAGCTATTGTTTTATGAACAAGGGCGGTAACAATCTTGCTTGATTCAACAAGTGGTGGATGCTGAAAACATTTCTCCCAGTTTCCAATGATGGACGGAGTGACAGTGTGGGAGTCTCTCGCACGACTATCCCACTCAAAGAAAGCAGCAGTACAGTACTGTATGTTTGTGAATCCACCCTACTGACCCATCACAAGAGCAACAACCTGCCTTCAAGTCGCCACAGAGCTGTCACTGATGTTGGTCATCATTTATCCCTCAAAAGCTCCTTCATGTTGTCATAAGGTGAACCTTAGGGTGGCATAACCCAATGGAATTGATGGCAAAACACTCGCATTATGCAGCCAAACAGCTTTAAGATTCATCTTGGAAGAAACTAGAGCTAATTAACAATTTTAAAAATAATTTCTATTCTCAGTGACCCAGAATTAGTCATTTGGTTCAGAAGCATTTTGGCCGTAGACTAGTGTTATCATCCGAGTCCACCACATCTGAATTAGCCAAATGATCCCTTAATAAAATTCCCCAACATAAAGAAGTTCCAAAGCCAGCAATCAAATGGAATCATTGTTTAAATGTGCCTCATTATTTAGGAGTATAATTTAAAGTTGCCTTTGTGTTTAATCGATCAAAATTTAGATAATTCCTTCAACATTTTCTACCACCTGAACAAGCCTTTATGGAGACTTCGTTGGGGACCGGGCTTTGTGGATGTTGAGCCCCGAAATCATCGCAAGGTAACCACAGGGTAACAATGGACAGAATTAAAAGTATAACCCAGATAAATTACTTTGACAGGTACCTCAAAGTTCATAAAGGAAAAGTGAACCATTCTACAGACTTGGCAAGGGTCATCTTTTTCCAATATAAATAAGTACACACAGAAGTATCTATGACTGACATTGAGGACACTTTCTCTGCACCTTCAATATTGAGCAGTCCCCGTGGTGCGGTGGTAAAATACTCGCCCGGCGCTTCGCGGGTACTTTGGCCTGGGTTTGTATCCTGGCCAGGGAGGATTGACCGGGTGCCAATCCTTAACTGTAGCTTCTGTTCACCCAGCAGTGAATGAGTACCTGGTTGTTAAACGATTTGACGGGTCGTATTCAGGGGAAAATCAGGATTAAGGTCCTGCCCAAAATACTGTGCTAGTGACTTTACAAGAATGTAAGCACTCTTGTATATATATATAAATAAATAAATAAATAAATAAATAAACATTCTACCACAGCTTCATCCAAATAGTAATGAACTCCAACTTTTGTAAATCGTGTACAAGGACCAGAATATGCTGCAACATATTTTTTAAGAAAGTACATGAAAGAACTGCACAAATTTTTGGTTAACAATCTTACCGGGCAAAATGGCATATATTCCAATGTTTGTATTACTGTATATAATATACATAACTGAATATCTGTACTGGACTGGCAAATTTTAAGGTTTATTAAAGCTATCTATAAAGTATAAGAGAAAATGTCTGTCTGTCCATAGATGGAGTCCAGATGCCTCCAACTATGGAGGTTAGGTCTAGCCTCACCTAACTTTGCAGGGAAAATGGTTTGGGGTATGGGATGGACATAGGCTAGTCCTATTAAAGAGAGGGTAAGGCCGAATAGTGACCCCCTCCCACCTTCCAGCCACAAAATTAGTGAAAGGTGGTTGGTCAAGTCACCTTCACACTCTTCACTTAAATGTGAAGGTGAATTCAGTATTAAATGGCAATGTTTGTCTGTTCGAGGCTGGAGACTAGACAAGGAAGTACCAATAGGGAGAATAAGAGGGAAGAGGTGGGAGGATAGGGAGATGGAGAGGGGGGAGGGGAAGAGAGAGGGTAAGGAGTAGGTGAATAAATGGAGGAAATAGGAGGGAGTGGGTGACATGGGGAGGGGCAGGAACAGGTGGAAAGGGGTCAGGGGTGGGGAAAGATGGAGAGCAGGAGAGCAGGAGAGAGAGGGGAGGAGAGAAAGAAGACGGGAGGATGGTTCGGGGGGGGGGGGGGGGGGACTATCCTAAGTACTGCCGGGTACCCTTCTAGTACAACATAGATAAACAGAATATTTTATTGTCAAACTTTATGGCTAATTAACCCACATTATACAAAATTATTTAACTGCAGAGAGAGAGATTCAATTCTCACTGGTTGTGTGATGCCTGCAAGACCTTTCTCCCCAAAAAATATACTTTTAGATTAAAACTTTACATGAAATTCACTATTTATCTATTTAAAGCCATTAATAATGAATTTTTTTTAGAAAATTCATACTGATAACTTGATGGCATACAAACTTACACACATTCCAATGTTGGCCGCATGTAACTGATAACCGTTTTAAATTCTGTACAGTGCAGTATTGTATTTAACTAACAAAGATTTGGTCAGTGTAAATTACAAATCCTTAAACTGTGATTTCTTTTAATAAAATCTGTGTAAAATCAAAGTATTCTCCTCCCTATTTCTGGGGACTATTGTATTGTCATATTCCCAGAAGCTTTTAATCGGAACTGCCACAAAGTATTCAGATACCATGTTGTATTCTGTACCCAAATTTGAAATGGCACCAGCCCATTAAAGTACAGTACTGTACTTCATATGTGCGTGGTATTAAGAACCGCAACAAATGATTCCAACAAGAAAGTAATTTAACTTGATCTTATTATATTAAAACCTCTATTGCTTAATTAAGTGTTAATGTTTAGGAAATGGAAACATATAGAAAAATCAACTTTCAATCTTACACATCTCAAATACTAGTTTTGCATGCTATTTTTACCTCGTTGTACATGATGGCTCATACAAACTCTCCACACAATTACAATACATACCAGCTGAAGTTGGTGTCAATGGCATTTATATTCTTATTATTAATGAGCTGCTACTAGTTCATTTCAATGTGGTAATAGCAGACAAACATGATGCTTTTGATGGAACAAAACTACCAAAAAACCCTAAAGAAGTGGCTTCTCTAATTTGTATTATCTCTGCAATACATGCAGTGCCGGTTATTATGCTAGATTAATAGAAGACGACCAAGTTAATCTTCTTGTCCAACTGATTATCATCTCAAATGTGGTACACATTGTTAAAATACATTAAAAATGATGATAAATGCTTATATAACTTGTACATATGACTGACAAAAAGACCACCTTTCCCTTATCCAAAATAGTGATAGTAAAGCTGTCTGGACAACAAAACAATATTCAAATCTGATGAAAGTGTTAAGATATGTGAGTAGAAAGACCTATAAAAGTTGAACAAACTTCAAGTAGTTGTTATGATCATCATCATTTACAGCAGGCTGTTGAATGCCTGGATTGTCTGCAGACGTTAGTCCGAGGTGAAGCTCTCGCTGCATCAGACGTAAAAGAGACGAACTTTTGATGTGGACACCAACAGGTCATCGTCAAAGAATTTGGTCTCTATTACAACATTCCCGCTGAAAACAATATTCTTGTTAGAATTAAAGGGGCCAGGGTTGTGTGTTGTAGGTAATAATATTAAATTGCTTACAAAGCAATAATATTCATAGCTTCTTGCCAGTTCTCATTAATGTTACTATTGTATTAACAATACAAGCATCTGACTGCCTGGATCACATTGCAGTAATATTATTTTGCAATATTTATTTACAAGGTGTATCATTTTTATTATTGAACTGTATTGATAAGTGATAAAAAAAATAACTACTGTACTTCAATCACAAAATCAAATATTTTCTACTTTACTCACACATAGAACAAAGACAAATTGTGGAGAATTCCTTGTGATAAAAAAGAGGGGAAACGAAGGTGAAAAAGACATGCAAAACTCAACAATACATAAACCATGGCAGTAGCATGGCTTCTGGAAAGTCTAATTATTCAACCCATCCTCTCGAATAATACAATACAAAAAAATTACAAGAATAATTCAGTCAAAAAACAATTTGGTAAATAAATTTTCTAAAAGCCAAAAACTGATGTACTGTACCCAAAATCACAGCAGCTCGCAAAATTGATGTCCCATTTTCTTTTCGTGAGCGCTTGGTTGGGTTAAGTTTGGACAATTTAGTATTTCAATTTAGTGACATTGTGGATGCTCGAGAGGATGGGCTGAATCACTAGCAAGGTAAATGCAGTATACACCACTTCTAAGGGATCTAAATAACAAATAGTTTATACAAAAAAAATGGGGGGAAGAAATGGAACACTATTCCTTAAGGAAAACATGGGATGGGGGAAGAGAACAGGGCGGTCAAATACTCTTTCTAAGAAACAATAAATTAATTGATGTTGAATGTGATAGAGAAGGCAGAGACTACAAACTAAGAAAGCATAACAGTAACAAGTATCCACTTCATGTAGAAGGTTACTGAAAAATTGAAGAACTGAAAAGGAGATTCTAAGTAGAAATGTCCACTTCAAGAGTCAGGAAGAAACCAGGATTATGTATATAGAGCAACTCTGAAAATAGAAAAGATATACGAAGAAAATAGTAGAGAGAATAGAGGAAAGGTACAGGAGGCCAGACCTACTGGGTTAATGAGCAGGACCCAGGAGAAAGAACTCATTCCCTGCAAACATAAATAGACGAGTACATACACAAACATTGGCACTATTTACACATACACAAACACCATTTATGTTCCCTGCAAACATAAATAGACAAGTACACAAACACACACACATTTGCTCTTCCTTAGTTATTTACACATATTTGCCAAGGATACTCTAATGTGTACCTTAACACTTGGGCTGGCATCATTTGTGATTCTGGTGCAGCCTCAATCAAGCTCTGCCAAGTATTTGTTGAGTTTGGAATTACACTACCAAATTCAAAAAACCATTCCTCAAGCATGCGATCCTGGAATTAAAACACACTTTGATTTAAGATAGGAATGAATATATTCGAGGTAGTCATGGTCCGGGTGAATGAAGTAGCAAAAAAATAGTTGGTGTTGAAAGGACCATACCATCTTATCATAAAAATATAAAACATTTAGTTAGAGCAAAACATTATGTTATGAAAACTATACAGTATATTGTAACTAGAAAGACTGATCAGGATTGTAAGACACCACTAGAGTGATGCACACCTGTGAACTCGTGTGAGCTGCCAGCTATAGTGCTAAAATTAAATAATACATACAGTATGATTCAAAGTTAAATGTTTATACAGATGAGAGTAAGATCGATTTTTCCAGAGAGAAAAAGATGAAGTATGATATAATTGGCTTAGGAAGCAATAGAAAAGTCACTACAGATTAAAGAAATAAGTGTTCATAGGATATAGCAGAGTTAAAAATACAAAAGGAAAATCCTGCAAAGTAAGCACTGTAGAAACTGAGAATACAGGTACAGTACTGAGCAAGAAAAGGTTGCAAAAGTTCTTAATTCATCTACTCATGTGCGGCACCCATGCTGACAATATTTATATCACATTTACCTTGAAGTAAACTCGCTGTTCAAGCCTAAACTTTTCCATAGCATGTACTGAGGAAAAAGATATTTCTCGAGAAACTGCTCGGCACTTCAGGATTTTCCTGGGAACTCGAGCTTCGTGTTCCACTTCTGGATTGGTGCTGAAAACAGTACTCTGATTAATAAGTGGTTTCAGCAATTACAATGTACTGTATTTAGGTACAATACCTATAATAAAATGCAAATAAACTTGCATGTTTGATTAATTAGCTAAAAATCAATCCACTGACACTGGAGTCAGTCTCATTATACAGCACTAGTAGTATTGTTATTATGTCACCTCTAGCACTAACCCATCAAAGCAAATGCTGAGCAAGCAGAGTAACACTCCAGTATTGTGCATTCTCTTTGTATTGTATTGGACCTCATAATGGTAGTTTATCTACCCTTAACACACACTGCACAGTAGTACACTAATCATCAGTTGTTTACATTTATTAGTGTCCTGGTTATTGACTTATCAACCCAGTGACCTTTCTCTATCTGCCAGTCACCCTATGCTTCAGCAATTGCTTCAGCAATTACTGCAGCAATTACTGCAGCAATTTCAACCAATACTGCAGAAATCTGCCAAATATACCAGATAATTTTTGTGATAATAGCAAACAGTCACATTTTCTGACCAGGAATTATGAATCTAACCTTACTGTATGTTAGTAAAGGACATCCAGAGCTATGTTGCAGCCAATTACGTATACTGTATAAATGAATTATTTGAATGTTGCCCTAAAATTGAAATAAATTCTGGTAGTCCAATGGACAAGTTTATTAAAGAAAACATATCAGCTGAAATGACAAATCTGCTCCTTCCAAAACATGCTGCACATCCTCATCTGGAAAAGTATAAGAGAAAAAAGGGAGGAGTGCAAGAGCAATAGTGTCCGAGCAGACCCCTGGAGCAGTCCTAGCACTGCATACCTGCAGACGTGTTGAGTTAGGAAAAAAGGAAATTGTATTGTGAAAAATCAGTACTAATAACATGGGATAGATAGCAGCTGTAGTAGAATGAAAAGATGGGGAAAAAGACTGATTCCTTCAGCCTAACAGACTCAGTCTGAAGCTGATATTAGATTTCCTAGTACCAAAAAATTTAACATCTGCCCAGAAAAAGTGAGCCTTAAAATGGGCCGTAATAAGATGCTTTGCAAAGTGGAGAATTTGGATGTGGAGTTACCACATCCCATGACAAGTAACAGTCCTCAGACCAAGTCCATTTTATCTAGCGGTTGACCCCAAACACACACTCATCAATTTTAACATTTTGTTCATTCAAAATAGAACTTTTCTCAAATATAAATTAATATTATTATATATTAGCATATTGTGCATATTTAGGCACTGGTTAGGTTAGGTGTTTGGGTTCTGTTGCTGATTATTTGTATTTGTAGTATGTGGGTGAAGCATTTACAGCATTGCAGTTCAAACAAAAATCGTCAGCGAATCACTTGTTCCGGAAGTATTCGGACGTCATCAGTTTTTTTTTTATTATTATTTTCTACTACAGATGTGGCCACACATTTACAATGCTAACCAGCATATATACATTTTCTTCTGTCCTCCATGGACAGGGTGAGAGATCTGTTAAACATATAGTTCAGGGGTTCATTGTGCAATCAACCACAGAAGGTGATTCGGTGCTTTTAAAATGCTAAGCTAACCTACATCAGTTGTGAGTCGTGTGTAAATCATTTTTCATTTAAAAACAGGGGGGTTTAGCGGGTGCTTGGAATGGACTTTGGGTCTTTGTTTAGAGGATGTGCTGTGACAAGAACAAAGCATGATGAAGCTTTGGTTAATTGAATCAAAAGTGTCCTCTACCAGAGAAACACCAAGTTTGTAGGCACCATCCTACCAGTCAACAACCTGTGACCTGAAGAACAGTCTCCACTTTGCCATGGAAAACAAGCGATTGTATGCTGGTCAAGAAGAATTGGGAATATGACACTGTACTAGAGCCAAAAATAGGAATGAAAACCAAACTCAAAGTAAGCTGGGCCCAGAGTTTGTGTGTAATTCCCTTCCCGTAAACAGAACAATAACCTGAAAAGAATAGGAACATCAGAGTCTACCACAGGCACCACCAACCAAAAACAGGGCAGAAAGACAAAGGAATAACACTTAAACTGAGATAAAGCATAAAGCACCTTCTCCACTCAGAAGTGTGTATATTTCTAGAGTTCCAAAACCCAAGAGGGAAACTAGGCCTCATTCTTTGCAGTCAATGCCTTTAACCGAACTGCAATTCCTTCCAGAGAAGAGGAGGGTCGGTTGATAACCCAACCAAGGAACAGCATTCCATCCCGAGCCAGCTTTATTTGTTTGCCATATACACTGTACTTCCATCATAAGCCATGAATTAATCCTCACCACTGAAATCTTTATTCTATTTCCCCTGCTTTTTTTGCATTCTGGCTAAACTCCCTTCTTTCCTCCCTCTTCCCATGGGTAGAGAGCTCAGAAGATGGTAGTTAATATGTGTGGGTGATGAGATGAGGGGTTTGGAATGCAAGTTTTATGTGATGGTGTTATTCATGAGCCTTCAGCCTAGTGGTTGGGTTCAGGCTGCCTGTTGGTGGGAGCTTGCAGAAGGGCTTCTCTCACTGGTTACACCAGGACTCTCATGGTGGGCATGGTAAGCTCCAGTGACACCAAAGAGGGAGATGTTTGCAGGCTATTCAACAAGGTTGGGTAATGCAAATTGTTTGTGAGTCAAGCATACTTAGGATTAGACATTATAGAATCTCATGGATTTGTAATTCAATTTTGAAGAGATGAGTAAATAAGTAGGTAAAGGTAAACCATTAAGAACAACTCCAGTGTGATTAAGACCTTTTTAAAAGTAAGAGCATGAACAAGGAAAATAAAACAGGAAATTTACTGGTGGTTAGGAACAATGAGGCATTTGGTTCCCATAGACATACCAAGAGCAAGTTTCCAGAGACATACCTACCGTTAAAGGCTGTGAACGCACACTGAAGAATAACTTTATTATAGGGTGACCTGTAATACAGTGGTTAACACAGCTGGCTCATAGCCATATGGTCCTGGGTTTGAGTCCCAGCCATGACAAGACAATTTGGGGACTGTTTTACACCCAATGTCTCAGATCACTTAACAGTAAATAGGTACCTTTGAGTTGGTCAACACTTGAGGGTTGCAACCTTGGAGACTGCCAGCCACTGGTTAAGGGTGTCATGGCTTTTGTTTATACCAAAGCATGCAACATTTCTGTAGCTAGCCAGATAGAAGTTTAAGATAAAGTTGAGAAACTGTAGAAATATGGGATAATTGATGTAGCTTCATCTGAATGGAATTCACCTCTTGTATGTATTCATAAGAAAAAAGAAAACCGAGGTGAGGTTTTCATTAAGTCAATAACGAGACAAAAGGCTTACCCACTGCTTAATATACAAGAAACATTGTCTCAAATATGGGATACAAAATATTTTTACCTACTGCAGTTGTTATCTGGTTATCATCAAATTTCTTTAGGCGCAAAATCAAAGGAGAAAACTGTATTTAATGTTAACAATAAAATATTGCAATTTGCCAGATTACCATTTGAATTTAAATCAGCCCACCACAGCATTTTGTAGAATCAGGATAGGCCTGATTCTGGTCAGGATAGTGCGTCTGACAGCTGAGTGGACAGCGCTTCAGATTAGTAGTCTTGAGGTTCCAGGTTCGATTCCCAGTGGAGGCGGAGACAAATGAGCAAAAAAATTATTTCACCCTGATACTCCTGTTCACCTAGCAATAAATAGGTACCTGGGTGTTAGACAGCTGCTACAGGCTGCTTCCTGGGGGGGGGGTAACAAAAGGAGGCCTGACCGAGGACCGGGCCACGAGGACGCTAAGCCCTGAAATCACCAAGATAACCTCAAGAGATTCTCTATAAAAAAAAATGCCTACCAATTGTAAGGAACAAGTAATAACTACCTCTGGACAGGAAAGGAAGACCTGAACCACCAAGCACTGAGCAACTACCCAGTCGCTAGAGAAGAGTACCATGCATGACCTCACCGCACCTGGACCCAAACCATAGAGAAGGGGGAGCTCTTAACAAGAAAGTTACATTTTCTTTTTACTCCTGTTCCCAAAGTTATCCCCAAATGAAACCTATACCAATGAGTTCCCCCCCCCCCCCCAAAAAAAAAAAAAAATTAAAGATATACTTTTTTATATATTCAAGATCAAAGATCATGTCAAGTGATCTTGAAATGAAATATTTCATGTAAAGTAGTTTATAATGAAAACAATGTTTCCTTGGCATCAAAACAAGCCCAGCATGAAGTCTCTATCTCAATTAGCAGCAACGTTATGATTCTTTTTGTTGAGCTTGTAAACAAAAATTTTGTAATTTTGATCACATTGGCAACCCTGCAGTACAAAAATTATCCATTTTGATTTTCGTACAGCAAGGTGCTGTACAGGTATTTTCCTATATTGAAATTTTGGGTGCATATGTTACTTCATGTACTCTAATATCCTACTAAATTTCATGCAAATCTGAGATGGCCGGGTTGGAAAGCGTGACAATTTGACATGGGATGACCTGAATGAGCAGGGGCATCAAAATATTTGTGGCTAGGAAAATAAATATAAATATTTCTCAAGATAATGGCAATGTAAAATCAATACAGTATAAATGCTTCAACTGAATACTGTATATAATAAACTTAAGCACTAAAACATGACTAAAATATTAAACTTACAAATCATCTGTGCCCTGCCAGAGAACTTTGCCGGTGTCAGCATCTCGAAGGTTCATCCAATTTCTGTTCCATATGTTAAGATCACAATCATATCTTAAATGTATAATTTAATATAGTATCTAAAAAGAAAATAACTCTCACAAACACACAATGACATATCAGACTGCAATCAATAATGGGAGCTCAACGAAGTTTCAATAAAAATAAAGAGCTATGACAAGTCCTGGACTTTAGTGACCTCAATAAGTCTATCAGGCTTCCTGTTCAAAAACTTCAACACCGGAGTCCTCTACACTCTGGGAAAACATACCATACTGAACACCAGTGTGCCAAACCCGTCTAAATAACAATAATATTGTTATGTTGACCAGACCACACACTAGAAGGTGAAGGGACTACGACGTTTCGGACTGTCCTGTTCTCAAGTCAATTGTGAATAATATTGTTATCTTACTATTTTGCCATAAAAATTATTTAAGCTATATTTACTTTATATTAAATTAGCTTAACTTTACTTACAATATAAAATACATAACCAGCTCCTAAACTTCAACAAAACTTAGGAAGACAAAGCTCTGAAGTTCACACATTAGCTATATGCTAGCTTATAAGATCTATATCGTTAAGAGCATATATCTTTAAGATCGTACATCTTTAAGATCATTATTACAGCATACTAAGGAGCTACATATGATGCACATATATGACGCACACATAGTAGTAGTGGCCAGAGCCGGGTTCATACACAAGTGTGTGTGTTTACCGCGTCTCCCCTAGCAACCAAGCCCTGGCCCCCCGCACGCCACCATACCCGCCTCTTCTCCCCGCATACACAAAGGATACATCTTAAACCCTTGGAGGATGTCTTCAGATCTTGATGGCATCTTCAAGGAGGCGAGACGAGCACTGACGAGGAAGGAATGTAAGAGGAAGGAGGAGAACCGGAGTGTCACCCTACCCCGTCACAGTCTCATCGTCCACTGGCCTACACGAACAAACACTGGCCTATCCGGATTCTTCGCACCATACACAAGGCAATCACAATATATTATTATTTTTTAATAATATATAATTAAAACCTAGAAGGGGTACCACCTCTGGTGCAAGTGCATGACCCATATAATTTATATAATGTATAAATATATATACAATTTATATATCATTGTATAATGTGATATATAATACCTATGTGCCATATTTTACATTGATTACACGTATGACCAACCATCCAGTGAGATGGGATTATTAGATGAACTTATAGATATTCTCTGTAATCCGTCATATAGAATACAGTACGTCACTTCTGTGTACGTACCTATGTACTCATCTAGTTATATTCTCCTAGTTGTGGTTGAGGGGGTTGAACTTTGGCTCTTTGATCCCGCCTCTTAACTGTCAAGCAACTGGTAAAACTTCTTTAGCAATCAACTGGTAATTTCTATGTGTACATTATGACTTGCTAAACAGAAATTGTTTTATTTAGTTAAAAAAAACAGGCTTAGGTACACAACTATGTCGTGTGAGGTGCATCCTTAGTGGACAGGGACATGAATTAAGTTGTTACTTTGTCAAAGGTTCTCCATTGTTCCTGAAGATCTTTTCCAGATGAATTTTAAACTGAACTAATGTTTTTAATGGTATTTACGGGTTCGGCGATTCCACACAGAGAGTGAAAAAAGGCCTCTCCCGTTTTCCTGTGCTGTATTGTGGCTTAATTAGTTGAGTTTTAAAATTAAGCTATTCAAGTTCAAGTTCAAGTATGTTTATTGAGACAAGAAAAAAATACATCTCAAAGGGATAGAGTAACTTAGGCTATTTCTACCCCCTCTACTTCAAGTCCCTCAAGGGGCGCACAAATTCAGTAAGTACAAATAGACAATTAACATTACAAGAATCCCATTTAACATTGCAGGTTAATATAGTAAGTACAGCATACAATTGTTACACTCTTGGGGCAAAATTTTTGTAGCTCCTAAGTATACTGTCTATCATACCATTATCACACATACAAACAATTTGATGTGGTACATTACTTATTTCCTTATTTCTATAGTTATCAATAAGTTGACACTATAATACATAATGTTCTAAGGTGTGGGCGTGCGGCTCAAGTTCAAGTTCAAGTATGTTTATTGAGATAAGCAATAAATACATCTCAAAGGGATAGAGTAGCTTAGGCTATTTCTACCCCCCTCTACTTCAAGTCCCTCAAGGGGCGCACAAATTCAGTGAGTACAAATAGACATATAGCAGTACAAAAATCCCATTTAACATTGCATACAGCAAGTACAGCATATAATTGTTACATTCTTGGGGCAAAATTCTTGTAGCTCCTAAGTATACTGTCTATTATACCATTATCACACATCCAAACAATTTGATGTGGTACACTATTTATTTCCTTATTTCTATATTTTTCAATAAGGTGACACTCTAATACATAATGTTCTAAGGTGTGGGCGGACGGCATACTACATAATTTACACTCCTTATCTTTTTCACTGACATCAACACCGTATTGCCAGATATATTTATATCCTAATCGTAATCTCATGTAAATTGAATCCTTCCAAGTAGACTTTCCTTTACCATAAGTGAAGGACGAATTTGTATTTATTATTGAATAATTCTTAAGTGTGTTACTACTGTCCACCATTGCCATTCTCTTTATCATTTCTTCACCCTCCTGAATCACCTTGAGTCTTGTTTTTATTTGTTTCAAGGTTAACTGACATACAACATCAACAAGAGTTTTTTCAGTGGCTCTCTTCGCTATGTCATCAACTACCTCATTCAACAGTATTCCCACATGTGAAGGGATCCACATGAATCTTACTTTATACCCAGTTTTTTCTAGTCTCTTAACATTCTCTCTACACTCTATCACAATATTCTGATATACTGGGCGTCTGCTATTTAAAGACTCTAACGCTCCTCTGCTGTCAATAAAGAAGCAAGCATTTTTTCCACATTTGACTACTTCCTGTAATCCTGCTAATACTCCTTGGAGTTCAGCCTGCGTTGAAGAGACATTGTCAGTTAAGCGGCGTCCAATAACAGTATCTACAGTGCCGATGTCAGTGTACTCCCTGATCAAGACCCCACATCCTGCCTTCCCATCCCTAGCTACTGACCCATCACAATATACATGTAGAGTGTTTTCCGTAGGCAGTTTTCTAATTATACAATCATATGTTGCCCTCAGCTCTCCTATTTCATACATACTTTTTTTCTTATGCAAGGGAGTAATTACTACATCTACATTACAATCCTCCCATGGTGGTGTAAATTTTCTCTTGGGCACAGCAATACACTCTGTAATAACATCATACTTTATAACATTATAACATAATTTATTCATATATACTCTCTTCTTCATCATACACTGTTCACTACTTCCCACCTTTTGAACCGAGAGGATTAATTCATTAGCTCCCCCACCTCTCATTAATCTAATGGCAGAGGCTACATTTATCTCTGAAATTCTATCCCCAATACTCTGCAGATTCAACTCCATCCTCATTATCTCAATCATAGCATTTCTTGGGCATCCTAAGATAATTCTCATTGCTTCATTTTGTACCTTCTCCAACTTGCCCATCCTACCTTTACCAAAACAAGAAATGACAGGTGCAGCATAATCAATAAGAGAACTTACAGTACTCAAGTATAACATTCGTAGCACAGGGACTCCCACTCCCTTTCCACAGCATGCCAAAGCCTTCAGAGGTTGTAATCTCTTCCGACATTGACCCAACAGTCTGTTCATCTCAGCTTCCAAACTCTCATGGGTATATCCAACATATATGCCTAAATATTTATATATATTAACTCTCTCTATATTTTTATCGTTTATTTTCAAAACAATGGGGCTCCGACTTCTACATTCAAACTTAGTTTTGTTTTCATTAACCACCAATCCCATATGGTGACACAGGTTTCCGAAATTGTCCAACACTGTTTGAACCTTTGAAATATCTTTGCCCTGAAATAAAATATCATCGGCATATATGATCGGAGTTACCCCATTTGAGTATCTCTCAGATGCTATCTTATTCATTAGTACATTAAACAGGGTGGGACTCAAAACTCCTCCCTGAGGTGTGCCGAGTTCAAAAGACCTCACACCTGACATACAACCTTGATACCACACCTGAGCCTTCCTTTCGTAAAGATAATCCCCTATCCAGCGCAATAATTTCCCTTTAACACCAAGACTAGCTAATTCATATAAAATAACCTCTTTGTTGGCTTTATCAAAAGCTCCTTGTAAATCAATGAAAATTCTATAATAATCATTTTCATTAGCTAGACATTTAATAATACAATCAGAGGTACTTTTTCCTTTGAGGAACCCGAACAAATTACTAGACAGCTGATCACCTATTATATATAAAAGTCTATTTAAAATGATCCTCTCCATCATTTTACAAAAACACGAGGTTAAAGACACAGGTCTATACTCTCCATTGGCTTTAGGGATAGGGATGATCATAGCTTTTTTCCATTTACTGGGAATACTGCCCTCTTTATAACTAATATTAAAGAGGTCTAAAAGTGGGCTTTTCGTCATAGTGGCAAGTTCATTAAGTATTTCATAAGTTACTCCATCCTCCCCAGGTGCGGTAGATTTCCCAACTTTAATCGCCGTTATTAGTTCTTCTCTGGTAATACCTGTGCAAGTGACATCACCACTGTTACCTGCTATAAGTATAAAATCCTTTCTTAGATCTTTCCAAGAATCTAATGACTCTCTCGTTACAGCGGGTAATGAACTAAGTTTGGCAGCTTCCGCCCATTTATTTACGAGCTCATTTGCAATTCCTTGCGGGTCTGGATGTGCAACAAAATTGTGCTTTTTACCCCTTATTTTATTTACGTCTTGCCAGATTTCCTTCAAGTTTCTGTTACTCCCAACTTTCTCTGCAAATTCCTGCCAATACTTGCTCCTAATTTCCTTTCTCTTCTCCCCACACAGCCTAGCAACTGCCAGTAAAGCATTCTTCCCTTCCTCAGTCCTACCATTCCTATTCCAATCCCTGTGAGCTCTCCTCATTGTTAATGTCCACCCCTTAAGCATCTTGTCATGTGTATAATTTTCTTTTCTGGGGGGATGCCTTTTTATACTAGATGGTTTCCGGTTCAATGTTGCATTAAATACATCTACCTCCTTAATTAAATCTTCATAAAATGCTTCTGCCGAAACCGGCTTATAAGTATCATACCAAGACTTAATATGGCCGACAAGACCCCTTAATTCTCCCTCATTAAACTTTAACCTTTTCCTCTGAAGGCAGGCATGCTTTTTATCTAGTTTAAGCTGTATTTGTAATGCAAAATGATCACTTAGCATTTCATCCACAGTAAGACAATTCCCCTCTATGCCCTCAGCATTTATTAAACAAGCATAATCTAATCTCCCTCCCCTCAAATGAGTAGGAGAGGGCTCGCCCAGCAGTTGAACATCTTCATGTTCCTGCAAAAACTGGTACCATCTGCAACCATTCCTATTTGCTTTACCCCTTGATCCTAAAGCTGGATGTCTGGCATTAAAATCCCCTACCACAAGTGTATCTTCAGAAAAGAAGGAATCTGGCAAGTATCGTAAATCAAGGGAGCTATCAGAGATGTATAGATTAATGAAATTTAACTCTCGGTCCTTTAATTGTATCCGCAAGCTAATACTTTCAATACCTCTATATCTCTGAGGAATTCCAGTTATCTCGGCAGGTATGGTACTTTTGACATAACATGAGACCCCCCTAGTTCCTCCATCAGCATATAAGTGAAAGCCTCTATAGCCATTTAGCCTCAGTATGCTACCATCCCTATCCCCAGTTTCCTGGAGTGCTACTATGTCAATATCCTCTCTAAGAGTATAATAGTGTACATCCACTGCTCTAGTTTTTAATCCATTAATGTTCCAAGATAATATTCTCAATTTACTTTCATCCATGATTAATAATAAAACTACCTTTGCCCTGTCCGTCACATTCCATGAGATACAAGAGTACCTTAGAAACTTCCTTCCAACACCGTAACATTTTTTCTTTCTCTTCACCTTCACAACTACTACTAACATCGAAGGTAATATTTTTCATATCTATTTTCTTTGTTATTTCTGTAACCCGTTTTACTTTAACCGTTCTTTCACCATTTGTCACAACAGGAGGTTGAACACCGCTAACACTACTAGAAAGTGTATTCTCCTGACTATCCTCTATCATCGTTACCTCATGCACATCATTACTTTCTTCTACGCACGTTTCACTTTCCATTTCACTTCTCGTTTTACTTTCAATTACACGTCCTGTTTCACCACCATCTTTACCCCGTCCACCTTCCATAGCCAATTTTTCCAATGCCTCAATCCTCTTATCTAGTTTTTTTAGATACTCCAAAATTTGATTACCAACCTCAGAGGTGACCATATTGTCCTGAACCTTGTCGTCACAAGGTTTCAGTTTTTCCACTGCATGATGTACTTTCCCTAAGCTCGCCTTTACTTTCTCCGTCCCTTTTTCCCACACATTGATCATAGGGGCTGCCGTTGGCTTCCAACTGTTTCCTCCATGTTCCTCTTGCACAATTTTTCCTTGCTGCGAGGATACATCTATCCTGCTTGTAGGACCCGTTCTAGTCTCTTTCAGATGAGGCTTCATGGGGCATAGAGAGGAACCAGCATTGTGGCTACCTCGACAGTTGCAACAAAATGGGATAATCTTTTCACTTCTTTCAATCTTGACTCTACACTCTCGCGAGTCGTGATTTTTCCCACAATACCGACACCTGGGGTCAAACTGGCATTTCCATGCCATATGTCCCCAACGTGAACACTTCATGCACAGTATAGGCTCCTCAACGTATTTTGCAACGTTCCTATAGCCTAGTCCTTGCACAAAAATTTTCTCCGGCGCCTCACCCTTTACCAAGGCAACAACCTGGCTTCGTTTGTCACCACGAACACTGTTCCTCTTGGCCCAGACAACATTATCATTGTTAAGAAGAAGATAGTCAGGATCCAAATAAGTTGGAAACTTGAAAACTATGATCTTTGTGTGCAACATACCTTCTTCTGGAGGAACCATCACTACATTCTCAAATCCAACCGTCGTGAGGCGTTCCACGGCCTGTTCAGTCCCAACTGTTATGTAGGGCCGGTGAAGACCCTCCTTGAAAAGTGGTTCGTATTCCAAACATTGTTTAGCCAAACGTACCGTCCACTCTAGCTTTTGGTGGAAATTCAATTGGCATGTTGTAGGGAACAACAGCCTCTTCCTTCTTGTCTTGTCTTGAGTCTTGCCGAGTAGGGTCTCATTCTTTGGTCTCTTTGCAATCTCATCGTCACTCTCACTGTCTCGCTGTCTGTTATTATTTCTCCGTTTCTTTTTGTTCACTACTAATTCAAACGGTCGATTATCATCTTGTCTGTCCTCCTCACTGCCACTTGGGCATACCGCCTCAGCCATTTCTTCACGTTGTCAATAATCGAGAACAAATGCACAATATCCTGTATCACCACGTGCAAAAAACGAAGAGTGTGGGGCAATCCTCCACCTCCCACCAATCAGCGGACGCCAAGAGCGCCAACCTAGCGACCGCACACAACCGTGGTCTGGATACAACTGAATTAAGCTATTGCCCCTTGTAATGATTGGGTGTGTTTCCTATCACCTGACGCACCAGTTCACCCAACAGTAGATAGTTACCTAGGAGTTAGTCAGCTTGTTGATACTTTTTTTTAATTTTGATTCGAAGAGCGAGTTTATTGGGCAGCGCCACTCAATAGGAAGAAAACCCGCTGGGTTGTTCATCCTGTCACTTGTACCCAGACACAGCTGGGTTGTTGTTGTTAAAGATTCGTTACCTAAAACAAAAAGTTCCAGGTAACACGGGCTATGGTGAGCCCGTAAGCCACAGCTGGGACTTGCTTAACTGTCTCAAGTGAACAGCTCATAAAACAAGAAGATTAACATTTGTCAACCCCCTAAAATTTACGTTATTTTGAGGGTGCATAATAGGAAAATCTTTTAAGAACAATCCCCCGACACACGGAATTATGAATTAACCCCCCAGTCTTTAATATGAGTTGCCTTTAAGTTTACCAGAGTGCCCCATTCGCCAGCGACACATTATAGAACACATCTTTTAGAAGATGATAATTTATCATAAATTTGTGTAACCCACCTATAAATGTACAAAAATTTATGAATAAAACATTTGAATTTAATATTAAATTGCAGTAATGTCCACTGGCTGAATATGGATAATTTAAACTTTTGCTTTAGTTGCACCTTAAAATTGTATAGACCAAAACATTGACATCATTATTTTCTAACAAACATATAAATCTTTATTGCTTATTAATTACGCAAACTTATTATAATTTAAAATAAATTTAAACACTGTTTTGTATGAATTTCCTTACGAGTTCCTTATTAGTAGTATTATTTTATTATTATTATTAATACAAGTCGACGTTCAACAGTGACAGGCCAAAATGGGGACCGCGGAGAAGGTACACAACATTGCTTCTCGCTAATATTCCAGGAATTGCGTGTAAACACTCACTATTCTAACTCCTGTTAGTCCCTGACCACCAGAAGGTGTGAGCAGCGGCGGCAACAGTCACTTGAGATGAGTGGGAAGCATGAAATGTGTGCCAGGAGCTTGATGAGTTACGGCGTGCGCGCCGCTGTCCTGAGCCTGGTGCTGTGTGACTCCCTATACCAGCTTTATCCACCAGTTCTCTACCCAGTGCCAGCTTTAGCCACCAGTTCTCTACCCGGTGGCAGCTTTAGCCACCAGTTTTCTACCCAGTGGCAGCTTTATCCACCAGTTATCTACCCAGTGCCAGCTTTATCTGCCAGTTTTCTACCCAGTTCCAGCTTTATCCACTAGTTCTTTACCCAGTGCCAGCTTTATCCACCAGTTCTCTACCCAGTGGCAGCTTTATCCACCAGTTCTCTACCCAGTTCCAGCTTTATCCACCAGTTCTCTACCCAGTGGCAGCTTTATCCACCAGTTCTCTACCCAGTGCCAGCTTTATCTGCCAGTTTTCTACCCAGTTCCAGCTTTATCCACTAGTTCTTTACCCAGTGCCAGCTTTATCCACCAGTTCTCTACCCAGTGGCAGCTTTATCCACCAGTTCTCTACCCAGTGGCTGCTTTATCCACCAGTTCTCTACCCAGTGGCAGCTTTATCCACCAGTTCTCTACCCAGTGCCAGCTTTATCTGCCAGTTTTCTACCCAGTTCCAGCTTTATCCACTAGTTCTTTACCCAGTGCCAGCTTTATCCACCAGTTCTCTACCCAGTGCCAGCTTTATCCACCAGTTATCTACCCAGTGGCAGCTTTATCCACCAGTTCTCTACCCAGTGCCAGCTTTATCCACCAGTTCTCTACCCAGTGCCAGCTTTATCCACCAGTTCTCTACCCAGTGGCAGCTTTATCCACCAGTTCTCTACCCAGTGGCAGCTTTATCCACCAGTTCTCTACCTAGTGGCAGCTTTATCCACCAGTTTTTTACCCAGTGCCAGCTTTATCTACCAGTTCTCTACCCAGTACCAGTTTTATCCACCAGTTCTCTACCCAGTGGCAGCTTTATCCACCAGTTCTCTACCCAGTACCAGTTTTATCTACCAGTTCTCTACCCAGTGGCAGCAGTATCCATTTCTTTACCCAATAGCAGTATTATCCACCAGTTCCTTACCAAGTAGCCGCTTGTGGCTCATTATAGATATTCGTTGGTGAATGTTGGTCATTTTGTAATACAGTAATTAGGAAATCAGTTGTGTGTGTAGTACCTGCACACATTTTAATTATACCCTACCTGGATATATTAATTATACCCTAATTATACCCGGGAGCCGGTGGCTGAGCGGACAGAACACTGGACGCGTGATCCTGTGGTCCCGGGTTCGATCCCGGGCGCCGGCGAGAAACGATGGGCAGAGTTTCTTTCACCCTGATGCTCCTGTTACCTAGCAGTAAATAGGTACCTGGGAGTTAGTCAGCTGTCATGGGCTGCTTCCTGGGGTGGAGGCCTGGTCGAGGACCGGGCCGCAGGGACACTAAAGCCCCGAAATCATCTCAAGATAACCTCAAGATAAGATAACCCTTCTTGGGCCACAGTTATAATGTGGGAAATGGTGATGCTCCTTCGTGAATGTAATGGTGCTGGTGGCTAGTTTGATGGTATCCAATAGGTTGTTCAGCCTGGTCTTAGTGATAAATCTTGAAGTAAAACTAGTAAAATTTAAAGTGTTTCACATTGGTGTATTTTCTGAGGCAAGCATTTATATTCGATGCTAAAACTACAGTTATGTGATAGAAATTGAACTGTCCAGCCATCATTTGATAATATTTTATTTTATTTTCAGATTTAGTTAAGGTAGGCAGTAGCTATATATTAGGTGGAACATGTGATGGTGGTATTCTGAGCAGGATTAATTTTAATCTCATGAAAGTAAGAAAATGGGATAAAGGTTAGGCAAGATTTGGTTCATTTTTGATAAAGCATGTGTACTCATTGTTGATAATTGCAGTATCCTAATTGTGGATATTATTGAATTGGATGCCACTTTTTATAATTTCCTCTTGCACAAGAACATACAAAAAACTATATATGGCCTATGTTTTTCTGCCTCATGGTTGATGCAGTGACTGAAAACCTAATTACATTCAAATAGCTTTGTTCCTTGTTATACAGTAATTAGTATAATTTCAGTACAGGTCTAATCAGTATATTTATAATGTAAAGCTTGTATTTTTTGCTAGTGATTTATTATGTTTTGTTTGTTGTAATAGATGGAGGTGGAGAACAAGAAAGGAGAGGGCTACAAGCCATATTACACACACAAAACGGAAAACCTTCAGGTTATTATATCGGAGAAAATGCAAGACCTTAGACGACTACAGGCTCAGCGCAATGAATTAAATGCTAAAGGCAAGTACTCACTTAGTTGTGCTTACGGAGGGTTGAGCTCTGGCTCTTGGTGCTGCCTCAGCTGTCAATCGACTGGTTAGGCAACTAACACTGCCACAAGAGCAGTGATGATTTATTTTTCTAAGTTTATTCCATAAATTTATGTTGTCTGTGTCTGACATACTGTATTTAATATTTTGTTTTTGTTTTATTTATTTTTGTATAGAGTGCAGTATATAATTTTATATACAGTACTCTAAAATAATTTGTGAGGTTGCAGTTCATGAAAATGTAAATGTTTATGTTCGACATTGCTAGCCTGGTAATTACCTAAGTGTAATTGACTCTCTACACTCGTGGTGTCCCATCTTCCCAGCAATCTGTCATATACGTAGCGCTTTGAAACTACTGATGGTTTTGGCCTCCATCACCTTTCTCACCTAACTTGTACCAACCGTCTACCACTTTGTTTATAAATGTGAATTTTCTCATATTTCTCTGGCAGTTTTGTTTTGTTAGTTTACATCTATGACCTCTTGTTCTTGAAGTTCCAGGTCTCAGGAATTCTTCCCTATCAATTTTATCGATTCCTGTTACTATTTTGTACGTAGTGATCATATTGCCTCTTTTTCTTCTATCTTCTAGTTTTGGCATATTTAATACCTCTAACCTCTCCTCGTAGCTCTTGTTCTTCAGTTCTGGGCGCTACTTAGTGGCATGTCTTTGCACCTTTTCCAGTTTGTTGATGTGCTTCTTAAGATATGGGCACCATACAACCGCTGCATATTCCAGCTTTGGTCTAACAAAAGTCATGAACAATTTCTTTAGTATTTCTCCATCCATGTATGGAGAAATGGATGTAAGCCATTCTAAAGTTAGAAAGTGTAGCATAGGCTCCTCGCACAATATTCTTAATGTGGTCCTCCGGTGACAGTTTTCTATCTAGAACCACCTGTAGATCCCTTTCTTTGTCAGAATTCTTTAAAGATTTCTTGCATAATTTATAGATTGTATGGGGTCTATGTTCTCCAATTCCACATTCCATAACATGGGATTTATTCACATTAAATGATCACATGGTGATCATATAATGGAGTATTCCTTATTAGTGTTAGTGAGATAGTGTACAGATTTGGTAGGAGTTTCTGATGAGAAATAATTGTCATCATCTATACTAGATTTACAGATATAATTCATTATCAGATCAGACAATGTAGGGTTAATATGAAGTCTACATTGTCAGATCTATTGCCTCCCAGTCTCATGTTTACATAAAACATGTGGCTACATCATTTCATGTGTAAAGTGCCTGTATATAAGAGCAGACCAGACTGGCATGAGGTTATAACTTTTAATATTGATTTTAAGCAATCTTTATATAAAAAATCCAATTGTCTTTTTTCAGGTAAAATAACAAGTAATTGTAGTACATTATATTTTAGTAAATACTTTTATCTAATTTACATGAATAATATAATTTTCTAATCATGAAAAATTTACCGCTATTCATAACGCTAAAGTGAGTTTTTTGTGGTTAAACAGTTCGCCTGCTTCGTGAGGAATTGCAGTTGTTACAGGAACAGGGCTCCTATGTTGGAGAGGTAGTTAAGCCGATGGACAAGAAAAAAGTATTGGTGAAGGTTCATCCTGAGGGCAAGTTTGTTGTTGATCTGGATAAGAACATAGACATCAACCAGGTCACGGCCAATGCTAGAGTGGCACTCCGTAATGATTCTTATACTCTGCATAAAATTCTACCCAATAAGGTATATATTTTGAACTTACATCTAAGTTTCATATTATGTGACTGTGTCCTTTACCCCTAATGTAAATCCAAGCCACAGGCACCTGTTTTTTTCTTTGATACATTGTCATAATTTCTATGAATATTTTTTACAATTGTCTTACATATGTTCTGTAATTTTTTTTTAAGTATTGGCTGTATGTATATCCTTCATGTCAGTTAGTCATTTTTAATGTGTATCTGATGACTGAGATAACCATCCCCACTAGGTTGATCCATTGGTGAGTCTCATGATGGTAGAGAAGGTACCCGATTCAACCTATGAAATGGTTGGTGGCCTTGACAAGCAAATCAAGGAGATCAAAGAAGTTATAGAACTACCCGTCAAACATCCAGAGCTTTTTGATGCCCTTGGAATTGCACAACCTAAGGGTGTGTTACTATATGGACCTCCAGGGACAGGTAAGTTAGTAATTATTTCTTTATTTACTTATTTATTAAAATATAAATTGAAAATAAAATTTTGACTCGAGTTGTAAAGACGTCGGATAACATGGCTTCAACTTGCAAATAATTATATATCCAAAGAAAAGTCGGTGGAAAATGCATGGGTAATGAGAGGTCCAATCATGCCCACTGAAGGAAAATAAAATGGTTTGTACAAGTGCCCTCACTGTAAGTCTGGATACCACAAAAAAATTACACCTTAATAAGCTCTCTTGTAGTTTTAGAACACTTCACAGTAAAACATTTCTAAAATATAAATGGAGTGTTTTAATCTTTACTGTTAAAAGAGCATGTTTAGTAAAATAGGAACAAAAGATGTTGCGATTGAAATTATGCAATGAGCTGACACCCTTGATTTCAACAAATTCCCATCCGAGACCCCATTTGATTTTTTATAAAAAATACAAATTTTGGATGAGCCCTATCCAGTGGATGGATATTATCTGTTAAAAGGAATTCTTGATGGAGGTCCAAATTTTGGAGGGTGTTGTATACAGTACTATTCAGTATGTTGATTTAACTGGTTAAACTTATGACAATCTCACAGCCACAGAAAATTCTAAGTACTTATGAATATTATGTGGAAAAATTATCTTTATACAAGAACTACATATTTATTAGCACAACCTATGATGAAGTGTTAAGAAGATTTTGTAAGTCACTAGTCATCCGTTAATCATCTCCCAAAAAGGTCTAGTTTCCATCGTGGCAGAGGAATGTGTACTAAATACATTGTACTGTATTGTACTACCAAAATTATAAACAAAAATGAATAAACAAATTATATAATATGCTAATTAGATTACCAAAAATGGCAAAATATTGTATTCAAAATTTTCTGCAGATGTTTCATCCAAGTGAAATGCTCATTTAACAGTTCAGTACTGTACAATACTGTACTAGTGTAGGAATAAACTTTAGAAACTCATTATTCTTAATATTATTCTCAATAATGCTCAATCATACATGGTTTCAGGTAAAACTCTGCTTGCCCGAGCAGTAGCCCACCACACAGACTGTACATTCATCCGTGTCTCGGGCTCAGAGCTGGTTCAGAAGTTTATTGGTGAAGGTTCAAGAATGGTTAGGGAATTGTTTGTGATGGCTCGTGAGCATGCCCCCTCCATTATCTTTATGGATGAAATTGACTCTATTGGATCTTCACGCATCGAGTCTGGCAGTGGTGGTGATTCTGAAGTACAGCGAACAATGTTGGAATTGCTAAACCAGTTAGATGGCTTTGAGGCTACAAAGAACATCAAGGTATGAATGAATGGTATAATTAGCAAATATGAGTTCATTAGCTATGGTCTGTAACAGTCCCAGAAATTAATATTTTTAATAATTTATTTAATCATTGTTGTTTTTCTTAGGTAATCCATGTGCAATGTGTTAAACATTTTTTTTATTTATATATGAAAATCCTTTGAATTACAGTATACCATTGTTAATTATAATCCTTTCAAGAGCAAAATACTGTAGCTTTGACTGTAGAAATAAATGCCTCTAGTTGATCTCAAGTGTTAATGTTATATGATTTGCTTATCAATATAATTTATGTAAATCATCGATCACATTTTTTTCAAAACAGGTGATTATGGCCACAAATCGCATTGATATATTGGATCCTGCCCTCTTACGCCCTGGACGCATTGACCGAAAGATTGAATTCCCTGCTCCAAATGAAGAAGCCAGGCTAGACATTCTCAAGGTTAGTTTATTCATTCGCCTGAAGCTAAATACCAGTACTGTACATTAGTGGTAGTGGCATTTCTTACAACTTGTTTGTACATGTGAGTGTAGAAATGTCTGCTCCAGAAATTTTGGATTGTCTATAAAGCCAGGGAGGAACTTGTCAGGGTTTGAAAAACCAGTATTAATGAGACGGTACCAGAGATTATCTGTTCTTTATAGATTGCTTATCTTTTCTTTGAAACAGAACATACAGCATTGCAGTTAATCAAAAGTACAGTAATATTAATAAATATATATACTGTAATGTATAATATTGTCTTACCTTGTTTATGAACTTTTCAGATTCATTCTCGTAAGATGAACCTCACGAGAGGAATAAACTTGCGTAAGATTGCAGAGATGATGCCTGGAGCATCAGGAGCCGAGGTGAAGGGTGTGTGTACAGAGGCCGGAATGTATGCTTTGCGAGAGCGTCGTGTTCATGTTACTCAAGAAGACTTTGAGATGGCTGTTGCCAAAGTGATGCAGAAAGATAGTGAAAAGAATATGTCTATCAAAAAGCTGTGGAAGTAGGAGGAATTTTTCCACTCGTTGATATATAAACCATTTGAATTTAATTGTACTATACCATGAACTCCAGGATGCTAGGGAAAGTGCATCCGAGTTATTTATTATTGTATATTTTATCACAGCTATGTAGTTACTTTTGTGCTTTATATTTTAATTTGTTTTTCTTTTCGTGTGTAACTTTGAATTTAACTGTTACTTTATATGGCTGCGACTGATTTAATTAGGTCTTTAGAAAATAAAGTTTTGATAAACTATGCTGCTTTTTTACCTTTTTTCTATATAAGCTATTTACTATAATCTGTATGTAGATGACAAAAATGTATACAGTACAATATAGTAACTACTTGCTAGTCTTACGTTATCTTTGAGCCTGATACATGAGTATATTGAATCTGTTCAAAAGTGCATACAGCCGTTGGATTTTTGGCTTTGGGGTTTTGAACAATTTTAAATTTTAAAGAGCAGGTTTAAGATATTCTGGATCTCATTTTGAAGCTAATGGAGTTGAAAGTCATGGTAGTGATTACAGTGGTAGTGAAAGTAGTATAGACGTGGACAAACTCTAAACCTCCATGAATCTAGATCTTTTCTTCTTTTTGCTTGTGAATATAGTTATGATGATTACCTTTGCTGAATATAACACACACAAATCACAATAGCGTGATACATCAAATGAACAAATCCACAAGGGTTGTGGCGCAATCGACTGAGGAGCACCTGGGATCATCCTGGACGTAGGTTCGAACCCTCATCACGGCCCTTGTGGATTTGTTAATTTAATCAAGTTCAATAATAGAGTAGAAATGCTCGCAATGTATTTCCCTAAGAGATATGTACTGAACAAAATATGTACAACAATGCAGGTTCTTCATGGTCTAGGACACTATCTGCATTGGACAGACTATCAATTTTATATTTGTTTTTCAAGCTATTGTATAATAGTACTGTGTTGTTATTACCAAGTAAATTTATACAAAATAGTCAAAACGTTCTTATAATTTTACCTTAAAAAAAAAACAGTATCATTCCTACAGAAGTACAGTTAATAAGATAAATAAGATATACAAACTGTACTTTTAAGAACAGCACCTTAAAAGATAATGTTACAGTACTAACAAACTTGCATTCATGTCGGATGGTTGAGTCTTGCTTGCCAATATTATTCCTCAAAGGGCAAGAATTATAAAAGAATATTAAATAAAATAGAGGTCATCTGTACTATAAATAAAATTTTATTTTACGTACACCAAATACAAAAGTTCTTAAATAAAAATTTGTCAAACTTTTTTTTGTTTGCACAAGAAATGCGAGACTATAACCTTGTCCAATAAAAATAAATGAATAAAATTTAGTTCAGTTCCTCCTCCTCCTAACTCTGGATATTCTCCAAGCATTGGGTTCTTCATACTTATTATACAGGGGCTCAAGTCTCTGGTTCTTCTTGTACTTGCTGAGCTTGGTTGGATCGCCTTGCTTAAAGAAGGATGGGGCAAACTCTACCAACCACTTGGGATCTATTGTTGTTACCTCACGCATGTACTCCTTCGTTGTCTGCACCAGTTCATGATACACTACCCTGAAGCAAAAATATATAAATGACAGTAACCATTGTAAACAAATTTAAATACAGTATCTGCAAATCAACAATGATGCATTTAAGTACAAAATCTATTTCAGGTAATACACTAACTGGTTCCATATCACTTTGCTATAGAATATATAGTAGTTCTAATATTGCTCACATAGACATCAAATAATACTATATGGCATATTTTAAACTTGACCTAATAATGTGAAGAGTTAATTCCAATAACAATGTTTTTGTACAAACTTATGGTCATTAAGAATTATTCATTACTAACCCTTAACATTAGTCAATATTTCAGTATTCAAAACTACACTGTAAATATTCTTTACCATTTATGGTAAATAATGAATTGATTTATGCAATGGCATAAATCCTTCATTAACACAATGTTTTACTGTACTTACCATTCTGGTTGTCTATTAAAGAGGGCTGACGAAGGGTGAATATAGACTACCTGGGAGTCTACAAGTGTTCTGTAGCCCTCCTGAGGATCCTTCTTTGCTGCATTTCGAAAGAACCCGGAGCAAATTGCTTTCTGGGCTCTAGCCACGTTCTTGCCACATGACACAACATCCAGTTTATGTCTTTAAAAATAAATCAAAGAATTAGACAAGCTTTAATAAAATACCCCAGTATATTTTTTGGAGTAAATACTCCCTCTGTATTAAACTAATATATTTTCTTCTGTATTAGAAGAAATAGTATAAATAGTATAAATATAATATTTATACATAAATAGATAAATATATATACAGTATATATTTTTTTAATACTGCCTTGAAATCCTGTTGTCAAATCATCATACATGTTGACCAGACCACACACTAGAAGGTGAAGGGACGACGACGTTTCGGTCCGTCCTGGACCATTCTCATCATTACATGTTGTTTAGTTAGGCCTAACCTTGTCATATCGTGTAAGTAAGATACAGATATTAAAATGAACTCCAGGAGAACTGAGTCTGTTAGAGGCTTTATGTCTATTCCACTGGAAAAGTTTCAGGATTTGCCCCTTAATAAAGAGAAGAAGAACAATAAATCAAATATGAAACAGAAATAAGGATTTATATGTTCTCTAGTTTGGAAGCCCAAACCCAATATGAGAACCAAACTGGGTACTCTGTCTATGACTTTGATGTACCTCAGCAAAAGAAAAGAAACTGGTCAACCTCCAACCAGAGCTAGGAACTTTATGGCAACTTCTCACCAAAGAAGAAACTATGAGGTGGTGATATAGGACCCACCTCGCCCTGCTGCAAATTAAAATTCAGGTTGCCCCACCTTGAGGATGAAGAACTGAATGTGCTCAAGTCTTGGAAAGCCTGTGAATGCCCCTAGAACCAATAAGCCTTCTCCGACCCCAATACATGCCTCTCTGAAATGCAAGACAATCTTACAGATGTAAAGACAATCTTACAGATGTAAGGAAGAATTGAACCCACTTGGAAGAACAGAACCCCAAGCACAGCAGAAGTACCCATCAAAGGAACACCAGTTCAGCATTTCTGGTCCTGAAGATTAAACTTGTAAATTACAGAACCAGTGACACTGGTTCTGCAACAATCTGAATAATAATGAATGAATATTAACAATCTACATTGACAGTGTCTTTGTCAAGGCAGATTGAACTCTGTAAGGAATAGAAGACTGGGAATTGTGATCCCAGCAAAAATATTTTTCAGCTTCAGCACTCAAAATTAGCAACAGCCATGTAGGCAGCACACGATAAGGTTAAAATAGGATGACCACCCAAACCCTACACATGTTGCAAGCTCATGGCTGAAATGAATTCTAAACCGAATAAGGTAAACTGCAGAAACAAACCGGTATGGCCTTCAGAGTTAATAGAACTGTCAGGCATCCCTCATTGCTGAATCAGGAAGTGCTGTTTATCACCAAGGTGCTTCATTACATTACCAAAGGCCAGATCTCTGCACAAGATCTAACAAGACATGGCAGGTCACCAGTCCTTTTAACCCTGATTGCAATCAAGAGTTAGAAGCCTGGAGCCATGGCACAAGTTCTTGGCAACCTAATACTGTAGCCACCCTACAGACAGTGAAGACTAGCAGCAATAGTAACACAAAATTTTCCAACCAGCAAAGGCAGGACTTTGGTCCATAGAATGGTCCATGACCACACACTGGTGAAGTAATATTTGAATGAAAATAGAAAAATAAATATCTAAGCTTTCAAGGACTAGAAAACTGTGTTAAGAGATAGTATGGGCTCAAACAGCAAAGCTACTATTGTACACCTGCACCTTTTTATGAAAAAGAAGTTGGAAATCAATTGGGGCATTCAGTTCTCTAAATAATACACCCTCAAACTGCCCATTAACTGAGCCAGAGCACAAGAATGAAAGATTTCTAAATAGAAAAAATAGGTCAAACAAAATAACCACAAATAAATCAACCATTAAATTTAATTAAACTTAAATACAGTAAATTAAATAATTAAAATTCAGCCCAGGTGAATAGAAGGTCAAACATAACTGAAAATCTACACAGAGAATATCAGCATGGAAATACTGTATGTTTGATGGCTGGTGTGTGGGTACTATGAGGTGTGAGTGGCAAAGGTAGGCCAATTGGTGGTTATTGAGAACACTACCTTGGTGGTCACTTGCAGTGTCAAGGGAGGGTTTAAAAGGCATTGAGTATATAAATGACTTGTTGTAAGTCATTATGTGTTGGATTAAATGGTCTCTAATCTGAATAATAATTGAAACCACTCCAGGAAGAAATTGTTGTGGGTGCTGCATTGAAGACCTCTCGAGCCACACGACATGCACGAGTTTAGCCACCTTCGCCTAATGCTACTGTATGTCTAGCAGAATGGCAATGGTGGGTCGCTCGCGCACCGGATCCCGAGATGCAACTTTCTCGTGCCACATGACATGCGCGAGGTTTGGAGATTTAAATTAATGACTCTACAGAGAAACTCGAGAAATTCACTGTGGCACCAGTGCCAGTACGTTGTCCTGCCTGAACATACACAATCCTGTCCAATGAAAGCAGCAAAACCTTAACTAAAGACAGCAGCAGCTGGGAAGGGAACTATCAGGAGAATGCACCAAGCAATTAAGACTATTTAGCCTTGGAAGGTATTAAGATAAAGATTTGGGATGGGACAGGGAAAGGAATGGTGGAACCACTTAGACGGTGGGGAATTGAATGCCGACCTGCATGAAGCGAGGCCATCACTCTACCATCTAGCCAAAGTGGTTGGGCTAAAAAGCAGAAGATAACTAAAAAAAAAATACAAAATTAATCAGGTGAAAACCAAAAGGTATCCATACCAGGGATACCAATTAATCATCACAATGCAAAATAGCAAGAGAAGAGCATAATGTGTACATATATAAATAATACTGAGTAGAGCAATATACAGTAATACCAGACACCTAGTGAGAGCAAATTAATTATCTAAAAATACTCACCTGTCCATAATACCAAGTAATTGCTTTCTAACATCTTGAGCTCTTTTGAGTGTACGCATCTGAACAAAGTTTTCATAGCACCAAGCATTGGAGAATTTGTTGTTTTTCCAAGAGTTGTACACTGCAAGAAGTGTAAGATGATCTCCCTCAGCTTGGTTGAATTTGGCTTTCTTCTGGTCAGCTAAAGCTTGTTTTTCTTTAGGTCTGTAAAATAAATCATTAATGTCATCAGTATCAACATGTCAATAAAATGTAAGTTGTCTATTAAATCACAAAAAATTTTACATAAAATATTCTGATCAAAAAGAATAATAAGGAATTAAGCAGTTGCTTTCAAAGCCAATGCCTGGGTTCATTCCTGAAACAATTCTGTTGATTATTTAATTGTTGGTCAGGATAATTTTGGATGTGTGTAGAAATTATGTGATCTTTAATGAAGCCGTGTTTGGAATTGTCAGCACCTTGAAATAAATGTGGTCATCTTGCCTACATGCTGAGATTGTCGAGGCTTACAGTTCCCAAATGGGCATGTAAAGGCTTGAGGACATTTATATTTTTCATGAAGACTTAGACCACCAACTTAATAATGAACTCTCCCAATGCCAAATAAAGCATCTTGAAAGAGACAAATGTCATCTACACTAACTTCAGGACTGTCAACCCCAATGATTTCAATATATAGGCAAGATGACAACATCTATTTTAGGGTGCCTGACAATGCACAAACACTAAGGCTGTATCAGAGATCACATCATTTTGACACAACCAGATGAAATTATTCATTTTGCATATGCAACATAGCATAACAACAAAAAGAAAATTCCTTACAACCTAAGGACATTGCAAAAACACAACAAATAGTGACAGGACAATATCTTTAAGCCATAATATACCTTCTATTAGGTATATGTTATCAAGAAACAATAAGTTTGACAAAAAAATTAAAGCTATACAGTATGTATCAAAACCATTTTATCCTACATCTAAATATTTGATTAACCTTACTTTATTAATACCAACATGACTAAGAAAGTGCACAGGAAACCTCACAAGCATAAATTACTTACCGATAAAATACATTTTGCACAGATAACATGGAAACAATTGTGAGGATTTCATCTGAACACTGTAAGTGTACTGACATAATCAGCATCTTTGAAAGGTTGGGATCAAGAGGAAATTCAGCCATTCTTCTACCCAGTCGGGTTAGCAAACCCTCGTCATCCAATGCACTGAAAGAAAATTAATACATGTTAGAACATCGCTTGGGTTCAGAATTTTGTAGTGTCTTCTCCTTCCCATTAATACCCCAGAAGAGGTGACTTGAAAAGATTTCCTTTGCATCAAAGAAGTCTGGGAGTGAACTCTCTTCTGAACAGAGCTAGACATTGTATAGGGACATTGTATAGGGACCAAGTAGTTTAAGCTCAGAAATAAAAATCATATTAATCTTCAAAACCTTTACATTACATCTCTATTCCTAAACTTGAAAACAGTAGTTCAGGTAATGAACTACAGAATTTAACTTTCCATAAATTAGCTTACCTAAGAGAGTGAAGAGTCTCGAGAGCCATGACCATGGCATCTGTTGGTGGAGGATCCATAAAGTCAAAACCCAGCAGGTCATTGATCCCCATTGCTTTTAACTGCAGTACAGTTGCAGCTAGATTGGTCCGCTGAATCTCTGGTACACTTGTTGGCAACATTTCATCTCTGTGTAGGACAAGTAGATTAACCAGTGTCAAACTTACAACAAAAAATAAATAAGTGGCATACTTCTCTTCTAATTCAAGAGCATTAGATAGGTGGCCATAATGTGAATTAACCCCTAGGCTGCACTATATAGTCCCAGCCATGTTGCACTGTACAACCTGTCTTGACACAGTACTTTAATACTTTAAGTCTTTCCAACATGTGCAAGGGTGGAAACAGATATTATCATATTTATTGATACCCCATGACCAACAGAGGTCTCCAGTTCCAAAATGCCATAGAGAAAAACCATCCCATTCCATTTCAGTGACCCCAGTGACTCGTTTAAGTCGAAAATGAATGTGCATCAAACTCCCATGGGCCCCACACTCCTCAGTAGTTAAGAATGGAGGAAACAAGTCTGTATTTTCTAAATTTTGGAGAATGTCAGTGACAAAAGTGATATGAATAAAGATGAGAACTACTCCCTTTCAGACAATTGTAAATATATAGATGTAGTAAGTAAATATATAGATGTAGTAAGACATAATGATAGCAGTGACGGTGAGAATTGTCAGGGAAGGGTGGTGTGGCGAGTCATGAGAATATGGACCATGTGGAAAGCTCAACACCATATCACAATACCGATGGTGAGGGTGAGGGGGAGGATGGTGGAAGTGATGGTAGTGGCAGGGATGATAAGGACAGTAGTGGAGATGGTGATACAAGAGTAGGAATGATGGTGGCAAGGACGGTAATGGTGGAAATAGTAATGGGAAAGCTAGTGGTAACAGTGATTAGATATGGTGGCAATGATGGTTATGATATGTGTGCGAACATGACATGACAATCACAAAAGTGGAAATGAGTCAACATGATGCAGGAAAAATGAAGTATTGTACTGATGTGATGGTGGTGATAGTCATAGTGATGTGTGCCTCAACCTCACATAATGACTACAGACACAGCACAAGAATAATATTTTGTTTTTATATCACATCAATCCCTAATAGGTTCAATGAATATTTTTTGTTATAACTTGATAATTTGACTATATTTTGCATGAGAAACATGAAAACCCCACCCATGTATATAAATTAGGATAGCAATAAAATATTTCTTATATTTAAATTTAAGCTTGTGGAAGATGGCACATCTGAAATGCCCACAGCCCAGGTGGATATCGATTATTATTATTTTTTAGGGAACATGAGAGAAAATGCAACCCCAGGTACATATATATAGGTTAATAGTTTATAAAGGAAATCTGGCCCTCTTTAGGGAAAAATTAATGAACACTGCTGTCTCAATTACCTGTAAGCACGTTCAGTGTAAAGTCTATAGGTTTTTCCAGGGCCTGTCCGTCCAGCACGACCTGCTCGCTGCTTGGCTCCAGCCTGGGAAACTGGTGTGACCATCAGTGAGTCCATACCAGTCTTGGGGTTGTATACTTTTTGTTTTACAAAACCTGAAAAAGGTTTTCAAAGGTGAAATTCAATAATTTTAATACATTTAAATGTTAATTGAATTCTATAAGCTCATAAATAAAGTATAGCTCAGCAAGCCAAGAAAGTAAGAAAATATTTAAAAAAATGTCTACTAGGTTTTATTAATGTACTATATTTAGCATAGTTAAGTAATACTTTATATTCAGTATATATTCATAGTTAAGTAATAGTATTATATATTCAGTATATATTCATAGTTAAATAATAGTATTATATATTCAGTATATATTCATAGTTAAGTAATAGTATTATATATTAAGTAATTTCTAATTTCAGCATTTTGAAAAACATTCAGAAATTATCAACATACCTGGATCTACCACATAATAGATGCCATCAATCGTGAGAGATGTCTCAGCAATGTTGGTGGCAATTACAACTTTTCGTGATCCTGGCGGAGCTGGTTCAAATATTCTTGTTTGCATTTCAGAGGGCAATGCTGAATATACAGGTAAAATAATAAGCTCTGGTACATCGCTCCCAAGGGCTTTCATGCGTTCGTACAGAAGTTCACACGCAGTGTCAATCTCCTCTTGACCAGTGAGAAAGACAAGTACATCTCCTGGTGGTTCAGCAAGATGAATCTGCATTACAGTTATAAGAGCTGCATCAAGATAATCTGTTTCTGGTTCCCTTGTGTATAATATTTCTACCGGGAATGTTCTACCAGGAATTGTGAAGATTGGGGCTTGGTTGAAGTACTCTGAGAACTTAACAGCATCTAAGGTGGCCGAGGTGACTATAAGTTTAAGTTCAGGTCTTTTATCCACAGCTTGCTTCAAAAGACCAAACAAGACATCTGTATGAATAGTCCTTTCATGAGCTTCATCCAACATGATGCAAGCATAGCATGACATATCTGGGTCAATAAGGCATTCTCTTAGTAACATACCATCAGTCATGTATTTGATAACTGTCTCTGAGCTTGTGCAATCCTCAAAACGAATGGTATAACCAACTTCCTGTCCCAGTCTACACCCAAATTCTTCAGAGACTCTCTTAGCAACTGACATGGCTGCCACTCTTCTTGGCTGGGTGCATCCAATTTTTCCTTTAGCAGTAAAACCTGCCTCTGCGAGGTACTGAGTCATCTGTGTTGTCTTGCCAGAGCCTGTTTCACCAACAACAATGAGGATCTGGTTGTCATCAATGGCCTTGATAAGCTGGTCTCGTAGTTTATAAATAGGTAGACTTTGTCGTTGTTCTAAAAGTGACATATTGGTTTTCTTTCCGTATGAGCCTCTAGTTCCACCTGATAAAGAGAGAAAAGTAACAGGTTTATATCTATATTATAGCTAAAGCATAACACATTGCTTATCTTAGAATCCAAAACCCAGTTATATTACTATTACAAGCACTATATATATATATATGCATCTGGTGCTTTTCACAGAGTAATTATGTTAAAACAATAATAATGCCCTTGTCTCCTTGAGTGGAGACAAGGGCATTAACTCCCACTGCTGTACTTATAACTTACATAATCTTACTTGTGCTCCAACTCTAATATTGAACTAGTCACTCAGTCCACCAGTAATTCTCACTCATGATTTAACATTAGAAACCCTGTATATGAGTGGAACAAGTATACAACACCAACTGGCTAATTAACTTGTTGTAAATGTTGATCTGCACAGAGGCAGTGAACTTTACTTATCCAATTGGCAAGTCAAACTGCAAACTGCTACTTTGCCAGAGTGAAGCAATGTATTACATCAAATGCATTTTTTTAAACTTTCCAGTAACTGTCTATCTCATGCATTACAATACTAATACATAACTTTAAATAATATATAAAACACCATTGAGGAACTCTTACATTAATTTGAACACAAGTAATTAACATCAATTGTATGGCTGTTACATTAATTGCCATTAAAGATACAATGAGAATGTTTAACAATTAAAACTTGGTAAATTTATGACTAACCTGTAATGTGTCTCTTCCATTCTGGCACTTCCTGCTGCTGGGTGGGCAACCCACGCGACATGGCTGGGTCGTTGCGCTGAGTTTCAGGTAGAGGATCATTCCAATTTTGACCAAGATTGGATGGCTGAGAATCCATTTCACTTTCTCTCTGAGCCATCTTTATTTCTCTACGCTCTTTTGCAAGAGCACTTTGCATCATTGCTGCTTGAGCTAGTGAGCCGTCGGGGTTCTTCATGATTCGTACTGGACTCAGTTCTTCCCTCACCCTGCCATAACCCCGTAAGAACGCAGGTTCTTCTTCTACAAGTTCAATCTCCACATCTTCTTCATCATCATCTTCACCACCCATCACTCCCTGCTCCTCATCAAAGTCTGGCATTTCTGATTTACTGATGCAGCTGGCAGCCATCATCTGTTTCAGTTCCCATCTCTCGGGTGAAGAAATTCGGTTAACTCGCTTGTATGTCGCTAGATCTTCTTCATCGGTACCTATGATAAAAAATCAATATACTGTAGTTTATAATGGCAAAATACAAAATATCAAGACCACTTCCTTCCTATCAGAAGTATATAATTAAGTAGTGTATAAACATCTGAAATAGAATCAGAAATACAGTACTAGCATAAAGTTTTCCTATGCATAGAATATGAATCTGCAATATTTCTTCACAATTAAATTTTGTTTAACCTGGAATAACTGGAGGGTGGGTGGAGGGTAATCAATAGAACTATAGTATTTTTGGTTTTGAAAACAATATGAAGCCTAATTGTTTAGCAATATTTAAAGCTTTATTTCAAAAGGAATCAGCTAAGAGTTACCACTACACAGTCTGCTACTATGTATTGGCAACTACTGCTGCTATTATAAGGTAAGCATTTACACACAACTACACATGATTCCACATCTGTAGCTGTGTGGCAACAGTGTGTCAAGATACCATAATTAAAAAGATTAGGTTAAAATAACAATGCATAACTGTTATCAGTGCATAACTTCCTGGCTGTTATGTTATAATTTAATTAATTTTACCATTAGGCACTGAGATTTACTTAAATCAACAGGTAAACGAAGGCAGCACCATTTAACTTTAAGACTCCTTCCCAGTCTAGTCCCTTAAGGAACACCGAGTCAACTTAAGAACCAAAGATACAGTCTACACTATAGCACAACCAATTATATCAACACAGTCTTCACAACACATTATTACAATGACTACTCCAACAATTTGCAGCTAAGAATATACCACTTACTTAGTTAATTGTATCTGTTAAGTTTTATACAGTAGTTCTTTTAATTTTAAGAATCTTTTGATATTGAGGGAGTCAAATAAATCCCACACAGTTGGCCTGTTGGCAACCAAATTTAACCAGTGCTTCATTGCTCATATTAACAAAAATTATTTGTACATATTCCTCTATTCAAATATGACAAACCAAGGCAGAGGTTTTATTTATACAAAAATTAATACATATCCAAAAATAAATTGTAAATTAATGTAAAATTTGTGGCATTTGTTTCTATATTTTCATGCTGTAATACAAATACAGTATATTATATACTGCCAAAAATTTTATATTACAGAATATATAAAATATATTCTATACTGTACATCCATAAAAATATCATATCTACCTACTTCATCCATCAGACTAAAAATACACTGCATCTGTAATCAAAGCTTTACCTTTAGTCAGTTCCATGAGGGACATGGGTCTATCTGGATTCCTCATAGCATCTTCTTCCTGGCTGTTACTACCAAGAGGAGCAACATTGGGGTTGAGGTCTTCACCCGTCCCCTGGTCAACATCCTTCATAGACAGTGACGTCTTCTGACCAGTAAACGACAACACCTTGACCTGTATGCACATAACGCACCATTAACAAAACACCAGATGAGGAAAAGCTCAGTCACTGCAAAGTGCAATAACCATAGCCTCAAACAACAGATTAAGAGATGAACTGTGTTACTAAAATTACTGAAATGGATTACTGTTACTGAAATGCTATTCATTTTCAAATAATGCAGAATATTACATTTATTAGTCTTGAAAACAGATTTGTTTAAACCTTCTTCCACAGCAATTTAAGTTACATTTCATCAAAAGTTTGAAGTTTTACACTATTTTATGCCAAATATTATTGTTAATGCAAATGATAGAACATGCTTTTATGCCCATTTATTTATATTATAAAAAAGTAATTCATGGTAGGGTTCGGTACTGAAATTTAATGCTGAAAAAATGAGAGATTAAGAAAATAATTGAATTTCTCTATGTAATTTAATAGGGGTACCACCTCACTCAGTGAGATTCCATCAGGTTCTAATGTATGTATGCATGTATAATGTAGTTATTTTATTAATCTATTTTTAGCACCAAATTTCTGTAAAGAACACTGCCATGAATTACTTCCTCTTTACAATATTTTAGCAACTAGGATACAGACTGTTAAAAATACACTGGTACAAATCTTAATAACAAACCTTGACTTTTTGTCCCCGCATAACGACATCAGACACGTTAGTAACACGACCCTCCTGTCGCAGCTGTGAAATATGTACGAGACCCTCAAGCCGGCGCCGTAGGCCTTCTAGCTGCACAAAGCAGCCAAAGTTCAAGATGTTTGTTACTTTACCCTCATATACCTGAAAATAAGTTAGAAATATAAATTATTAAATGGGTAATGGCAAATTATAAAACTCATAACACACCAATGCCGAAAGATTTGGTATACAGTACCCTACACAAACTCCTCCATAAATCAGACTACAGTATAACCACTACTCTTCAGTCCTACAAAGTCCATTGTAATGTCATCTATTTCAAAAGTCCATGAAAAGTCCTCCAAAGTGAGGCCGTCTGAAATACTGCCTCACCTTTAGTTTTTTACTAGATCACTAAACTGCACTAAGCTTTCATAAATTTTAGTTGCAGCTCAATAGTCATTTTCCTTACATGAAGGGCTGAAAGTTACTCCATATACAGTAGTAATAATCACCAACATTCTTCTACATAAAGGTATTAAAATTCATGGCATATCCATTTGAGTTAAGTAATTTGGAATAATTTTAAAACCTGATCAATGATTGGTTGGCCAACAATGAAAACTGCCAACCTACAAGAATAACTGAAATACAGTATCCCAGTGAAATTTGAAAAACAGGGATCACACCAACAACAAAGTTTGGAACAGTAAGGGACCAAACAACATCTTGAAGAAACAAGGTTTTGATACACCTTATTTGGATCAATGGATCCAATAAAGTTATATATTATTATGATTCAAAATAAAGTTATACTTTATTCTGTGATACTGCACTTTGCTAACATTTATATATGAATTTTTTAAAACTTAAAAAATAAGAGACAGCTTACCTTACCAACTACAGGATTTTCATCAGGAGGACGATTGATAAACACCTCTCTATTGCCCATTCGATTCCTATTTAGATCTTTTTCCCGACTCTTGCTCCTGCTGTGCCTGCTGTGTTTATCTCGGCCTCGAGACCTACTCCGTTCTCTTCTCTCTCGATCCTTCCTGTCATAGTGCCTCTCTCGATTATTGTCTCTTTCATAATCGTTAGCTTTTCTGTCCCTATCTCGACTATGACTACGATTTCTTCTCTCTCTCTCCCTACTCTGACTGCGATGTCTTCTCTCTTTCTCCCTGCTCTGACTGCGATGTCTTCTCTCTCTTTCTCGGCTGTGACTTCGATCTCTTCGATTTTTATGCCTTTCTTGACTTCTTGATTTTTTTTGTTCTCTATCGCATTTTTCTTTCTCTTTGCTGTCACTACAATTTCTCTTTCTGTCTCTGGACCTTGACCTCCTCTTTTTGTCTCTGCTCCTACTTCTGCTTCTTGACACTTCATTTTGCTTCGATGGAGCATGAGACTCTAGAAAGGCCATGAGATCATCTACCTCTCTTTCAGGTTCCCTTTTCACTTTTTTGTCTGGCTTTTCTCTATCTTTTTCACAATCTTTGTCCCTTTTCTTCCTTTTCTCCTTCCTTTTCTCCCAGTCCTTCTCTTTATCTTTGCTTGTGTCTACTTCAGGAACCTCTTCTTTCATTTTTATTTCAGGTTTAAGTTCATTATCCAGCATATGAATAACCTTTGGATCATTTGGCAAAGCTAAGAAAGGCAGTAGTGCTCTTTTCTTGTCTTTCTCAGTTGAAGGCTTGTTTATTTCTTCTTTTATATTATCATTACATGAAATTGCTGTTAGGGAAGGCATCATGTGCTGGATCAGTCGCCACAGGCTTTCAACAAATGAGTCCTGGAAACAAAGATATGCAATGATATTTACAGTTAATAATGTTACATTTAAAAACTTAAGCTTTACTTTTAAATGGCTATTAGTTCTCCGCTAACTCTTACACGTAAGTTGCTTAAATGTTTTGAATCATGAAATTGAACACCCAAAAAGAGTCAGAGATACATTATTATGATACACATGTGGCAGTACGTGTTTATCTGTGATGGTATATACTGTATATTGTACTGTGAATGATATAATAAATAAATGAGTGATATTTTATTTTTATATACTCCCATTCCCCCCCCCCTAACCTATACAATATATTATTACACACTGAAGATACACAAAGTCATTTTGTTAATACAGTACTGAAATAAATTGTCAATATAGGATATTATAAGGTAATAGAAGAGTTGCTGTTTATGAGCATATATATGACAACTATCTAATATATTTCAAAGAAAAACTTAAAAATGCTGCAAAAGAGCTTAGTTTTCATATATAAAAAAAAGAATAAAAATACAGTACAGTAATTTGGGTGGAATGATGCCTTAAAATGGTAACAGAAATAAATTGCATTCTACTTTACCGCAAACTGGTCACCTCCATTCTCCTCCAGTTCCTTCTTGAACTTGTCAAGACGTTTACTTTTCTCAGCAAGAGAAATGATGAATTCCGCTGCAATGATTTAAAGCCATTAAAACTCACAATGAGCATTACATATATGTTATACTACATATGTAAATAATTACTCTGTGCCTTTAAGAATGATAAGGAATTTTTTCATTTATCATTTATCAGTCATCTGAAAATCGATGAATGGTTGTGAACAACATGAGAATTTTCCTAAAGGTTATATATACAGTAGTGGTATATGTAAATTAGCTAGAACTTCGAAATAAATTTACAGGATATAGATTATTCTTACTTCTTCAAAGTACATTAACTTTGTAGATTATAGAAGATTAATCTACACATAATTTGAGAAAGTATGGCCTGCATATCATAAATATGCAATAGGAAGATCAATATGCATTTTATGCACACCCATTGTTTGCATCATGCATCATTCTTTAACCTACTCGCTCTCTTTCCTATCATCTCACTCTTTCCTTATAATTTTACTTTCTCTTCCACTATTTTTCCATTAACGATTTCATAATGGGACTAACATCAATTCTTTTATTTTCTATTTAGATGTGTTCATTGAGTGTCTGATTTTTAGCCAGATTATTGTGACTTATTGTCTGTACAGTACAACCTCGATTCAGCAACCATATGGGACCACCTTGCGATGATTTGATGATTTTGGAGCCCAATGTCCCTGTGGGCCCGGTCCTCAACCAAACCCAATTAATTGCAGCAAGAGATTCATTGCAACAGGAGATCCCTCCAGGATGCCTTGTAATTTCACTTTGCAAAATTTTAATTTCAACCTATAACATCTAGCTCATTTCTCATGTCCCCAGCCTCAATAGTCAAAATAGTGATTAGAATTATATTACCAGAGTTCTATTATTTATTGTATGTTCTATTATTTCCTGAGTTCATTGTGCAAAATTTTAATTTCAACCTGTCATATGAAGGATAACTACCAAGAGAACCTGCCTGTAAAGAGACATAACTACATCTAGCACATTTCCTACGCCAAGCCTTGAAACCTCATTTTCAAAAAGTAGCCATTCTGTATTTGTGAACAAAAACTGGGCCGTCTCAAAAATAAAATGAACCACAGAATTTGTTTTTTAACTTACTACAGGTATTTCTTCTAATGTTGTGCCCATCTATGAAAATCCTTAGAAAACCATGATTGGAGCCATATTAAGTTGCCTTTTGCCCAACAAAAAAAATTCAAAAACACCCAATGAAAAATTCCAAAAGGACCAACAAAAAAAATCTAAAACGCCCAACAAAAATCATTAAAACATGATTGGAACCGTATTAGGAGTTATCATTCATTCATAATATTTCCCATGCTCTATGGGGTGATTTCACTGAGCAAAATTATAATTTCGACCTGTCATATAAAGGCCAACAACCAAGAGAACCTGTATGTAAAGAGACTTCCTCTTGAGGTTATCTTGAGATGATTTTGGGGCTTAGTGTCCCTGCGGCCCGGTCCTCAACCAGGCCTCCTTTTTGTTACACACCCCCAGGAAGCAGCCCGTAGCAGCTGTCTAACTCCTAGGTACCTATTTACTGCCAGGTAACAGTAACATCAGGGTGAAAGAAACTTTTTGCCCATTTGTTTCCGCCTCCACCGGGGATCGAACCCGGAACCTCAGGACTACGAATCCAAAGCGCTGTCCACTCAGCTCTCAGGCGCCCATGCGACTTAACCATATCTAGCAAAGTTCCCACACCAAAGCCTCGAAATCTCCTTTTCAAAGGAAAAAGGGCCCATATTTTACTGAACAAAAACCTCTGCAACTGAAGAGCAGAGAATTTGATTTGAATTTTGATTTTAATTGGCCACTCTCAGTGGCCCTAATGATGCCTCTATCTGTGAAGATGGACTTCCAAACCAAATCCACACATCCCCAGCTTTAGTGAAATCTTGTTGTTGAATTGTACGAGTCAATCTGGTGTGGAAAGTATGCATTCCAAATGGATTCAGTTCACTGAATCCAGTTCCACTGTACAGTACTGTATATCACTTGCTAACTTTCATCAATAATTCATATAAATTAGCTATAAATTATAAATTTGGTCCTGGACGGACCAAAACGTCGTCGTCCCTTCATTTTCTAGTGTGTGGATTAGTTAACATACTTCGGCCACGTTATTGTGACGCCTCGCCTGCAGCCGGAGGGGTGTTTTACCACTGCGCCACAGGGAGTACCAATTAATTATAAATTTGTAAGCCTAGAGTATTTTTTAATAAGATCTTTCATTACTCACCCACATCCTTGTCGTTTATCCCCAAGTGGTTTTCTAATTCAACGCAGATCTTGGAAACCAGCGAGAGTCTTTCGAGTTTAGAAAGGTCTTCCATTGTGAGTTCTTTACGAGCAAATTACTGTTGGTAATTTGACGGGCGACGATGATCTAGGGCTCGGATGTACCCGGCTAAATTGGTTGAGGGGCGAGGACGATCTTGGGATGTATATGTGAAGATGTGAAGGCTGCGCCCATCCTTCTCCACCACAGCCACAAGAACCAAAACAAACGCTGACGTTCTAATACAGCAGAAGGGACTCTGTAAAACATTTTCATATTACATTTACTATATTTCAAGACATAACATTGAGGATTTCAATCTAAAAAAATATAAATAGAATTTAAAAAAACATTTTAAGTTTACATAATAATGTTTTCTTCTAAATTATTGAATGTATCAGAATATTTTACTAAATATGAATGAAATTCTAAGATCGCAATACAGACCACGAACGTAATCAATTTCACGGTCTGAAAATAATTTCCCCTAATTGAATTTATTTACCTGATAAACCCTTCATGCAAACTGTATCTACTATCAAGAAGAAGTATTTAATTCACGTGCTGAGTTGATCTTTTTTTTTATTATTGACTACACCTCAGCTTCCTCTCATAGGATGGAAAAAATGTTACCTGTAATTAGGGAAAAGATTATAGCTCCGCAATTAGTGCTAATTAGTTTGCTACTAAGGTAATGATAGACTGGAGCGAGTATAATGTTAACTCGCTACATATACAAGAGTTCTTACATTCTTGTACAGCCACCAGCATTCATAGCGTTTCGGGCTAAGTCCTTAATCCCAATTTTCCCCGGAATACGACCCGCTAAATAGTTTAACAACCCATTTAACTGTTGGGTAAACATATGCTACAGTTAAGGATTGGCGCCTAGTAAATTCTCTCCGGCCAGGATACGAACCCAGGTCAAGACGCTCATCAAAATCCAGGCGAGTGTCTTACCACTTCGCCACGAGGACTACGCCGCACTACGCTTCCAAAAATATTAGGCTCTGTCATATCTCCCTTTAAAGCTGTATATAGCCATATTCCCGAGACGATGTACGTATAAATAACTACAGTGGCTTCAATTATTGAACTTTATACTATGTAACTATACTACCTTACCAAAACCTTCTTCTTAAATTACATCATTATGGAGTCAGAGGACACTCCCTACAATACCTCAAATCCTACCTTACTGACAGGCTCCAATATGTTTCTGTGAATAATACAATTTCTCCCACCCTACCCATCAACATTGGTGTTCCCCAGGGCAGCATACTTGGCCCTCTCCTCTTTCTCATCTACATTAATGACCTTCCAAATGCCTCCCAACACCTCAAACCAATTCTATTTGCTGACGACACAACCTTCATTTACTCCAGTCCTGATCCCCTTGCTCTAAATGCCACAGTAAATACTGAGCTAAATAAAGTCCATCTGTGGCTAACTGCCAACAAACTCACCCTTAACATTGACAAAACCTTCTATATTCTGTTTGGCAATAAATCCTCTAATCAAATAAATCTCAAAATAAACAATACCCACATTTGTAACAAATTAGATGGCAAATTCCTTGGCATTCTCATTGACCACAAGCTGAATTTCCAGGGACACATTCTAAACATATCAAAAAAAGTTTCAAAAACTGTGGGCATTCTTTCTAAGATCAGATATTATGTACCACGCCCTGCCCTGGTGACTCTCTATTACTCCCTTATCTATCCATATCTCAACTATGGTATTTGTGCTTGGGGCTCTACTACCCAAAATCACTTACGTCCTCTAATTACTCAACACAAAGCTGCTATTAGGACAATATCCAATTCTGGCCCCAGACATCACTCGGTACCCCTACTCAAATCTCTGAATATGTTAGACATTAAGTCACTGCACATACTCTCATGTGTATTATACATATATAAAACGCTAAACTATAATGCCAATCCTGATCTCAAAAGCTTCATAGAAGGTTGTAACAGAACCCATGAGCACCACACCAGAAATAAATACAGTTTTGATATTCCTAGAGTACGACTTAATCAAACTAGAAATGCTCTACAAATCAAGGGGCCCAGATTGTGGAATGACCTTCCCAACCATGTTAAAGACTGTACCTCTCTCAACCAGTTTAAGTTAAAAGCGAAGCTATACCTAATAAATTCCCTGTAACCTACCTTACCCTTCTATTGTCAACCAATGTCTGTTTTTTTCTTTAAAGAGCGCTGTTTGTCGACATAATTGTATTTGTGCTGCTTTTTCATCTATGTTTTCATTTCTTGTTTTCATTCTACTCATTATGCTCAATTAGTATTAAGCTTGTCATTTAAGTTTATCATGCCCGAAATGCTTTGCGTAATAGTGGCTTTAGGCATTGTATGTACTAGCTCTACCTATAAGTCAACCATTCCTTGTAAAAATTTATTCTATATATGTACCTTACCTAAATAAAATTGTATTGTATTGTATTGTTGTATAACTATTGTAACATGTTATATATTTTAAAAATAAAATTGTATTATTATTATTTCTCCTTAATTAGTGTATTCCATTTAATTATTCACAATTCCAACACTGAAAAAAGCTTTATTTTACTAAGAGGCCAATTTTTTTTTTTGTCAACAAACAAACAAAAAGAACCCTAAAGCTCTGTTGATTTTTTCATGTAGCACATCACAACTCCCAGGTACCTACTTGCTACTAGGTAAACAGAGGCATTAGGTGAAAATAAACGTGCCCAACCATTTCTGTGTCGCCCGGAATGGCCAATAGCCAAAAACGTTTTTCAAGGCCTCAGTATCGTTCCCGGCCATTGTGAGGTTTCGGCCGCTTTCGTTTCACTATAAATCAATATGTGGCTTCTGTTAATTCGATGATGTGGTTGTGAGTTTTAAATCTTTGTCGCTACATAGAGCTTGGAACACTTTTATGGAAGTAATGATTTGTATACTCGTGATGGGGTGCATCTATCCAGGGCTGGGGTTGTTCCCAGCTCGTTGGAACCTGTTAGTAGGTATAATTGGAATTTCGGGCAGGTCCTTAATCCTAATTTGTCACCGGAATACGATCCAACAGGGAATTGATATGGAGAAAGGAGGTAATAAAAGTATGTGTTTGTGGGAGATGATTTTGTGGGGCAAAATGATCAGGGAAGGAGTGGAGCCTCATAATAACAATATTTATCATGATAACAATAGTTATTATCATGTGGTGGAGGCTGACTCCATACACAGTTTCAAAAAAAGATATGACAGAGCCCAGTAGGCTCAGGAATCTGTACACCGGTTGATTGACGGTTGAGAGGCGGGACCAAAGAGCCAGAGCTCAACCCCCGCAAGCACTATTAGGTGAGTACACTTAGGGTATATTATACAAACAGTAGGAGTCTAAAAGACAAAATAAACGATTTAAATGCTCTTGTCTGTACAGAAAAAATATTATTGCACTTACCGAAACGTGGATGAATGTAGAAATTAGAGAACTACTAGCTGAATGTCAAATAAATGGATTTAAACTATTTCACACAGATAGATATAATAGATGAGGAGGGGCAAAATGGAGGGGGAGTAGCAGACAATTTGTAATAGAGTAGGGACAATCTGTAATATAGTCCCAAAGAGGAAATCAAAACTGAGCCACACACAGAAACTCTTTGGATAGAATTAAACGAAAAAGCAAATAATATTATAATAGGAGTTATATATAGGCCACCAAATTTAGACAGAATGGAAGCAAAGCATCTATGTCTAACAGTATTTGTGTCATGGGTGACTTTAATTTTAGTGGAATAAACTGGATTAACAGAACAGGGAATAATGAAGCAGAAGATTTTATAGTATTAATTTGACGAATGCTTTCTTCCAATCAACACGGGAAGATAATATTTTAGATTTAGTGTTAACTAACAGGGAAACACAGATTAATGAGATCGAAATAGGGAGTGAACTAGGGAACAGTGATCACAAAGAAATCAGATTTAGCATAGAGTGGAATAGACCTGCAGGAGAAAATTCTATTAAAGTGCCAGATTTTCGTAAAGCTAATTTCAACATCCTAAAAAAAATTGAGTCAAATACAATGGAAAGTATTGGGCAAAGGATTAAAGAAAGAAAGACTAGAAAGTCTTGCCGGTCTTGGAGCCGGCAAGACGTGAACCCAGCCATGTGTGATGTAAAAAAGGATTTCGATTTGGATTCAAAATATAACTTATTTACAAATATTCTAAGCAAAGCACAGGAAAGTAGTTCACCTTACAAATTGAATAGATCAAATACAAATAACCCGAAATGAATATCAAAGGATCTGAAAAGCCTTATAGGTAGAAAGAGAGCGTGGTACAAAAGGATTAAGAATAGGGAAGTCAGTTTAGAACAAGAATTCGCACAACTGGTTAGAAATGTTAAAAAAGAGATAAGGAGGGCAAAAAGAAACTATGAAGTTCGTATAGCAGGCCAAGCAAAGGCAAATCCTAAAGTTTTTTTCAGTTATATCGAACAAAGATTAGGGAAAGGATAGGTCCATTAAAAACCGAGACAAGTCAAATAACGGATAATAAGGAAGAGATGAGTAGCATTTTATCTCTGTATTTATTAAAGAAGAACTTAACTTTATGCCTTCAGCCGAACAAGTCTACGAGGACAGGTTGACTAGTCTAACAGTTACCAGGAATGATATTATTAAACAAATAGTAAAACTCAAACCAAACAAATCCCCAGGGCCGGATGAAATGTTTGCCAAGGTGCTTAAAGAATGTAAAGAGGAGCTTTGCGATCCATTGTCTATCATATTTAACAGTCCGGACCGGCCCGCGGTCGTGTGCGGTCGCAGTATAGGCGCTCTTCGAAATTGTGCTCTACTGCTACATTTGTACTGTGCATCTGCGTGTTGGGGAAATTGCAAACTGCGTCAGTGATGGACAATCCTGCACTTGGACTGTCGATTGTGAGAGTGAATATGACTCTCAAGTACAGGGTGATACCGTACCAACTTCCAATGTCCAGGAAGAAACGGCGTAGTTTTCATAGACATCGAGACAGTGATAGTGGAGAGGACATGAAAAAGAGACAGAAAAATTGATCCATGACAGGAGACACCAGTGGTACAAACTCCCAGGAACTCTCAACGGCAACCCTACCCAGCAGGACGCAAGACACGAAGATTAATAGAAGGAAGCGGCTGTTATTCCCTTCAACATGCCAACTGAACTTCCACCAAAAGACACATACATCTCCCGTCACGCAGGGTGCAG